CTGGGCCTCACTGGGCAGCTGCACAGATGACAACAGGAAGCGTCTGTGGAGAATTGGCAGCGTGTGAATGTGCGCTCCTGGCCTGAAGACTGGGAACGCCCTGACAGACTGGGGGTGGGTGGGGGGTGACAATGTGCTCTGATCCTTCTTTGAGGGTTCAGGGCAAGAGAAGGGGACAGATGTGAACCTCCACGTCCCTCATGTTTGGGGAGGGTGGAGCGGTAGTGGGGCACCCTTGGAAGTCTCTCTGTGTGTATACGTATGTGTGTGTGTGTGTGTCTTTTTTAGGGGTCCAAAGGGAAACTTATTTTTTTATTTTTTTACATGTTATAGAGGTACTATTTTGTCTCTTTTAGAGGGATTTTTTTGTCTTTGTTTTTCTCTAGCAGGACTGGATAGGTAGCTATATGACAGCCATCCCTTGCCCCCTTAATTTTCCTGTAGAAGTTTACTGTACATTGGGGAAGGGATGGCAAGAGAAGACTATGATGTCCACAACATTCCAGATGTCTGCACACATCTGTGTGCAAGTGGACCTCTTCCTTTGCTTTCCCTCTCTCCCCAACACCAGGAACAAATGGTGGCTGGGCCAAAGATAATAATAATACTTCTGCTACATTCCAAGATGCTGTCTTTTCGGCAGTGTCTGTCTTCCTGCCCTCTGTGGGGTGCTGTGCTGGATTCCCTCCTTATTTGCGATGGGAGACAACGTTTGGATCATCTCAACGGTTGACATGAAAGTATTTGTACGGGATTTTTTGGGGTTCTTTTTATATATGGAATTTACTGTAATAGTTATGAAGTTGTTCTTTTTTATATTAAATATATATTTGGTAAAAATGAACCAGTTTTTAAAAAATAAGAATCCTGAGAGTCTGACTCTTCTTTTTGCAGCAGATAAGATTGCAAAAGTGTATATGCGCCATTCTTTATTTGACTTCACAACCTCTGAGGATGCCTGCCATAGACGCAGGTGAAAAGTCAGGAGAGAATGCTTCTGGAACATGGCCATACAGCCTGAAAAACTTACAACAACTCAGTGATTCTGGCCATGAAAGCCTTTGGCAATACATTCTTGATTTGTTTTTAAAGACTTCGTTCATTAAAATGGATGGGGAGGGGTGGGGATGGGACAATTTGTCTCCCAATCCATCAATATAATCATAAGTGATCCCTTGTGGCCATGTATTTATTTATTTATGTATTTACTATATTTATATCCCGTCCTTCTTAACCCTGAAGGAGACTCAAGGTGGCTTTATACATAGGCAACTATTCAATGCCTTAAAACAATATACAATTAAAATAAACATTAAAATTAAAATACATTAAAATGTTTAAAAAATTAGGTAAAGGTTTTCCCCTTACATTAAGTCCAGTTGTGTCCGACTCGGGTGTGGTGCTCATCTCCATTTCTAAGCCGGAGAGTCGGCGTTGTCCATAGACACCTCCAAGGTCATGTGGCCGGCATGACTGCATGGAGGGCTGTTACCTTCCCACCAGAGCAGTACCTATTGATCTACTCAGATTTGCATGTTTTCGAACTGCTAGGTTGGCAGAAGCTGGGGCTGACATTGGAAGCTCACACCACTCCCCGGATTCGAACCTGCGACCATCCGGTCAACAAGCTCAGTGCTTTAACCCACTGCGCCACCGGGGGCTACATTCACTATTAAAACCACACTATTCGCAATCGTAATCCGGGCCATTCCAGTAGTCTTTGCACGCAATCCCATATCCATCTAATGCACTACAATTATTCTGCAGCATTTTTCCCAACCCTGTTGTATGCCTATAGATTTATAAACAAACATCTTGGTATCCCTACAGATCTCCTGGTCCTCAAACACACTCTGCTTCATTCGGAAAATTGCTGCACTTGCAGATCTCAGATGGTGTTGTATTTCAGTGTCAATGTTAACTTCTGTGGAGAGGTGGCTGCCAAGGTAGCAGAAATGGTCAACATTTTTTAATGTTACACCACTAAGCTGTATTTCTGACATTGCAGAGGGATTGGTTGATACCTGCTGAAAGATTTTTTGGAGGATGGTCCAGAGAGCACTACAATTCACTATGTCGAATGCCTTTGCAAGGTCAATGAATGTCATGTATATAATAAGAGTGTTACAAAAAGGGGAGTCCAATTTGAAACCACTGTATCTCTGTAGCCATGAACTGGCCATGAACGAAACACCTCTTGAAAGGACATAGGGTTGCATGTGATTACTGCTATATGTCTCTCCCAGCGCACAGACATCCCCTATCACCCTAGTCACCCACAAGATGGTGACCCCATAGCATCATGTCTAACGAAATATTATCCCTTTGAAAATTATTTTTTAAGATTCGTTTCTAGCTCAAAATGGTTAGCAAAACTTGATAACTCATTAAACAATGTGTAACTTTTTGTGTAATTATAAACATCTTTCCACCATGAAATCCACTGCTTTGAAATGGGGCCCATCGTTTTTGAAACACCCTGTAGTAGTTGGTTAAGAGGCTTCCATGTAGTACAATCCTTTGGTGAGCGGGGAGCAAAGGCAGCAGGCCGGAACCATTTGCCCTGGTTGCGTAGGTGACAGCCCGGGTGTGGATGGTTCCATACATCACAGGAAATGACCTCATGGAAGGGGGGGGCACTAGACTTGTTGCCAGGCAACATGAAGGTTCTCTTGTGGAAGTCACAATGAATTTGGGGAAGAACTGGGTGTGGATTAGAAGGGATCGGCTATGAGTTGGCTATGAGTTGGCGATGGCCACACCAATGTGGGTTTTCTTGCAGTTTCACCTGGAAGCTAATGGAAACTGGGATATTGCTGAATTCCTTTCCCTCAGCCATTTTGAGCAAGAGGCCTGTGCCTCCGCCAAGATCTTCCACAGTCCTTCAAAGGGAGCAGCTCCTCACAGGATCACAGCGAGAGGGTTTTCCAGCACTCCTCCCAGCCTGAGCTATGTGATGCATTTTGCTGCTGGGCTGCACCATCTCGGACTTTGCGTGGAAGAAACACTCCTTTATGTAAAACATTGTCCATTGTACAGGCTGTTTGAGAAGAGTGGCCTAATATTTTCTCACCAACCTGCCATGTTCCTTATTTGAGGGCACTGCAAACATGTTTTGCTCACCAGCAATTTGAAATGTTTGATGTGGAGCATGGAAAAGTTATTTTGGGGGACTACATTCCCCAGAATCCCCATCTGGCATAGCCGGTAGTCATGTTAGGCAGGGATTCTGGAAACTTTTCTAAGCTCTGACTGCGCTTCATAGCTGTTTGAGCTTTTGAACAGGAGATACCAGGAATTGAACCAGAGATCTTTATGGGAGGCTTGGGTGCCTCATCTTTATGTAGCATTTTCTAACATTTTAACCCATCTAGTTATGTGTTTTGGGGGGTTCAGCTAGGTGAAGTGTCCCATGTTTTCCATAAGCAATTATTTGCATGTATTGTCAAAGGTTTTCATGGCCGGAATCAGTGGGTTGCTTTGAATTTTCTGGGCTATATGGCTTCCTCAACTAGAAAAGTCAGCCATAGCAGAGCACTTGATGAACCAACCTGAGCACAGAAATGCTGGACCACTTTAAAAACCACCATGTCAGACTACACATGCTTGAGGATTTCAGTGGCTTCTCTATGTAGTCTGACATGGGGTGGACTATTTCAACAAAAAAAGGAAACAATGAAAATGAACAAAATCTGGCTACTAGTATTTAAAAAACTCTAAAATCAGGACAGTAAATAATGAACAACACTTGAGATGGGGATTCCAGGCAAGAAACAACCCAGGCTTTGAAACAGCAATGTTAATCAATGTGGCAACATTCACACTTGCCTCAAACAGACAAGAGTTATTTCTCCCACCCTGGACATTCCACATATATATAAACCTCACTTGCCTGGTTTCCAACAGACCTCACAACCTCTGAGGATGCCTGCCATAGATGTGGGTGAAATGTCAGGAGAGTATGTTTCTGGAACATGGCCATACAGCCCGGAAAACTCACAGCAACCAATTATTTGAATAGCCCACCCTCATGCCTACAGATGTGTGAAAGTAAAAAGGAAAGAACGCAAGGCTTAAAAAACCCTATCATTTCATTGAAAGACTACTCTGGGGAAGCTTTTCTGAGGCTGACTTATTTTATAGAACATTGGCTGACTTATAAGCAACATTAATAAAGTACAGGTGGTTTGCATGTAGGCAACAGGGTTTTCCTCTGCTTTATTTATCACATTGAGTAGCAGTAGTGCTGAATTAGGCTACTGAAAGTGGTTTCAAATGCCAATACATGGCTAGAGAGTAATTCATTCTGCTCATATGCTCCTGTACAAATCCAAAGGAGAGAAATAGTACTTTCTTCTCCCTTACCCAACCTTGTTTGCCCTGATTTGTACAAATGTGAGCCTTGTTTCTCTTCTCCCATTACTGCAGCACTAGACAATGTGGCCTTCAGATGTTTTTAAATTAAAACTCCTACCATCCATCACCATTGACTATGCTGGCTAGCTTAGGACTGATAGAAGTTGCAGTCTAACATCTGGAGAGCACAAGCTGCTGCTTTAGCATATTTTTTTAAGGATGAAAGGGGATGATTCAAAAATAATGTAGTACAAACCTGGAGTTAGTAAATCTAATCTTGTCCGTACTTCCAGGCTTACGTTAGATAGTTTGGTGCCCTCTGCTGACCAAAGCCTTTTATTGCAACCAGGAAACCAAAGCCAAGGCATAAGTTACTTGTCTTGAAGAGAATGATAGCTCATGTCTTACTTCTTATTTTGCCTGAAATATCAAGGATTACAATCAAGATAAGTGTATATTTAAGTTTCATCACCCGTGAAAATATTTTTCTAGCTATGTGGTTCTCAACCTGTGGTTCCCCAGATGTTTTGGCCTTCAGCTCTCAGAAATCCTAACAGCTGGTAAACTGGCTGAGCACCACTGTAAAAATGTGGGCAGGAAGCTAAGAATAAATCTATTTTGGATGCCCATATTATTTGTTACACCAAGGTACTGTGTTTAGATGAGTCAAATGAGTACAGGCTGTCCTAGCAAAGGCATCATTTGAGTTTCCAAACAATCTTTTTATTTTAAAAAATCCAACAATGTTTATTTAACATACAATGTTTTCAAAACACTTTCTGAATAGCCTTCTATGGTTTAAAACTGTTGATTACAGAACAAGTTTAACAAAGCAAGAGAACTCCTACATCCTGGCTATCACACCATGTTCTGATTACTGGCATTCAGTGGTTGCAGACAGCAGTACTGGAAGATATCTGATACATCTTGTTGCCTTTATCCCATCTTGAACACTTTAGTCAGCAATATGAGTTGTGTCACTGCCCTCACCTTTCCCCTGCAATTTCAACAGTTCTGCTACTGAGCTAAAATTGCCTTCCACAGCCAAAATGTCTATCCGATAATGATCTTTGTTGATTACCATTGCTAGATTGAACTGAGTTGGTCTCAAACTGGGCTATGCCTGCTCTTTGTGATTGTATTCATGATCATTGCTTCCATGTATTCTTGATAGATTCTGCATGCTATCCCCAAGGAGCCATGAGCCTCAACTACTGGATAGAAAACCCACTAATCCTATTATACAGCTTCTTTCTGCCCTAAATGTTTCCGGTTACAACTGAATATTAGAGGGAAAGGTTTTTTGCTGTGGGATTCTCGATGTGTATGTCTCTTGCTGTGAGCAGAAAGCCAAGGAAATTGGTCTTGAAGGATACAACAAACTTTTATTTAGATCGTGATAAAGATACCTGGCTTTGTTTATGGGATTTTATAGAGCCTTTAGCATTTTGACAAAAACCAACTTAGGAGATCTTTTATTGCCCTGTTGCTTTTACATTCAAAATTGGTTTTCTCACACTAAAAATAAATGAGATTGTATAATATAGCCTTTTTCAACCCACTTCCTGAGATATGTTAAATATCAGCACAAACACTGCTCTGGTTCATGGGTGATGGAGTCCAGCACATTTGGACAGCAGACTGGTTAAGGCTGCTGCTCTGTGTGATAGCAGTTTGGGGAACATTGCATAAAAACTAAGTGAAATAATTAAGCAGTTTCTGTTCCATATTGCATATCTGTCCTCAATTGTGACCTGAAGGACAAGAAAACATGTGACAGGTCTATCTAAGAAACCACAAACTTAGATGGCTACATCTATTTTGGATGAAGTACTCTTTTATACTAGATAAGTTACAGACTAGGCAACACTTAAAAAGGAACACTTTTCTAGTCAAAATCAGGTTCAGGGTGCATGTTTTTGACATGGGACGGTCATAAGCCTACCAACCAGAGAGAATACTTGCTGAGTTGCTACAGTGAATTGAACTGGGCAAAAGAGTCTCGTTTATCTTCAGGAGTGCATTGGTCCTTTGGATCTGGGTCTTTGCTACATGCAGGCACAATCCTGGGTGAGGATGTTTGGCACTGTCTCATACTTGAAGGAGTAGCCACCATCTGAAGTGGTGCGTACCCTCAAGGAGTGCATAGTGCCTGGCAATGCTGCACAACAGAGTTTGAAGCCAGACTTGTGTGCGAGAACGTGGTTTTCAGGGCAGGTCCCATGGCAATAGTGAAATATGAAGCTGGTAGGATGCACAATCCACTTGTCCCAACCCAGTTCTTCAAAGGAGATGTTGAGGGAAGCCCGGTGACAGTTGGCATGGACTTCAGCGTCACCTGAAGGTCGCTGGAGCGAGCGGAGAAGAGCTGGTGACCCGGGTCTGAAGGCACGCCGGGCCCGATCATGGCCCTTAGGGTTGGTAGATGTCACAAGGAAAGGTATCTTTTCAGCATCGGATCCACATGGACAGCCAGGGCAACGAACCATCAACACAAATATCTTCTGGGCAATGTAGGGCAAGAAGGAAGTCCCGAAATGAAACACTGTCCAGCCTTCTGCAGCTGGCACTGCCATCGTTGCCACAGGCTCCCAGCCTTGCTCTGACAGCTTTAGGATCTCTGCTTCGGGCATGGAGGTGTTGGAGGATGCTTCTGAAGGGCTGCTGCTTTGCACTGTCACTGGTCCTGTGTAGAACCACAGCTGGCCTGAAGTCACCATACGACTCAGGGTGTGTGTGGAGGGCTGCAAGACATAGGTAAAAAGGCCTGCCTCTTCTGGAAACTCATCAGGCTGAGGTGGCCCACAGGTCACATCTGCAAAATAAAAACAAAACAAAAAAGGATGATTGCTAATGACTTTGCTCATCACATGATCTAATTGTCAACCTAGCCCTCTAGGTATTTGATTTTCAACTGAAGCCCCAGGATTCAGAGAGCTGAAGTCTAAAACATTTAGGGGACCAAAGCATCAAAACTGATAACATGAGTTTTTCCAAAGACAGAAGGACAAGAAAACTGATGCAAGCAATGGTTTGAAGCGGAAAGGGCAAATGTGTGGGTTTTCAAATTCTCAGGATTTTAAAAAAAAGCCAGAGCTGATAATAGCTCCCAGTGTCTATTTTGTTTTTTCCGTGTCTCTATTTACCATTTTGTACTCTTAAAAAACCACAATGAACATTCTGTACCCCTGATTTCCCAAGTATGTGTCCTTATTTGTTAACCCTTTATCAGGTAGCTAAACTGATTTCCAAGATGCTGAAGGGTTGAAATCAATATCTCTTGCCTTCAACATCATCTGCTTCTGAGTTTTTATTCAGGATCTGACAAAGTGCAGCCTTTCAGATGTTAAGACTGCAATTTCCAACATCCCTCTATTGCCCAGCTAGGGTTGATGGGAGTTGCAGTCCCAACAACATCTGGAGGACCATACTTTTCCTATTACTGTTCTTGTGGAAACTTAATGCCTCAAATAGTGACAAGCATTTATTTGCCCAGAACCCTTCTCATTGTCCTTGTGTTGTAACTTGGGGGTGGATGTATGACCCCCATCAATGGCACCATTGTTGTTGTTGGCTGGTAAAAAAACCAAATCAAGGCAAAGTAATAATTCACAATAAAATGTTAAATAAAATGAGGCTACAAAATATGCAAGCAACACACAATTTCCTGGATGAATCTGTAGCAGGCCTGTTAGTGGCTAAACTGGATTTTCCTTTCCCATGGTTTTACTGAATAGCAGGAAAATAGCTTCCTCTTGTTAAGTGCTTTTTGGAAATCAATTGGCTGCCACAAATTACCTTAGATATACTTGGGAATCTTGTTTCTGCAATCCCAGCCACATCCTTCAAAATGTCATAGGTGCAAAATTTAGACAAATATACTTGGGCAAGTGATACAAAATTTGCTCCTATGTCTTTTATTAGATCAATTAATTTTGGTCAGTTTAAGGGTAAGCAAATGCTTGAGAGCTGTATCATATGAGAACCTGGATGTTCTCATGCTAGCGGAAGTTGTATCCAATAAAAGATACTGCCTAACTTATTTTTGGCTGTCTTAACATGTTGCTGTCTGTATGCTATTACTGCATTGTGGTGGAAAAGATATACAAGTCATTAATAAGAAAGAAAGAAATAACTAATTTAAAAGTCCCATATCTGTAATTAGTAATTTCCCTATTATATGGGATTTACATTTATTTCCCGTTTCCCCCTTCATTATTTCTACATTGATAGAAATGGTGATGTTCCTAATGCTGAATAGGGAAAGACCAGATTGATCTTCAAAATCCTTGCTAAGTCAGCAGTCTTATGCAAAATTGCCAGGAAGGAATTCACACTTAAATACCCTAATGATACCAGATCCCTTCTGATCTTGGAAGCTAAGTAGGTTAACCCTGGTAAGTACTTGGATAGGAAACATTAATGTCTATGAGGTCCTATAGATTATATTTAAGAAGAAAAAACTGGCAAAACCACCTTCTTAAACATTGCTTGCTTAAGAAAATCCAGTGGAATTCATGGGGTTACCATACACCAACACAGGTAATTTGAAAGCACATACACACACAATTCACACTGAAAACTGTTTTTGAATAGATATACACTTTTTGGTCTATAAATTGTCTTGACACAGTGCAGTGCCATTAATACGTATTTGTATATATAGTACATCCTATTTTGTTAAGTGGAACCAATGTACAGTATACAGAAATGCAATTAGCCAGCAGTTGGAGCTACTGAACTCAATGTGCCATACTTATGATTATATTATATTACAGTGCTAATCTAATTAAATTCATTGGCACTTCAGAATAAGCAGAAATAGAAATACCTATACATCTGAAAAAGAGACTCAGGTTCAGAAAATACTGAACAGTCAGGGACATCACAGGTGAAATGTGAAAGACAGAACCAAATACCTAAAACTGAGAAGAATCAGCAGCGTTGTGAATCTCTGGAACTGCGAAGGTGGTGGTTGTTAATCTGCAATGCTATAGCAGCAATAATCTGTCAGTTGTGAAGGCCATTGCAGAAGCAATAACTGATCACATCTTATTTTTGGAAACTGCATCTCTCAGACCTTCCGGCCAGCATGGCTACAATGGAGGTTCTGGGAGCTGAAGTTAGAAATAATTTTCCCATCTGTGTTATTGGCCTAGGTGATAAAAAAATCTAACACAATCTAGAATCATAGAAAAGACCCCAAGGGCCATCCAGTTCTTAAGGTGCCTCATTTTCTAGCAGTCTGCCTGTTATTGGTTTGCTTACCCCTGGATGGGAAGGTGATCACTTGGGATATGTCCTCTTCCTCCCACTTCAGGGTGACTGATGTGCTTGAGGCATGCCGTCTGTGGAGCCCCCTTCGCCGTCCTGCCTGGAGCTTTTCCGTTTGTGGAACAGGACCAAGGAACTCCAGGAAATGCCCCTTGACTTTGGCCAGGATGAGCTCCCTGTCAACTTCCCCCTTGCTACAGCCAGTAACCCTGGCAGGAGCCAGCAGGACAAACAGCAAGATCAGCATGGAGTTGATGAGGGGCAAGGTGTGCCAAGAGCCCAGATCCAGCATGTGCAAAGGAATGGTGTGCAAGGGGAGCAAAAGACCTGCAGGTCTGGGTTTCCTTTTTTGCTTTTTGAATGTGGGTAAGAAAGCAGGCTGAGTCTTTGTGCCCAAGAACTGGTGGTTTCTGGCTTGAAGCTATGTTATTGTATGCAGAAGTCCTGTCTCTCCTTGTGCAGGTTGCTCTGGCTCTTCACTTTTCCCCTTTCAGTCTGACCAACCCACCTCCTCTTGCCTCCTGCCTTCCTTGCTGAGCCAGGCTGGGGGCACGATGGCATTGAGACTGTATCTGACATTGACGTAAATGTCTGCCAGCCATGAATATTATCTCCTGGGCAGCAAAAACAGGAGACGTCTGGAATGCAAGGACAGTGCTGCCCAGGGGACAGGGCCTAGGGCAGGGTGCTCAAGGGGAGAGAGGGAGGCAAGCAGTGGCTGGGTGGCAGTGCTAGGCAGTGCTGGCAGAAGGGGCAACGTTTTCCTTCCCCCCTTCCACCCACCATATCTGCCTGGAGATCAGTGTAATCAGATTACTTAGAACTGAAGCCTGATCAATCTCATCAACCCCAAGCAATGACTGTCAGTCTAGATCCAGATCATAAGGGAAATGGAAGAACCTTCTGCCCAGATTTCTTGCATACTATAAAATTGTCACTGTACAAAGGAATGGTCAGTCAGTGCATTTTGTTAATTAAATGTAATAGAAGTGCTAAAATGTGCTAAAGAAAATCTGATCTATACCTCAAAGTTACTCCTTCCACTGTTCAATCAAATCAGAGCTCTTTAGATCTCAAGAAAGTGTGGATTATTACTCTCAGACTCCCTCAACCTATCTGTTCAAGGTCATTCAAACGTGTTTAGACATAGTTACACCTGCTTAGGCAAATCCTTTATCCCAGTCTCTTCAGCATTAGGAATTGTTGTAGGATTAACTTTTTTTGTAGAAATAAGTGGGGAAAACTCTTCTTGCGCTCTTAGAGGGGATACTGGTGATTAATAGTGTTTTGATGTCTAAAGCACACATGCCCGCAGAGCAGCTTCATATATTAAACTTTTTCTGCACATGAATCTCTTCTATTTCAAGGGAAAAATACAATAGCTGGTTTAGTTTTGTGTCTATCATGATCAAACGCATAACATGAGTTCATGTGATGTATTTGTACTTAGTTTTTTAGACAGCATACTTCAACTACCCAGAGAGCTTCAAAAGCTATTTCAGCAACTGTGACAATAACTACGCTGAGATTAACACCATCTTTCTGCAAATAATATAGCTTTAGGTAAGTTAAATGTTCTTATGGCTACCTACTGAGTTCAAACAGCTAAGATGAGCTTTGAAATGGCAACTTCTTAGCACAGACCTTTAACAAATGGGGTGTATACTAAATAGTCGCAGCAACTGTATTTTTCTCAGCAGGAAATATAAATTCCAAGTTAGTCTTTTGACTGTAACTTTGGGCCCTTCTACACTGCCATATAAAATCCAGATTATCACATTTGATCTGGATTATATGGCAGTGTAGACTCATACAATCAAGTTTAAAGCAGATAATCTGGATTATATGGCAGTGTAGAAGGATTCCCTAGGCTGTGCTGAGGTATTGAGCATTATAGTCCAAAAAAAGTAAGGCTTCCAAGTTGTGCCTGAAACATCTGTCTGTGATTGTTAATCAATTATGTGCACATTTCACATTTTCTCTACTGTTGTAATTGGTGAAGTGGATCCAAACACAAACAAAGGGGTCACAGTTTACCAAATGCTTGGCAAATTGTAGTGCTGCTTGCCTTTCAACCACAGACGTTGGGAGGGCTGCCCAAGAATTAAAGGGGGAGATGCCTAAGAGGGTAATTTTTCAGGCTTGTATCTAAGAATTCAGAACATAGCGCTGCTTGGCACCTGTCAGATGAGGTTAGATTTCAGTGTACTCTAAAACTGATCCAAGCAAGATCAACTGCATGGTTCCAAAAGGTACACAAGTATGTGTAGGCTGGATTTATTAGGGTATGGGTTAGGCTTAACCTAGTCTCCTACCACTTTTTCCAAATTGAGTGCACATCTTCTTCTATAAGGGAGAAAGATGCTAAGGATTGTAAGGAAACCATTTCTACCATGCAGGGGAACATAGCTAATTGCCCTAACATTGATCCCACCTAAGATCCATCTTGTTTTCTACTGCTCCAAAGGCTAGGACACAGACCAATTGATTCAACTTACAGGAAAAGAGATTCCACCTAAACACTAAGAACTTCCTGATGGTAAGAGCTGTCTAGCAATCTTGCCTGGGAATACAGTGGAGTCTCCTTCTCTGGAGGATTTAAAATAGAGACTGAATGACCATCTGCTAAGAGTACTTTCACTGTGTATTCCTGCATGGTAGAGGACTGGACTGAATGGCCCTCTTCCAACTCTGTTTCTATGATCAACAACAATGATATGTAAACTACCTAAGAATCGTTATAGATTTGTATCACACAACCTTTCCACTCTGTTTAGAAATTCAAAACAAAATCTTGCTGCTGATGTTCACCAAAACATCTACAGATGGAGTTTATCTTTTCAGCAGTATCAAGGGTACAATGATATGAGGTGAATAGAATATCAAGAATAACAAAACCGTAGATTAGAAGGAGATCTACCATCCTGCCTATGTGGCCATTCATCTCTGTTTAAAAACTTCCCCAAGGAAAAGACCATCATTGTTTGTAGCACTTCCTTGCAAGTTCAGATTGTCTCATAAGTCCTTGATTGAAAAAAAATAATAATAACAAAAACGAATGTTGGAGAAAATAGGTCATTTTAACAGTGTGCTTAATAACTGTTTTTCCCTCCTAATGGATTCAAATTACAGGAAAGCAGATTCCACCTGAACATTAGGAAGAACTTTCTGACTGTAAGAGCTGTTCAGCAGTGGAACTCTCTGCCCCAGAGTCTGGTGGAAGCTCTACCTTTGGAGGCTTTTAAACAGAGGCTGGATGGCTATCTGCCAGGAGTGCTTTGAATGCAATTTTCCTGCTTGGCAGGGGTTGGACTGGATGGCCCATGTGGTCTCTTCCAACTCTATGATTCTATGATTCTATACAACAGATTTAGTGGGGGGGGGGGGGGGGGGGGGGGGGGGGGGGGGCTTGGGGGGCTTCAGCCCCCCCCCCCCGAAATTCTCATGGTGGTTCGCGAAAAGGCCTTACTGGTGCATTATTTAAACTGTTATGTTTATTCATATCATGATCTGATCACCATACTCAATATATCCCATATGGGGGTATTGGGGTAATGATACAAAAGGTTTGCTAGGCTAGACCCTCTTTCACTCAGACTCAGCCCCCCCCCCGAAACTCAGCCCCCCCGAACCCCCCCCTGCCCGAAAAAAATTCAGCCCCCCCCCAAAACGAAATCCTGGCTACGGGCCTGCAAACATGTAACCTCTCCTCTGTTGCCTAAAATAATACATTTGTGAGGAATACAAGGGGGATTAATTCTTCTGAGTGTATGAGCTGGCCTGCTACTTACTCCTTGTGGTTAGATCATTCTTACTTCCATCTGAGATGCTGTCTCAGATTCCATTCATTGCCTCTCAGCTAATGTTAACAGAAGGATTGACGGCAGTAAATGTGTCATAGGAAAGAACTGAAAACAATCTCGGAAGGTATGTCAGAGGAATGGAGAAAGTTGCAAATAGTCCTGGAAAAATCTTTTAATGGCACCAATATATTTTTGGTGATAATTTTTGCAACATGGAAAACAAATGGAGCTTGTAAGTCATCCCCCCCCCCCCCCCCACCGTCTCAGAGAGAAAATGACTTGTAAATGTTCAGTACTTGCTGAAGTGGTGGCAGTGAGAGAACATGAAGTTTTCTTGTGACCTTTCCCTCTTCGAGTTGGCTGACAGAGTCATCTCCTTTAAAACGTCATGTTTTCTGTTTCTAACATTAGGACTGCTGCCTAGTTTCTGTTTGCTAAGTACAGTAGACTCTCAGTTAACCCAAACTCAAGCAACCATAACTTTCAAGCAACCGACAAAAAACCCCAGAAGAAATAATAGCGCAGTCATAAAGCTGTTTTATAATAGAGTAAAACTGTGTTACATTTGTCTTTTTTTTTGCTTTTAATTAATGTATTTCAATATCAAGCCAACACAGAGTGAATGATATAGTAAACTATGGGGTATAATATTGGTTAGTTCTACCAGAAACCAGAAACCAGATACAAAATTTATTTGGCATGGGTGCTGATTAATGGAGAGTCTACTGTATGTAATAATAGGCTTGCTATAATCTGAAAACCCTGTTCCAATAAAGCTCCTTTCTTTGGGGCCCTGTACTAGGTGCTGGGAACCTCTACTAGATTGATGGGTTTTGTGAGCCTCAATTTTTATCTTTGGAGGGGCTACCTGCCAGCAGCCCTTCTAAAGGTAAAAATGGAGGCTCACATATCCTGATTCCCAGGGTGGAGAATCCAAGATAGATAGTCAGGCAATGTAAGTCAATGACCTCAGTTTATTGAACCTGAGTTGTATGTGTTTTATTTTATTGTATTTTATATTGTGCTTCATTTTTATGTTTGTTTTTAGACACTTTGTGCCGTTCTGCAAGCTGCCCCAAGTCCCTTCAGGGAGATGGTGGTGGGATATAAGAATAAAGTACTACTAGTAGTAATAGTTGTTGTTGTTGCTATTAAAATATTTTTTTCAAGATTATATACAGATCTGAACAGTGGGTGCTAGTGGTGGGGCCCAACAACTGCCCTAGGAAGCCAGTTGTGTTGGTGATGCCAAGCCTGCCCAACGATATAAACCAACCGATCTCCTGGGATTTGGGTTTGGTGGGACACCAGAACTCTTTGGTATTGAAGACTAAAGACCTTGTAAACTATAACTCCCATGATTCCATAGCATTGAGCCATGGTAGCTAAAGGGGTGTCAAATCGCTTTAATTCTACAGTATAGATGCACCCTATGGAAACCGTTGGTTTAAATCATTGTAGAGGTGTGAAGTCACCAGTTGGCATCCTAGGGTAGTTGTTGAGCCCCACCTCTATCACCCACTCTTTGGACTTCTGAATAATGCTGAAAAAATATAAGTGTGACATGGTCCAAAATTTGAGGCAACCTGGGTTTTTTTTTTGAAGGGATATTCCTAGCGGTTCTAAAGCCACGTTGACCCCTTTCTTCCTTGAGTTGGGCTGGGCCTGCCTGGGCTACAGGGGTGAGGGATGCCTTTGTGCTCCTCCCTGCTGGGCTCTATACTTAGCCAAGCCCCAGCCTCCCTGCTTATCAGCCCAGCCATGTCATCAGAGGGTATTTTTGGGGACAGCAGCTGCAGGCATTTGTAACTCTCTTAGTTTCTTGCTCTCAGACGCTTGGTGAGCAGGGCAAAGGCAGGCCAGGGACCCACAGCATGTGAGGGGCAGGAAGCATGTCTGTGTGGGCATCTGTCAGGAAGAAGGGATGCCCAGTCTGGGCCATGGTACAGGAAGGGCTAGAGCTATAGAGAAGAGCAACTGGCATGTGCACAGATGGATGGATGGATGGGCAGATGGAAATTGCCTGGTGAGAAGAGGAAGAGTGGAAGCAGGAACTGACTGACCAAGAAGTTCAAAGGTTGATGCAGAAGGTGGTTACTGAACGCTAAGAGGAAGGCAGGCCAGCCTGATCTCCCTCACCACCTGCTTCCCACGCCCATCACTGGGTAAGTTTTGCTGGGGAAATAAAAGGAGGAGAGGGAGACAGACAAATGTGATACTCGCGGAAGTCCCCCCCCTCTCGCTAGCGGCAATGGTTCTAGCATTAACAACCCATCTAGTCACCAAGTGATAAATCAAGGGGAATACTTGGGCATTGGTTTTGGATGCCGAAGGAGAGAGCAGAACTAAGAGAATGACTGGGTTGAAACTCAGATTGAAAAGGGTGACAATACAGGGTTTGTGTATTCTGTAGAATCAAGGCTACTTCTCAATGCTGTGGAATCATGGGATTTGCAGTTTGGTGAGGCACCAGCACTCATTGGCAGAGAAGGCTGAAGAGCTTGTAAAACTATGACTGGTCATTAAGGTGGCATTAAACTGCAATAATTCTACAGTGTGGATGTACCCACAGTTGGTCTTCCATATTTTCAGAATCTGTATTAACAAATTCAAACATCCATTAAAAAACTCAAAAGCAAACCTTGATTTGCCATTTTATATAAGGGACATCAATGTATACCATTGTATACAATAGGACATCCATGGATTTTGGTATCCCTGTGGGGTCCTGGAACCAAACCACACTGGTATCACTGTATTCTTCCAGACCAGAGCTTTGATTTTCTGGGAACAACCCCTGTGTTTGTGAAGTTTGCGCCATTGAATCAAGTCACTGCATGGGTCTCTTGGCCACCACCACCCATTCTGTCCCTTATGTGTAAATGTTTTCCCGCAGAAAATAGGAGCTTGGAAAACAAAAGAAACGGCTGCCTGTGTGTGGCCTATTAAAAATGTTCTCCCTTTCTAGTCTGCATTGGGGTCTGCGTGGTAGTGACAGCTTCTTATCTGTGGAGCATTAAACAGAGTGTGATAGGGCAGGCATGCACGATAGGACAGGCATGTGGAGGGATCCATAAGAAACTGGGGTCCTCTGAGAACTGGTGTGGCATTCAGGCAGGAAATACAAGCTGGTATCCAATTCAAATCTCACTATTGCTATGCACTCGCTAAATGGCCCTTAGGAAATCATTTTCTCTCTCAGCTTCAGCTCTCTCTGCACACCCCTCCACCATATAATAATGACTACAGTGACCTACTTTGCAGTTGATATATTGGGAGTGCTTTGAACACTTGAAATGTGCTGGATAAAGTAATAATCAGCATCACTGTTGGTTAGTTTGCATCTTTGTGTGCCAGTGGCTGTTCAGCCGTCAAGCCATAATACAGCCATCCTAGCTCAGAGCAGGACAGGAGAGATATGCTATTATTTGTGGCTTAGGAAAATAACATTAAACTTTGTCCCTAAACATTGATGGCTACCTTAAAACTTAGGGAATCTAGTTCTGTTTCTGCAGTGCTCCTTTCCACTTTGGTATGGCATACATATATAAAGAGTCATGGGATGTACAGGATCTGGAAGAATATAAGGTGGATGAAGGCTTACCCCAAGAGGGGGACAAAGTGTAATGCCCCAAGATAATTTTATAGTCTTGATCCCCCAAACTTCCCCCAACTACTACTTTTCTAGCCAACAGCAAACAAAAATAAAACTCGGAATTGTTTTTCTTTGAAGTTTCCGGATCCCAGGAGTAGCAATTCTTTTTAAAACCAATCACAGTACTCACCTGTACTGCTTAGCCTAAAAATAACATTTCAAAAAACAGTAGTGAAAAGGTAGACTTTCAGCCACTTTTTGTCTGTCTATTTGTCTATCTGTCTATTGCATTTTTTATTTTTTGCAGCTGCTAGAGTGTCCCCTTGCAAAGTTTGGGGCCTCAAACTTGCCATTTGTCTGTCAGTGGCTTATACTGTAAACACATTGTTCAGTCTTAAATTGCTTATGTAATAATGCCATACAATTCAATACAACTACTGTTATGGAAAGAATAAATAAAGATGTTAAGTAAATAATGGCTCCTGGTGGGTGGGATTACATGGATATGTGCATGCACACACCCACATTATTGCTATATCTCAAGATCATAGGACAAAGAATTGAACACCAAAGTCATATTTCTGCTCATGATCTTGTCCCAGTGGCACCACAGAGCAGCTGATGTGATGCAGGCAGGGCAAGTGTCTCATGGGCTCTGCATACCTGCAGAGCATTTGTTGGTATCATTCATTTCACCACAAAACTGGTGAAGCTGGTCTAGTTCCCTGTCATATATCGGATTGTCAATTTTTGAACCTCCCCATGCCATCAAAGTGTAGCACAATGCACAAAAGAACAAGCATGAATGCAACAAGTTTGGGGATATCTGGAGGGGTCATCATGTGGACAGATTTGTCACAGACAGCCTGCTCTCCCAGTGTGGGGGTGGATGGCTAAGCAATGTGTGTTGAATGCTCACAACCCAATTTGCCACGTGATGAAGCATATGTACAGACAGGAAAAATTATGGCTTTGGAATATAAATCCTGCAATCTCTCAACCAGCTTTATCATTGGAAATGTTGGCTGGGGGATTCTGGAAGTTGCCATCTAGATGAAAAACTGTTCAGAGTTCTGGATGACATTATGAAGTGGTCACCTTTCAACCCAGTCTTTCTCAGAAATACTTTAAAGTTGCTGCAAAGGAGATGAACAGCTGTGTGATCACTGCAAATCAATTCACCAACCATTTTCCTGCATTGCTAAACTGAGCAGCAATTAACACTTTGGGTTTATTCTTCAGTGAATAGCTCCTTACTCATCCTTCATTCTTGCTTTTCAGATGTAATCCTGACTTGATCTCATTCTCTGTAGGTCCCTGGCCTCAGCTGTATCCTGACTGCGTCAGCAATGGATGCCTTTCGGGGAGCACCCCGATTTCTTGCCTATCCCCGCACATTCACAGTGCAGAGCGGGGATAATGCTGTACTGAAATGGCAAGTGACTGGTGAACCACGTCCCAGCATTGTCTGGGAGAAGGATGGCTCTGAGCTGGAGTTGTCTGGCCGGATATTTGTGATGGCTGATGAAGATGCATATAGCTTGCTGGTGTCTCAAGCTAACCCAACAGACAGTGGACGATATATGTGCAAAGCTAAAAACAGTGTGGGTGAAACTTATGCAGCTGTTACTCTCAAAGTGGAGACCACAGAACTGCAACCCAAGGGTAACCTTGATGCCCAGCCTCCAATCTTCCTCAATAGGCCAATCTCGGCCCAGGTGGCCCGAGGAGAGAATGTGACTTTTGCCTGCAGGGTTTCAGGGCAGCTTTCATGGGAAAAGGACGGGCGCAAACTTTCAGATATCTTTGAGAGCAGCCATTACAAGGTGGCTGTAGAGCCTGGTGACTGGCACGCTCTGCACATCTACAACGTCCGTCTCCCAGATGCAGGTGTCTATGTGTGCCGGGCACAAAACAGTTTTGGAGAGACCATGGCTGCAGCTGTGCTCCTGGTGGATTCTGTAGCATGGCATCCCCACGATGAATCCTTTCTGGATGCTCCCACAAACTGCCATTTCAAAAAGCGACCAGAGGCACAAGAGGATAAGAGGCGAAGACATCACACAGAACAAAATGGGCTACCAGAATCCAGGCAGAATGGGGAGGTCTTCCCCAGTCTACCTACTACAAAAGCCTTTACTGTGAATGAAGGGAAACATGCCAAGTTTCGCTGCTATGTCACTGGCAAACCCAAGCCAGAGATTGTCTGGAAGAAGGACGGGAAGGTATTGTCCCCTGGGAGGAGACACCTGCTCTATGAGGACCGGGAGGGCTACTTCATACTCAAGGTCCTTTACTGCACGGCACGGGACTGTGGGCTCTATGTGTGCACAGCCTGCAACACAGCTGGTCAGACCCTCAGTTCTGTGAGACTCTATGTTAAAGGTACTTATACAACAGAGAGGGAAGTGTGTGGGATGAAGTGGCATTGAATCTGGGAAGTAGAATGGGGCCATACATGTTTTGGAAGACAAAGCCTGTAGAGCAGTGGCTCTCAACCTGTGGGTCCCCAGATGTTTAGGCCTTCAACTCCAGAAATCCTAACAGCTGGTAAACTGGCTGGGATTTCAGGAAGTTGTAGACCGAAACACCTGGAGACCCACAGGTTGAGAACCACTGTTGCAGACCTAGGGAGTTTCCCCAAGGACAGAGTGAAAGGTTTACCTACAGTTAGGAAAACATAGGGTATAAGTGGGCATTCCGCAGCCCTTGGCTGATTTCAGTATGGATTGCAGGGCCCCAGGAAGAACATCAGTTCATAGGCAGACATAGCTATTAGTAGTGCTGGGTCAGCAGTTTTGATCCGGATCACAAGGGGGACATGTTTAGAAAATTTAACCTCTCTTCTCATTATCCTGAAACCAACAACAGAACCATTGAACATGGGGAGAGGTTCTCTAGGTAAAGGTTTGTCCCTGACTTTAAGTCTAGTCATGTCCAACTCTTGAGGGGTGTGTGTGTGTGTGTGCTCATCTCCATTTCTAAGCCGAAGAGCTGGCATTGTCCGTAGACACCTCCTAGGTCATGTGGCTGACTGCATGAGTGCCATTACCTTCCAGCAGAAGCGGTACCTATTGATCTACTCACATTTGCATGTTTTTGAACTGCTAGGTTGGCAGAAACTGGGACTACCAGCGGGAGCTCACCCGGTCTCCAGGTTTGAGCCACCAACCTTTCAGTCAGCAAGTTCAGCGGCTCAGCAGTTTAACCTGCTGCACAATATATACACTGCTTCCTAGGTTTTGTTGCTACACTGCTAATAATTAAAGTATGGGAACTACAAGGCTACAGGAAAAAAAAATAACCCACAATGGAGGGGAAGGGATTATTTGAAATCCGTGAAACCGTGAAATGGTATATGTGTGAATTGGAAATGACTGAACCCTTCATCCTGATTTATCGACCAGGCCCAACCTTCCACAATTTGATAACCTTTTGGATGAGATGGTCTGAAGCTCCCATTATTTCCTAACCACTATGGTTGTAGTCCAGCACATTTAGAGGCCATCAAGTTGGTGCTGGACCAGGTTGAACCTATGTGTTCCTTGATCTACTGGAGCATTACTGCGCTGGAGATGACAAATTAAGGAGCCAGTTGATCCCAGAGAGGAGGTGTGCATTCAGCTTTGTTCTTTAAACAAGAACTGTGATGCAGTAATGAAACACAAGGTACAAAGTGTTTGGCAAGAAGCTCTCACAAAGAACTTGCAAGAGAGAGTCTCTCAGTCTGAGAGTCAGGAATCAGTCTCTGTAAGGTGGTTGGGCTGCCAAACAGAGCCCTGCTCACTGCTTGTTGTCTGCTTGCACAGGAGCCTGAGTGACTCTTCGGGGACATTCCTGAGGGCCTTGCCAGGAATAAGGAATGCTTGCCACTCACCAGTAACAGTGCCTACAAAAGTGTGGAGTGGTTGGCACTCGGCCAGAGGCCAGATTAGATGCCAAGTATGGGGTCGGACAAGAAACATTTCCCATCTCAAGGGAGGACAGATGGCATGTCAGATAGGGGCTACTGCAGATAGCTTGGCAGGACACTATTCTATCTTGGACCAGGAGGAATCGTACTTCTCTTCCAAACAACAAACATGGGCAGAATCAGGATATAAGCATATGAAAGAATGCGGTGAGATTACAACTGCATGTCCAGCTGCTGACAACTGCATGCTGACCAGAGCCTGCAAGCTGCACATATGTAGGCTTTGTTGCAAAACTGACTATCAACACATAAGCACTAGGGTTATGGACAGTGGACATGGTTCCTTTCCACCATGTGTTAATTTTACTTAGTTTGTTGAATGAAAGAGCAGAGCAATGCCAGGTTGTTTCACTGCCTGAGGTAGCAAAGCCAGTGGGACCCTTTCCCTAAAATTAATTACATAGTAATTAAAGCTAGCCAAGTTATTTTCACACATGAATCCAAAGATACCTCTCCTCATTTCTGGCAACTAATTTGACAAGTAAAATAAATTGAACAATTAATCATTTTAATGACACCTTAAATCTTCTGTGAATTGGCTGCCTGGATCTTTCAGGGCCAGTCCAGATTGCTGCTGCAGTGAGAGGATTATAAAGCCCATAGGTAGGAAGTGCATGCCTGACTATTTCTCTGTGTAACATATTCCTATACACACAACACTATATGCCAGGGAGAGAAATTTTCACCCAGTTTTACTATTGTAGATACATAAAATTGTGTGTGTATTTTAAATATGGAAGATGTTCAGCTGTTTCTCACTGCATTGGAAGAAGTCTATAGATAATTTTACTCCTTCATCTACTCTTTGTATGAATGAGGCCTCAGTTTGTGAGGTGGGGATATGTTGTTTGAAGAAACATTTTTGGGATGTGTTGTTGAAGGCTGTCATGGCTGGGTTGCTGTATGTTTTTCGGGCTGTATGGCCATATTCCGGAAGCATTCTCTCCTGACGTTTTGCCTGCATCTATGGCAGTCATCCTCAGAGGTTGTGAGATCTCCTGGAAACTAGAAAAATTGGGTTTATATATCTGTGGAATGTCCGAGCTGGGAGAAAGAACTCTTTTCTGCTTGAGGTAGGTGTGAATATTTCAGTTGGCTACCTTGATTAGCATTTAATGATCTAGCAGTTTTCAAGGTGTGGCTTCTTACTGCCTTTTGAGAGGTGTGGCTTCTTACTCCACAGCTGCATGATATACGGTAGACTCCTGCAGAGGTGAGAGGATCCCTCTTGTCCTTTGCTGAACGTAACATTTGTTGGATTGTCTTAGCATATTATCTGAGAACTCCAGACAAGAAACAATCAGGTACAGCTAATCACCTCTCAACAAAAGATGCACCCAGGGAGTAAGAAGCCACACCTTGAAAACTGCTAGGCTATTGAATGCTAATCAAGGTGGCCAATTGAAACATTCACATCTACCTCAAACAGAAAAGAGTTCTTTCTCCCAGTCTGGACGTTCCACAGATATGTAAACCTCACATGCCTAGTTTCCAACAAACCTCACAACCTCTGAGGATGCCTGTCATAGATGCAGGTGAAACTTCACGAGAAAATGCTTCTGGAACATGGCCATGCAGCCTGAAAAACTTAAAACAACCCAGTTTTTGGGATGGTCTACAGCAGCCAGTTCTTTGTCAGAAGTGGAGGCTGTGCTTTATTTATTTATTTTAATTATTTACCCTATTTATACGCCACCTTTCTCTACTCCAAGGGTGACTCAAGATGGCTTCGCCCTTGGCTTTGGCTTTGCAGAAGCAACTATTTTTGTTGGTTGGTATGGCCTTGCGTCCTTTTGTACAGGCAACTGTTGGTCCAGAATAGCATATACCACTTAGAAGAGAAGTTGAGGAGTAATGGAAAAGAGATAAGGGGATTGGTTAAAATGGAGATAAAAGTAGGGAAAGAAAGGGAGGGTTACAGAATATGTTTCAATGTGTGACATATTTTATGGATGGGCTCAGTGCCCTTTCCTACTTTAGAGCGGGTGCTTGGCTAGGACCTGAGGTCATTAATTTTGAAGAGGGCAGAGAGGAAAGTGGTGGAGCTGATAAAAGGCCTGGAATGCTGCTGAGCTGAGGCAGGAGCAGATGAAGTCTTGTTTAGCCTGGAGAGGAAAATCTGGAGGGTGGCATGATAACAGGCTTCAGTTATGTGTCAAAGGCTGCTCTTAGTGCGAAAGGAACCAAACTGTTATCTGAACCTATTGAGTATCAGGCAAGTGGAGGAAGAGGCTTTACCCAAAAAGAGAGATTAAATACCAGGAATATTTGTTTCTGGCCGTAAGAATAGCCATCCAATGGAATGTGGAGGGCCTGCATTCACTGGGAGTTTTTAAAAATAGGCAAAACATTTGTCATGACAAGAGGGAGCCTGAGTGGATAAAGGATGGAATGAGAGAGAGAGAAAAAACCCTTGGAAGAAACATAGAAAGAGAATGCTGGTTGTATTCATGGGACTGCAACAGAGTCCCATAATGTAGCTTGGAAAAATAGCAGATAAGGAGAAATATTTAATAGGTAGCCAACAGAATCAAAGTCCTTACTGTGAAAATAGAAAAGGAAGTGGGTTGTTGTAGGTTGTGAGAAGAGGAAGTGGTGAAAAGGTGGACTGTTCCATTCATATGGATGAAGAGAGACTAAATCTTTCTTCATCACCCATATAAATATTTGTTTACCATTGAAAGAAAGGTGAGAAGTGGAAGAACTTACTCTGAAATGCAAATGTGGTATGTCTGTTGGTTTTAGAGATGGAAAGGCCTGGGAAAAAAACCTGGAAAAATTGGGGGAATTTTTTCCCCCAAAGCAATTTATTTCTGGAAAAACTGGGGGAAAAAAGCGTAGAAACAAAAAGTCTCAGAAATCGTTCATTAAGGTCTTCATGTTATATAGTTTGAATACCATGTCATGGATATATTATTTACCATTGGAAAAGAACATATTCTACACACTTTTCAATTTTTCTGGAAAAAATGACATTGGAAAAAAACGGAAAAAAATGTTTTCCCCCCAATTTTTTCCAGTCCCCCCCCCCCCCAGGCTTTCCCATCTCTAGTTGATTTATGTTCAAAATGTTATTTAATCACCCTCACTGAATGGTATAGCCAGGAATAGTTACACCACTTCATCTGCTATCTGTGTAGGGCAGGTCCCAAATGTTGTTACAAGAATGACGCTACCATTTTAAAGCATGCTTGGCATCTTGCTGGTTTCACAGCCTCCAATCTTCTGGAGAAAGGCACATCCAGGGCTTAATCTGTGCCAGGTCTCAGCCCTGACCTCTCACTGTCAGCCTTCTTGTCCTGGAACTAGAAAAGATGGAACTGCTTACTTCTTCCATTGGGTATATTACATTCACCGCTGAGTAATTTTAGAGGGGCCACATTCATTGTGGATTAAGGCGAAGGGCATTCAGATCAGGGGCTATTTTTTTTTCCAGAATGGCTTGTGCCTGGCGTCTCTTTTGCTGGAAATTTAAGCACAGGGCACAGCTGTGCCATCCGAGTAAACCCCACCTGTTCTTTCCAGGGTCATTTGCCTTTGCTGTTTCCCACCATTCCATCTCTGTTCTGTGTTCCCTTGGGTTCTTGTGGGGGTGGCAGGTGTCTGTCTCACTGGGCCTCAAAGAGGTGACAGCAAGGGGACTGAGTGCTATAGATACCACATGCCACCCACTTAGCACTCTGGCACCTCTCAGAATAACCCCTGGGAGGAGAATCAGGCTGCCACCCACCCACCCCCCTTCAACCGCTGACTCCCCTAGGATATACAAAAGTGGGGAAGGACCTGGGCACAACTCTGAAAACAGTGGAGCTCATAACATACACATTTCCTTTCCTGTTTGTTCATAAAATTGTCTGGCAAGAAATGTGTGTGTGTGTGTGTGTGAGAGAGAGAGAGAGCTATAAATCCAGTAAATTGATAAATAATGATATTCCTCAGTGCCTACATACACGTTATCAATCATAGGAAAAGTTTATTTTATTTATTATTTATCTATTTCCAGTATTTCTACCCTGTTCCTTCTCAACCCCCGAAGGGGGACTCAGGATGGCTTACATTTGGCAGCGATTCAATGCCACTACATATAGCAAAGCAATATAATAACAATTAAAACAATAAATAAACATTAATTAAAACAGTAAAAACTGTATTAGCAGCCATTCTTTACTTTTTTAAGATAGGCAAAATCATAAGGAATGGCACCTGAAGTCTTGCTGGGGAGTGCAGATGCAGATATTCTAGGAAGTTAAAGAAAGACAACACGCTTGGGAGCTTTTGGCTTTGGAGATGTACTTGACGGCTAAAATGACCCTGTCCAAATGGACAGAAGGGAGTGACAGTGGGTTGTGATGGTAAAATAATACCTTCAGAGTTGAGGCAACAAGGAAGAAATTGAAGTTTGTGTGTGGGAAAAGTGACATTTTGCTTTATTCTTGTATACTCCAGTCCTTTCCAGTCCAGACCTTGAGGGCTTAGGCTCAGTCTTGGGGTGGATTATGTCTTTTGGTCAGGTTTCAACATATCATCTGCCTCTTGATCACAGAACCCCGAGTGCGGTTCCAGGCACCTTTGGTGGATGTGGAAGTGCTGGAGAGCCAAGATGCGATACTAGAGTGCCAAGTGCCTGTAGCGACCATCCCTACAGTGTGGTATCTTGAAGATAAGCGACTGCATCCCAGTCCCAAGTACCTGATAGAGGAACAGGGCTTGCTGCGGCGGCTGACTGTGCGGGATGCCCGGGCTGACGATGATGGTATCTACCTCTGTGAGATGGAGGGCAAGGGCCGCAGCATTGGAGAGCTCTCAGTGCAAGGTAACAAGAGTGTGGAAGAAACTTTAGTTGCAAGGGCAGCATATATACTGTTTTACATAGAACAATAATCTATTTGAAGGCATTTAGTCTAAACAAAGGGGCAAAATCACAGTCTTTCCTACTATGGCAAATTTACTGTGTTTCTATTTCAGTTATAATTATTCTTTTAATTGAAATCTATACACATTAATGTACTTATGCAAATTCATACCGAAAGGGAAGGGGTCCTCTTTGATCAGATTGGCCAACACACATTTGGTACCCCAAATGTTAGACCTGTTTCTGGGTATATTTGACCTGCTGATTCCAAAAATGGCATCGATTTTCCCCTATCAGATCTAGGTTTTGAGGTACAGAACATATGCTATCTGCCAGTTACCATCTTCTCGCTCATAGAAAACTATAAAAACCATATTGAAGAAACTAGAGGTGATGCAGTCTATCCAATTCAATTTTCTGAATCAGCACCCCAAATAAGCCCAGGAACAAACCAAAAACCAAGACATCAAGAATTTATTTTATTGGGCTGTGTTATGTGTTTCCTTTGGAGTGTGTGATGCAAAGTAGCAATAATAATAATAATAATAATAATAATAATAATAATAATAATAATAAAGCTTTATTTGTATTCTGCTCTGTCTCGCTGAAGGGACTCGGGATGGATTCCAAACATAAAAGGCAAACATTCAATGCCAGAATACAACAATACATCCACACTAACAAAGGTTCAACAACCCAACATATAAACACAAATTATGACTTAACAACTAAAATTAAATAAAAATACAGCCTGCTATAACAAACATAAGACAAAACATCAGACATCAAATGTAAACAATAATTTCCCAGTTCCTTGGAGCAAAACGATTAATGGGCGATCTTAATTAGGTATTAGCTCTGAGCCATGACAGGGTTACTTTCATAATATCACTGTAACATTGAAATTGTCCTACTCAAACTATCTGATGTAGTAGGAACTGGCATCCCACCCCTCCCCCTGTGTGACAAGTGATCACATTTGTATCATTTCCCAAAAACTGATTGTTGGCCAGCACCAAATGGTTCAGAGACTAGCACTGGTCTACAGACCATTGCTTTTGGGTAGCACTGAATTAAAGCTCTGTTAAAACTGACAAGATAACTGCCCCGACCTTGCCCCTCAGGTCTGATAGTGAAGCGGTTGCCACGAAAGCTTGATGTGATGGAAGGAGAAAATGCTGCCTTTTATGTGGAAACACGGGAACCTGTGGAAGTACCAAGCTGGGACCGCAATGGGCAGGAATTGTTGGAAGCGCCACACACCCTCATCAGAAGCTTTGGCAAAACCCATCTCCTTGTGCTAGTGCATGTGTCACGGCACGATGCCGGAGTCATCACTTTCACAGCTGGCAAGTCACAAACCTCAGCACAGCTCCGTGTCAAATGTGAGTTGAGAGAGGTAATGGGATGGGTTGGGGAGGTTTTTTGTGTGTGTGTCAGGAACGTAGTCACTTCTGGTAAGAGAGAATTGGCCGTTTGCAAGGACATTGCCCAGAGGATGCTTGGATGTTTTACCATCCTGTGGGAGGTTTCGCTCATGTCCCTGCATTAGAAGCTGGAGCTGACAGACAGGAGCTCACCCTGCTCCCTGGATTCGAACCACCTACCTTTTGGTCAGCAGTCCTGCTGTCACAAGGGTTTAAACCATTGTGCCACCAGGGCCTCCTTTGGTTGGGAAGGTGAAATCCAGCAACTCACAAAATCTGTTATACCTGTCCAAAAAGCTAGGTAGTGAAGCCTGTTTCTCTTTTAGTTTTATTTTATTTTTTAAAGTATCAGTTTCAAGGCAGTTTGCAACAACACAAAAATCCACTAAGCCTACTCATCCTAAAAAGCCTTTAACCACCCACCCCTCACCTCCACCCCAAGCAAAAAAACTAAAAAGCAAGCAAATAAAGTTGTGAGAACCAGATCCGAGTGCTGGAGGAAAGGAAAAATATATTTCCTTTGTGCAATTTGAAAAAGTTGGGGCAAGTGAGCATTCCTGGGGAACATATAATAATAAGAGAACTACCACAGGAGAATACTCTTCTCCGCTTTCTGAAAAGTTATTGGTGAAGAAATGGAAAAAGCTGCTTCAGATGCCAAGTTCCAGGTCAAAGCAACTTTTAAAAGTGGCCCTCCCAGCAATGAGGCTCCAAGACATGGAAGGAAATTTGAGTTTGCCTAAAATCAATCAACCTGACTCCAGTTTTATATTTTCTTGAAAGTGTAACTTAAATTGAATTTTACTTAGCAATTTAGGAAAGTTCTGGAAATGGAAAGTAATCCCTCTTGGCAAACTTCATTTTGAACTAGCAAGTTAAAAACGAACACTGCTCTTGACATTACTTTAAGCACAATTTTTCTCCCTATCCTGGGCCCCAAACTCTTTCTTCTGCTCCCCTGTGAGAGTTCTTCACAAGCCAGCCATCATCTCTTTCAGTGTTCTTACATGAAAAACAAGGCCAAATACCTATAGAATATAAGAATACAAGGGAAACGTGGGAGGCAGCGGGATAGAAAGCTAAGCTGCAAGCTAACTACTTGAGACTTCCATTGAAATCTGTGCATAACCTTAAATAAAAAGTTATGGTGCTTGAAATGTCCCAGGATCAAAGATAAAAAGGTACAGGTTGTCCCCTGACATTAAGGCCAGTTGTGTCCGACTCTGGGGGTTGGTGCTCATCTTCATTTCTAAGCTGAAGAGCCAGCATTGTCCATAGACAACTCCAAGGTCATGTGGCCGGCATGACTGCATGGAGCACCGTTACCTTCCTGCTGGAGTGGTACCTATTGAACTACTCATATTTGCATGTTTTTGAACTGCTAGGTTGGCAGAAGCTGGGGCTAACAGCAGAAGCTCACGCTGCTCCCAGGATTCCAACCACCGACCTTTTGGTCAGCAGGTTCTGCAGCTCAGTGGTTCAACCCACTGTGCCACCACAATGGGCTATGTAAAACTGAGCACTTTGTAGATTCTCTTCTTTCTTTTTATGATGTTCAACAATATTTTAACCCTATTCTCTGGGGTGTGTCTTTTTCCCTTAATGATTCGTTTCAGTTTCTGAGGCTGAGATAATGGAGATGTAATAGGGAGAGGAGCTGCTTAATAACTTGTCATCTCTTTGCTCAAAATAGCATCTTCAAGCTGCTTTCCCATCCAAGAGGGGTAAAGAGGCAACCACTTCCTCCTGCTTCATTTGTTTTTGTTTAGAACTGCTTTTTTTCCTAACAGTGACAGCAACGCACAAGTCTAAAGGCTAGGTAGAACACAAACGTTTGTGTGATATGTGGTCTGGATTTAAACCCAAGCAAGTATGTAGATAGGGAGTCTTCCATAGGGGGTTTTCTTCCTTCCTAAGACTTGTATCTAATGGATTGAATTGGTGATGCTGGATGCAGCATCTATTTCATCACATGTTCATGTGGCTGCAGAATTCTTAGAATAATAGAATCCTAGAGTTAGAAGAGACCTCGTGGGCTATCCAGTCCAACCCCCTGCCAAGAAGCAGGAAAATCGCATTCACAGCACTCTTGGTGATCAGTTAATTGGTGAGCATTTATTGCCTGGTATCAGGAACTCACTGAATTAAGGCCAAGGATTAGACATGTGTTCTTAACAAGATGGGATGGTGTGCCATGTGCTGCATAGAATTGTAGAATCATAGAATCATAGAGTTGGAAGAGTCCACATGGACAACCTAGTCTAACCCTATTCTGCTATGCAGGGAAACCCAATGAAAGCACCCCAAGCTCTGTTTAGAAATTTCCATCGAATGAGACTCCACCATCTACTTTCTTTATATAAGCAAAATTATAATCGTAATTTGCAGTTATGCCTGTCGTTTGCACCTCAATCTGGCATTGTCAGGTCCAGGTAGTCTCTTTAGCAAAGACTCCCTTTCTTCAGGTTAGACTGCTGTGACAATTGAACAGCCTAGTCTTTTCTGGACAGGAATATCTGATTATTCATATTGTGGTAGCATCTAAGATTGACTAGTATAATATATTGTTACGAATCTGCTATTTGTAGACATTTTAGAAACTTCAGTTAATCTATATGTTATTGCCAGTATGTTGACTGGACCAGTTAGATCAGCGGTTCTTAACCTGTGGGTCCCCAGGTGTTTTGACCTACAACTCCCAGACATCCCAGCCAGTTTACCAGCTCTTAGGATTTCTGGGAGTTGGAGGCCAAAACATCTGGGGACCCACAGGTTGAAAACCACTGAGTTAGACCATGGAGTGAGGAGATAACAGAAGTGACTTATTTTCTTTAGGTGCCAAGAGAATCCCACCAAGTGTGCCTGTGGCAGCAAGGATGTGCACTTCACGCAGCAATGCTGCTCTCCTAACCTGGTGTCCACCACCTGACATGCACCGGAGTCCACCAAGCAGTTATATCATTGAGAGGCAGGCCTTGGGAGAGGCTGATTGGGTGTCATGCCTGACCACTGATGTTGCCAGCATGGTTGAAGTTCCAGGTGATGGTGTGCCGCAGGAAGGAGACTACTGTTTCCGTGTGTGTTCTGCCAATCAGTATGGATGTAGTGAATATGTGGAATTCTCAGGTTCTGTTCATCTTGGTAAGCCTTTCTGCTCTCTATTTGCATACATTATGTGGGGAAAATGCCTTCATTCAAACATGGCTATTACAACCATCTCTGTTTTATCTCCTGGTTGCTTTTCTTCTTGTGACTAAAACCCCAGAGCCTAAATGAGCATGATTAATTCCACCACTTCTTGCCTACTTTGAAACAGTTAAATTGCAATAGGGGGATATCCAGTTGTGCTGGAGCAGAAGGAAAGACATTTCTTTTATTGCATAGTCCGAACTCCATAGTCCGAACTGCATGCATTCATCATCCCTTTTTAGGCTGACTCCCTCAAACCTCTGTTCCTACAGTGCCCAAGGCCCGTGTACAAAGAGGACTGCAAGATGTTACAGTTCACACTGGTGAGGATGCTACTTTTTCAGTCCAGCTTTCAGTCAACATATCAGGTTGCTGGTTCTTCAATGGAAGAAAGTTAGAAAAGGAAGAAGAAGACCAGCAGTACCAGATCACACACTGTGGAATAGACCATGCCTTGAAAATTAGTCAAGTACAGCTATCTGCCAATGGGTTTGAGGTTCGATTTGAGGCTAATGGTGTAAAGGAATGTGCCATTTTGCATGTGCAAGGTAAGCCTTTAGTTGACTATAGCAGGTCAAAAATCACTCTTATCTGTTCTTAATATATTCAAGATATTATCCATAAAAACTCAGTCCCCTTGCAATAGTGTAATGTATCTTTGTATTGTGTTATCAAGGCTGTGTTTATACTAGATGCTTAATCTGGGGCCAGCTGGAGCATTATGTTTTAGACTGGTCCAGGCTGACCATGATGTTGGCCACATGGACCAGGCTGAATCCTGTGTGGCTCTGCATCATTGTCCACACAGCCCAGCCAGGATAACATTGGCTCCACTGGCCTGTCCCCTGTTTTCAGTTGCAACTGCCAATGTTCCCTCACCAGCCTTGTAGCTCTGAGGAAAATCTGCCCAATGCACCACCACTTCGGGTGAGTTCATAGACAGATGCTTGGGCCCGTGGTCATTGGTCAGCAAGGATCTCACAGAGAAGGGGGACTGTGTGGCTTCTGCTATTTGGTGATCATGCTGAATTGGACCCAATCCAGCTATTCATATGGCAAAAGACTCCAAGGCTATGTGTGAGTTTCCAGGGAACAATGGATTCTCCCCTAACTTTGCTTAGCTTGGAACAAAGCCCAGATGAGCCAAAAAAAAAAAGAAGAAGAAAGAAAGATGGATCCTCACTGTAAATAGCTATAGGTTGTCTGGATTGCTAGCACCAGTTTTTGAATTATATCTGATTATTATTTTTCTAGTGGAGATATGACCTCAATGTTTTGTATTGGTTTTTACACATTATGTCTTTCCAGCCCAACTGGTGCACATCACCCCAGTGCCTGAGGCCAGGAGACTACGGACACTTTTGGCTGGGATGCCTCTGGTCCTGGAGTGTGAGGTCTCTACACCTGATGCCCCCACCTTCTGGTTCAAAGAAGGAAACCCTGTGTCTTTGGATGATGGTGCCCTTCTTGTCCAATCAGAAGGCTGCATCCGCAGGCTCTCAATTCCCTCAGTCTCATCTTTGGATTCTGGGACATATACCTGTGATGTAGGTGATGATGCCATCACCTTCAGGGTAACTGTGGATGGTAAGTTGTCAGGGATGTTGTTGGTGTTTTCGCCTCCCACCAAAAAGCAGTAGAAAGAGATGTGATAGGGATGAACTGATTGGAAGTTCAATCAGCTTAAAAATAAAGTCATATCTTTAAATACAAAGTCACTGATTGAAAAAAGTAACATATAACAGCTTTTTCTTAATGCTTTGAGATTTGTACAGGCTGAGTATCCCTTATGTTGAATTCCAGATCTAAAATACTCCAAACTCTAAAATTGTCTATAGGGTGGCTGAAATAGTGGCACCTTTGTCTTCTGATAGTTCAACATACAAAACCTTTGTTTCATGCACACATTTTTGAAAGTATTGTGTATAAATTAACTTTCAACTGTATATTGAAAGTTCCCATCCCCAAGATATCTCAATAGGTATATATGCAAATTTGGATAAGGCACGCTCAACCTGTCTTATCTACTACTTGGAGTTTGGTTTGGAAGCTCATTAGAGCTGTTCTTACTAGTGTATAGAGCAGTGGTTCTCAACCTGTGGGTTGCCAGATGTTTTGACCTTCAACTTGCAGAAATCCTAACAGCTGGTAAACTGGCTGGGATTTCTGGGAGTTGTAGGCCAAAACATCTGGGGACCCGCAGGTTGAGAACCACTGATATAGAGCAAGGTGACTGTATTAGTTGACAGGTACTGTGAGACAGGGTTCTGGCAATGATGTGTTAGAGAACAGAGCTGCATATACTCTACACAGTTTGGTCCACACCTTTGTATTAGTTGGCTGCCTTTAGGTGAAAGTAGTGAGTGTCTAAATAACATTCAGCAGTAAATCTGACTTGATTTAATATGGAAAAGGGAAATGCCATCCTGTCCTTCACTTGAAAAGCTTATTTGCCTGGTCTGATGCTACACTTTCCCTTCCCAGCCTGAAAAATCAGCAGAGGTCTTCATTTCCCCTTTCCCCTGTCCTTCATTTTGTGAGCGTTGGTTGCATTTTCTACCATCATTGTATCTTTATACCACTGTAGAGCTTCCTCTGAAGGTTGTGCACTCCAATGCCAAAGAGGCCCATGCTTATGAAGTTGGAGAACGTGTGATATTGACCTGTGAATTATCCCAGCCTGATGCCCCTGTGCACTGGTATAAGGATGGGGAGGCAGTGGAAGAAAGAGATGGTCTCCTGCTGGAAAGTGATGGAGCTCTCCGCCGGCTGGTCATCACTTCAGTGCAAGCACAGGACTCAGGAGAATTTATGTGTGACATTGGTGGAGATTCTGTCTTCTTCAACATCTCTGTTAAAGGTCAGCCATTTCCCCCAAATCAAGATGCACCCTCAAAATGTGCTCCAAAGCCCTCCATGTGTATAGGTGCCTTCACTTGAGTTTTCTATTAAAAGGTGCAGGAGAGCCAGCCTTTTGCATCTAGCCACTCTTAAATGTGCCTCTGGCTCAATGCTATGGAGCCACAGGAGCTGTGATTTTACAAGGTTTTCAGCCTTCAGTGCCAAAGAGAGCTGGTGCCTCACCAAATTTTAAATCCCATGATTCCACAGTATTGAGCCATGGTAGTTCAAGTGGTTCAAAACTGCATTAATGCTACAGTGTGAATCCTACCCCAAGTCTTCAGAAAACATTATCTCTCAACTTAACCACATTCATTCTATTGTTGTGAGGTTGGGATAAATTGCAAAACATTTTAGATGCAGAAAATGTTTATGACAATGATAAATAATAATGCGGAGTATGTAAGTGTTTTACAGTGTTATCTTTATACACGACTCTTCAGGTGACTTTGTGAGGTACAAGGATTATCTGGAAAGTAAGGTTACAAGGCATGTAGCTCTCATGGGGAATTTTCTCAGGGGAAGTTGCTATCTTTGCCATGTAGCAGGAAGCCAGTGGAAGTGAATGAGCAGTGCCAGTCATCAGTAGCTCATCAACTGTCGTTGTGGTGAAGGTTGCCCTCATTCGATTTCCGTCCAAGTGTGAAGTTCGTGCTGTAATACGCTACCTAAATGCTAAGGGCATGAACAGCACTGCGATTCATTGCTGCATCATTTCTGTTTATGGAGAGGATGTAATGTCAAGACAGCACGTGACAAGATGGGTACAGAATATATTGTGAGACCATGAAGAAACTTTGCAGAGCCATCCAAAACAAACATTGTGGGATGCTGATGGCGGGAGTCTGTCTCCTTCATGACAATGCATGTCCACACACCACTCATGCAATGCAAGAGTTGTTGACTTCATTTGGTTGGGATGTTTTAATCCACCCCTCTCACAGCCCCAATCTCACACCCAGTGACTATCATATGTTCACTAAATTGAAGGAACACCTTGGTGGAAAACACTTTTCTGACAACAACGAGGTGAAAATCAAAGTGACAAATTGGCTGAAAAAGGTGCAGGGAAACTTCTATGACACAAGCATCAAAAACTCATCCCACAGATGACAAAATGTATTGAACTAAATGAGGATTATGTGGAAAAATATTGTAATACCTACACTACAATCCATGTAAGTTTCATTAAATTATATACATTCTTTGTATTTTAAAAAATCTTGTAACCTAACTTTTTGGATAACCCTCGTACATACAGGGTTGCATCTTCAGAATAATTATTTTATTCATTCCTGTGGCTGTTATGAAGAGGATTTTAGTATCTCAATTTTGCAGGATAAATTATAGAGGCTGAGGAAGAAAACTTGCCTGAGGCAAGACAAAAATTTATGAGTGAGCAGAGATTTAAACCTAGACCTCCCATTCCAAAGGTCTATTCTCATGGCTTCTTACCACAATTCAGTTGTCAAAGGAAAATATAGTTTCAACAGGTATAATGAAATTCTTCCATTGACAAGATAGGAGGGTAAATGTTTGAACATACTGAGTACCGCTCTCTGGACCATTTCCTGCCCTGATTGACAGCATACGTTTATTTAGGCTGATGTATTTGCTGTCTCTTTGATTAAGAGGCTGTACCTGCTCCTCCCGAAGGAACAAAACCAAACCTCCTTTGAAGGAAACTTTTAGGGCATGTGCAGCAGCCACTTTATTTCACTTAAATTTCATTCCTACTAAGCAAGGTAGGCAAACAAGTCTTTTTTCACCTGTCCCTCTTCTCATGATAAAATGTGATTAAGAAAGAAAAGGAAAACTTAATGGTATCGAAACCCCAACCCCCAAACCAGAGCCCAAAGCCTGTGCCTGTGAGTGCACCCAGGCATGGAGTCTGCAACTGATCTTTCCCTCAGAAACCCAGTTCCAGATGACTCCTAGCATGAACTCACCAAACCGCATAAAGCACATACACACACAAGGGCAAATCTCATAATCTGTGGAACTAATAATAAATCCAGCTCAAGAGGGTTGTGGAAATTAACACCTAGCCAAACTCTCTTCATGAGAACCCATCCATACTTTGCCAATACCCTGCCATTCATTGTTAAGCCAGACAAAATACATTGTGTTGTCTGAGCAGGCCGGAACGGAGTCATTAGCACCCATTACCCCAAACCCTTCCCACATTCCTCCCTTCGGGCACCCATGAGAGGCAGACCAAGAAACAGCCTAAAATTTCAAATTAAGCAATGACAGTATATTTAAATTCCCACCAAGAAACCAATAGGCTGCAACTCGATGCTTCGTGCCTGGCCAACCAGAGCATAGATTCTAGCCAGACCCAGGCTAAGAGCCTATTATTATTATTATTATTATTATTATTATTATTATTATTATTATTTATACCCCACTTTTTCTCTCCACAAGGAGGCTCAAAGTGATTAAAACACTCAGAGTGGCAAATGGCCTTTGTTTTGCACGGCTATCAAACTCCTTTAAATGCTTCTGTATGTTCTCAATGCCTGATGTCAGCTGTTGAAAGTGCAGACTCTGACCCCTTTCACACAGGTGAATAAAATCCCACGTTTTCTGCTTTGAACTGGGTTATATGGTAGCGTAGTCTCAGATATTCCAGTTCAAAGGAGATAGTGTGGATTATTGTGTCTTGGTATTCGGTGTTATATGGCTGCGTGGAAGGGCCCTCTGCTAGCACCCACTTGGACAAGGTGAATAAAGCCACTGTTCCTTTGCCTTCAACCCACTAGTGTTTCATTTGGTTTTTGGAGCTTGGCATAATGGGCCTCTGAACCCACGGTTCTTGCAGGAGCCAAAATCACTCATCAATAGGTTTAGAACCCCCTGGAAAATCCTATTATACTTTCTGAATAACAACAACAACAACAACCATTTTTATTTGTTACAAACCACATCTCACAGTGAAAACGTATCACAATGAAAAACATACAATAAGATGCACATATTAAAAGACATTATAAAAAAAGGCCTAAATATAGTAGGTAGTTACCAAAGAAAAACTCAATATTCAGAGTGTACAGATGTCTAGAGATAGCAAATTCCTGGTACACGCATGGTCACCCCATATGGTGGAATGCAAAGGAAAACATTCAAGGGGGGGGGGGAGAGCAAAAATCCAACAAGCTCCATGTACTAATTGATGTTCTGCTTGTTTAAAGAAATTACCAGCTAACCATCAATAGCCCATGGAGCTTGTTTTCTCTTTGTTTACCACATATGGATTCTAACACATCACATTATCATCAACAATACCCATTTGAAACTTTAGGGAAAAAAAAGTTTCATTGAATTGAAAATGTATAAAATAACATTGCATATTTGAGGACAAAATATATAATTACCTCTTAGACCGTAATTTTTCCTGGCAGAATCAAGGATGGTTGTACCCAGATATTTTTCTTTGATTAATTTTGTTACTAGATTATAAAAAAATATAACAAGATTAAAACTGATTTAGAAACATGTCTTTAATTTAAACTGATTTGGGGAGTGGCAATGAAAAATCCTTGGTAATGTCTGGAGTTTCCTGTTAGTACTTTAGAATGGACAAAATGTCAAGTATATCTCCAAAAATAAAACTAGTTTGTACAGGAACAAAACCTGGGATTACTAGAGACTTTTATCTGGAGAGGCTCTCGGAAAGCAGGAAAGAAGATAATTAAATGTGGCTGCTCTACGTGACTGGGATTGTTGCAAGCTGTGGGAACTTGGCTGGTTTATACCTCATTATTTCCCCAAAGTTTCCACTTTTTATGAGTCATCTTCCATTTGTGGAGGTCCATCAGACATTTGTGGCAACTAGAGTATCTTATATTGTGTTTTTGTACCCCAGAACCTCCTGTAACTGTTGTACAGTCCAATGCTGAAGATGCTCATGCCTACCAGGTTTCCCAGCGTGTGGTCTTAAGCTGTGAGCTGTCCCGTCCCAATGCTTCTGTTCGCTGGTACAAAGATGGGGAAGAGGTGGAAGGAAATGATGGCTTCCTTTTGGAGAAAGAGGGCTCACACTGCCAGCTGACCATTCCTTCTGCACAGATCCATGATACAGGAGAGTTTGTCTGCGATGTGGGTGGTGATTCTGTCTTCTTCAATATTACTGTCACAGGTGAGAAATGTCCTCTGCTAAACTTCCTGCATAATCTACATTACTCATTATTTTCGTATCATTGTAATAAGCCTGTCATTTGCTAACAGGATGGGTTGAGGTTGCCTGTCTGGTTTCCAAAATACTATCACACATCTCCAATTATAAGACATTTCAGATTTCTCCTAGCATAAGTTTATTTCTTTTAGTCTGACATACAAGATCATCCAATTAGTTGTTAGAGCCTGGAAGCAGAACTAGCATTTTTTGATGTTTCTGAAAGTGGAGAGAAAATACGGTAGATAATTATTTGAATCCTTAATATACAATCTGTTGCTTGAGATTACTTTTAGAGTTCATCGGTATGGGAAAGATAAGCCTGGCACTAGCTGAGAACTCAATGAATATATTTTAGGGATCCCAGTCACACACTCACCCATGAGGAGGTGGGTTTCTATTAACTGAAGCAGTGTGTATGCTTTTTTCCTACTACAAAATACCTGCTGCATTCATTAATTACCAGTAAAGTATTATTTTATAGCAGTGTTCATTTTACATTGCCATCTTAGGGTGACCTTTCTCTTCTTCTAACCCTTTGAAGCCGAGCAGTAATAATTGAGATGGAGGGAGGGCTTTCATCTGCTTCTGGGTCCTAGACATGATAGAGCTGTGCTTGCCTCTTCTTTTGTCCCTCTGAGGTCAGGGCAGTGTCAGTTGAGATCTGTGTGTGTGTGTGTGTTTGGGGGGGGGGGCTTTCATTTGTTTCTGGGGCTAGAGAAAATGGAGCTGTGCTTGCCTCCTCCTTTCGTCTTCTGAGGTTCCATTCCATTGGTCCCTCCATTGTTGTTATTGGGTGCTTCCAGACAGCACTAAAATGTGGGTTTTAGAAGAGGGGCAAAAAACCCTGGAACCTCAGAGTAGGTCCCCACACAGACCTGCCAGTCCCAGGCTTTCTCTCCCCCACCCCCCCTGTCCTCACTGTCCTCCCTTCTGTGTCTCAAGAAAAAATGGAGGGCAGATGGGGGACATTTGTATACAATTATGTGCTGATCTATATATGAGCATCCTAATTTCATAAATACAAGCATATTTGCATGTTCACATATACAGAACAGCACATAACAGGGATTTTTTTTTTAAAAAAAACTTCCACCGGATTTCTCCCTTCCTCTAATCATTTATTAAGGTTCTGTTTACAGTGTTACAGTGTTTACAGTGTAAAATAAAGAGTTCTAATGGCTCTCTGTTCATGCTTCCTTTCAATCAGCTGTGCGTCTATTTGACAGCCCAAATCAGCTGATCAGCTGTTTCATGCTTTTTAAAAATAAGGGAAAATAGCTGGACCAGTCTACACAGGAAGGAGGGAAGAAAAACATGTGTTTTTTGGAACGCAGGGCCACACAGACATGCAAATATCCTCATCTTTAGGCCAGAAATGGGATAAAAGGGGATCTTTTTATCCTGCATTTCCCTCCTTTGTAGCTCATCAGCATCCATTTAGCATTGACATTGTGTAGCACCCGTATCCCTTTTGAAACGGGAAGTCCCGTGTTTAAAGCCCTGTCTGGATGGGTCCATTGTGTACCTTCAAGTTGTTTCCAGCTTATAGCAACCCTAACACAAGCCTACACAGGGTTTCCTGGGGCCGGGAGTATCTGACATACCCAGGGTTACCCAGTGGGTTTTCATGGCTAAATGGGGGTAGTCTCCAGAGTTTCAGTACAACACTCAAATGGCTGTGCCACAATGGCTGCTACCAACTATCAAATTAGAAAAATTAGAATCCATCTTAAGTGAATGTCTAGTGCAGTATGGTTTCTGTTGATTTGGCAGTGTCTCTTCAGAAAGAGTTCTTTCCAAACTCTCCTTGGAGATGTTTGGTATAGAACCTGGCATCTTCTGCATGCAAAAAATGTACTTTCCTCTGAATTGTGAGCCCTTCCCTAATGTCGGATGTGTTTATTCTATTGCAGATCCTCCTGTCCAGGTTGTAAGTTCCAATACAGATGAACCTCATACCTATCAATCCTTGGATACGGTGACATTGGCCTGTGAACTGTCCCGCCCTAATGTTCCTGTTCGCTGGTACAAAGATGGGGAAGAAGTAGAGGAGTGTCAGGGTCTTCAGCTAGAGGGTGAAGGGTGCCACCATAGACTGGTCATTACCTCTGCTCAGGTGCAAGATACAGGAGAATTCGTATGTGATGCAGGTGGTGATTCAGTCTTCTTCAACATTACTGTTAAAGGTCAGTGATATCTATTACTTTTCCTTGGACATAGATTTCAGCCAGGAGTGAGCAAAGCACATTACTTGCTACCATTTCTAAATTCCCATGTACAGTTTTTTACCTAGAAAAAAGGATGAAAAAAATAATGTTTCATCAGAAAACAAGTATAGTTTGTAATGTATCCCAGTTAATTTTTCCTCTTGTTGCATTGATTTGACTAATATCTGCTGGTGGGGAATGATGGGATTTGTAGACCAATACATCTGAAATGGGCCAAGTTTGGCAAGACTGCTGTATGGGGATTCAGACATTATCCTATTTACTCTCTGCACCCCTCAACCATTGCCAGACTGTAAGTTAATATATCTGAGGTTCTTCTTTTTGTTTTGTCCCTTTTAAAAGTGTTAGTTATTTTTCCCCAGCCTCACCCATGACAGAGACATTTCTGAGTTCTTTTCATTATTTAGATTTTCTAAAGTTCTTTGCTTCATCATGAAAGCTACGTTTAGTCATAATGATTTTGCCGTTTGGGATACAGAACTCTTGAGGAAATATATCTTTATCCTAGGAAGATTTATCCTTTATTGATTATCAGTTTTCTATCATGACCCATTTATTGGCACAAAAGTATTCCAGACTTGCTTAGGTACCTGGCAATACTCAGGGTAGGTCTTCTGTAATTCTATTTATAAGAAATAGTCATTGTTTGCTTTTGTTGTTTATGACTGCTCCAATTAGAAAACTTATGTGAATGTGGGAGAACTACAACTCCCAACATTGTAGGTCAAATTTGTCAGCATTCAAAGTTGGTCATGATGGGTCTGTGTGCCAGGTTTGGTCCAGATCCATCATTGGTTGGGTTCAGAGTGCTCTCTGGATGTGGATGAACTATAACTCCCAATATCCAAGATCAGTTCCCTCCAAACCTCGCCAGTACTTGCTCATGTTGGGTATGTGTGCCACGTTTGATCCAGATCCATTGTTGACAGGAGTCACAGGGCTCTCTAGATGTGATTCATTGTTGGTAGAGTTCACAGTGCTTGCTCTCTGAATGTGGCAGCTATTCATATACAAGCATACATGCAAACATATCACCACTTTTATATACAGGCAGTCCCCAGGTTATGAACAAGTAAGTCAGAACAGGTTCATTTTTAAGTGTAACTCCAGCCAATCAATCCCTGCCTGCCTGTCTGTCTGTCTGTCTGTCTGTCTGCCTGCCTGCCTGCCTGCCTGCCTGCCTGCCTACCTACCTATCTATATCTGCACATTGGATAGCATAGGGAAAGGTTAACACCGACGAGGTGTTCGTTTTGCTGTCTGTGCCCCTGTTCAGAAAATTTCACCTTATTTTCTGTCCCTGTGACCCCTTAGATTTCTCTCACTTCGTGTTGTCTCACTCCTGTTCTTAACTATGAGTAGTTCGTAAGTTGGGTGTTTGTAACTCAGGGACTGCCTGTATATAGATGCCTTTGGTAACCTTTGCTACAATTGACCTACATTGTGACACATCTGAAACCATTTCTGCAAGGAAATTTGGATTACATGGCTTGTGTACATTATTATAGAGTTGCACTCATCACACCACAATAAACTAATTGGCTAGAGTAGTCATTTTTAATGATGGGCAAATATCCCAATGGGCTGATTTTCTAAGTGCCTTGGAAGCTGCTTCTTTGACTGGAATTTGAGTTTCTTTTCTAACTTGTGAATGTTTGGTACTTAAAACACTATAGCACTGGTTCCCAACTGGGACTAATCCTTAGATCCCACATCCCCTCCTCCTGGGCAATGTTCATGAAAGTCTTGTGAACAATTTCAAGTTCTTGTAATTCCCGCAGGCTTTGTCTTGACTCATTAACAACCCATCCTACTTTCCAGGAATAGCTGAATTCTAATGAACTCTTCTGGGGAGTTCCTAGAGTTTCAAGCTAGTTAATTTTCTCTGCACATAGCATCTGCTTGATAGTTGGATGTAGGGTAAAAAATAAGGCCCTACCAATATGGAGTTCTGAGCTAGACCCATTGGTAACAACCTGTATGTTTGATTTTGACAATTCCCTTCTGGTTTCCAGTATTTGATTTCTCTCTCTGTGTGTGCCTGTGTGAATTGTTTCTTAAGCCTGTTTGTACTGAACTCTGTTCACAGAACCTCCGGTAAAGATTGTGCTCTCTAATGCGGATGAAGCCCATGCCTACCTGGTTGGGGAGCGTGTGGTGCTGGCCTGTGAGCTGTCTCGCCCAGATGCTCCTGTGTGTTGGTACAAAGATGGAGAGGAAGTGGAAGGAAGTGAGGGCCTCCTGATGGAAAGAGAGGGCCAGCATTGCCAGCTAATCATACCCTCAGCTCAGGTCCAAGATTCAGGGGAGTTTCTGTGTGATGCGGGTGGTGATTCTGTTTTCTTCAACATCAGCGTTGCAGGTAAGAGGATCAATGATTTTGCCTTAGAAGATAAATTTGTTCTCCTCTGTTTCACACTAGTTGGGCTGTTGAAAGTGGGCTTGGCATCCAGTGAATTTTTGTTTGGCCCCTCCTGCAGTCGTTCATTAGCTGCCAATGGGCAAAATGGAAGTAATTATCAATGCGGAAGTTGAAGGGTAGTCACCTGGCAGATAAGCACTTTTGGACACAGACAATGGCTTTGGGCTGAGTGGGAAAGATGCTCCTGAATATGAATGAAAGTGAGGGATGTGAGGAAGGGACTCTTATACTGCCCCCCTTCCTCTTTCATTTCATGCAAGCTAGGAAGAATAATAGAATCATAGAGTTGGAAGAGACCTGGTGGACCATCCAGTCCAACCCCCTTCCAGGAATCAGGAAAATTGCATTCAAAGCACCCTTGACAGACGGCCATCCAACCTCTGCTTAAAAACCTCCATAGAAGGAGCCTCCACCACAGTCTGGGGCAGAGTTCCACTGCTGAACAGCTCTCACAGTCAGAAAGTCCTTCCTCATGTTCAGGTGGAATCTCCTTTCCTGTAGTTTGAAGCCATTGTTCCGTGTCCTAGTCTTCAGAAAACAAGCTTGCTCCCTCTTCCCATGACTTCCCTTCACATATTTATACATGGCCTTCATCACGTCTCCTCTCAGCCTTCTCTTCTGCAGACTAAACATGCCCAGCTCTTTAAGCCACTCCTCATAGGGCTTGTTCTCTAGACCCTTGATCATTTTAGTTGCCCTCCTCTGGACACATTCCAATTTGTCAACATCTCCCTTCAACTGCGGTGCCCAGAATTGGACACAGTGTGGTCTGACCAAGGCATGACTTCACTGGATCTAGACACTAGACTCCTATTTATGCAGGCCAAAATTCTTGGGGAGCTCACTAATGGGCCAGTTCACAGTGATAGTGGCAGTAATGAAGCCACATGAGAAGCAGGGATGAAGGTAAGGTGTGGCAGGTAGGGGAGGCTTTCTAGACCAGCCTGAGGTTTGGTAAGAGTTTTCTACTTTGTTGCATGTCAGATTGCTTTGCCTGTCAGCTGCGGGAAAAACTATTAAGGAGTCCAGGTTCACTTCTTGGTCCTCCGAGTGGCAATTGTGAGTCCCTGTCAGAGCAGTTAAAAGTCATTATACAGGATTTCCAATATTGTACATTATTACTATTATTGTTGTAATAATTATTATTACTGGATGCCAAAAACAAATTGTCAGTTAGCGATACTACTGAGAGAGATAAAAGCGTATGTAACATGTTCAGCTCTCAGATTCTCATCTGTACCACCCCAGGCTCAGTAATTTATACCATTCTCATTCTCTCTTGATTTTGCACACAATGGTGGTTCTAATGACACTTTGGTGCATTAAAGTCAGTAGAAATGAGGAAGAGAACACAATTGCCATGCTGGCTTGGGATGCTGACTCATCTCATTGAGCTGGTACTTATGTTTAGACAGTAGGCCATTTGCTGTAGGAAATTCATGTTGTAAATTTATTTTGTAAATGCCAAGTTTTTTGGCGGTCAGAGAGATGCTGAATTTGTACACGGGTTGTGTTTGTACTGTTCTGGCAACCAAAGCATTCTATTTTCTATTAGTTCACAAATTCTTTAAAACACCATTTATGTTAGTTGCCATTGCAACATTCTGTATATGCAAGGAATTCATGTATTTTGTTCTTTCTAAACCACCTGCTGTATATCAGTATCAATGGATGACCTTGAGTTTTTAATGTTCTGCAAAAGGTTAAGATTTTCTTTAATCTCACTCTGTCTCTCTGTATGTGTGTGTGTGCGTGTGTGTGTGTGTGTGTGAGAGAGAGAGAGAGAGAGAGAGACTCACATGTGTACAAGCTCATTCCCTAACACAAAACAGTGTTGTTTCCCATAACATATTGGTTCCTTCTGCCTTCTTTATACCAACTTGGCTAGCATCCACGTTTTCTTGCTCCCTGGCTTGTTCTCAAGCCTGCTGCTAATTCTTTCTCTCTCCTATACCATAGAGCCACCTGTGAAGATTGTGCACTCCAATGCAGATGTAGCCCACACTTATCAAGCCTCAGATCATGTCGTGCTGTCTTGTACGGTGTCCAACCCCAAAGCCCTCGTTCGCTGGTACAAAGATGGGGAGGAAGTTGAGGAGGGGGAAGGCCTACTGTTAGAGAGTGAAGGCCTCTATCAACGGCTCATCCTTCCCTCTGCACAGGTGCAAGATACAGGGGAGTTTGTGTGTGATACGGGCACTGATTCTGCCTTCTTCGTTGTCTCTGTTGCAGGTGAGGAATGTGATATGGCTTCTGTCTTAGGTTTGTTTTCCTAGCTCTGATAGAGATATATTTTTTAGATTTCTACTTCAAACCAAGTACAGAGTAGCATCTGCAGGTGATAATACTAAGCTAAGCAGACAAATAATGTCAGATTTGGCATAAGACAGTTTCTGAGGTGCCTAGATTTAGCTTCATTTTCCTATACTGGGACAATCTTTGACCTGTCTCCCTGAACAAAATGTTAGAAGTCAGATTTAGCTTATGCTGCCATAATTTACATTGTGCTCCATTATCACTTGTCTCATTGATAAATACTATGATTGTTGTACAAGAGAGGGGAGGACATGGTTTACCTTGTGATAAGAATTGGACCCAGATTATCTTTCCTGTGGCACATTCTGAAAAATAATTATTATTTCTCACAATGGAAGAATACCTTATACTGTGACATCTCTCTAGTTCAGCAATGGACAACACTGCCCATCATAATGGAAAACCTGTTTAGTACTGTCTACACTCCTTGTTAAAGCATTCTGTAGGATTTCAGACAGAAGTCCTTCACAGCCACACCCCAAGAACTGAAGCCTGGAGTTTTTGCATGATTTACTTTGCATGATTTGCTGATTTATAATTGAGCACCAGCATTGGCTGGTGCAAAAGTCAATGGATGAACCCTGTTTCTGATGGCAAACTTCAGAGAGTTCTGGGTTCAAATTTCTGTTATATAACTTGTTTTTTTTAAGTGGAAGGAGATTCAGAAGATAAGTTTTATACCTCCACAAGTCAGCCAAGAGCCTGAGGACAAATTTTAATGATATTTCCCAAAAAGTCTAAATGGAAGTACAATGTGTGATTGGATATATATTAAAAGGCAACTAGATGTTTATGAGAAAATGAAATTAAGAAGCAATGAAAATAGCTAAAAGCAATACTCTGTGTGTGTGTGTGTGTATACACACACACACACACACCTATATATATCACATTTCCAGTCCTGTACATGGGGCTCTGAATGGGTTACAAGATACTTGGAAAACATGATGGTTGACCATCAGCATGACCTTCCACTTGCCATCAGCTCTGGCCAACCTGGACAATAGTGAGGGATGGGAGCAGAAGTTCATCAAAATGTGGAAGGAGGCTACAAGTTCCTCATGCCCACCTGATTCAAATATGATATTTGTATTATTTACTGACCAAGATAGATCTTGTAGCACATTTTTTGTGTGTGTGACAGTGCCCGACTTTATGGACATAGGTTAGGAACATCAGCAGCTATGGCTCTCTGCAGAGAAGATTCTGTGGAGATGGGCTTCAGGAGAGCTACCTTAATCTATATGTTTATGTTGCTAACTTCTATCCAAAGAGCAGGGACTTCAGCAGATGTCCCTTCTTTTGGCTGGCAGTGATAGCAAGTCTATGGCCTTGTTTTAACTCCTGCTTCAATTCCAGATCCATTGGGGTGGTATTTTAGACTTTCCGTATGAATAGAACAAAGGGTTTTCATCTTTTTTGCTCATGATAGTATGGCTTTGGTAAATGTATGGAACTTTCTCTCCCCTCCCCCCATTTCAGCCCTTAAAGTTATGTTCATCTTCTTATCCCCAGATCCTTCAAGCTGTATTGAGGTTGGATGGGGAGATCTTGTAAGATAAGATCTGATAGATGGGAGTGATCTGAGTAGATGGGAATCAAAGAATATGAAGCTGTTGGCATATCCCCATAGGAACCAAAAGCAGATTAGCTCTTACCATCACCCTGAATCTCACTCCCAAAGACTGAGGGCTTATACCTATGTACTAGTGTCCCAAGAACACGGAAAGCTGCTTTATACTGAGTTACACAATCAGTCTATCTAGCTCAGTTTTCACTAGCAAGTTATAGGCAGCATCTGTCTAATTTCTGGGTGTTTGGGGAGGGAAACAGGTTTTTTTTTAACCTTAACAAGCTAAACTCCCCTACATATCACACACTTCTTGCCATCATAGGTTCACACACTTCTTACCATCAGTTTTGCTGAGCACTCTTTTGTAAACTAACGGTTTGATGAGCCTACCTGATTTTGTGAGAATGTAGTGCTAAGACATCGACTGTGGTGACACAGATGGAACTATTTATACTCTAGAGGTGTGGGTACAAAAAGCAGGTGTTAAGAAACAACATTATTTTGCTAACGGTACAAACGTATTCAGCTGATTGAAATGAACGTATGAAAATTCTGAGTGTGTTTATTTAAGCAAAATTTGAAAAATTTCAGGGAGAGTGTGGAATAAGCCAAATATGTATGTTGTTTTACTCAATGACTGGTTTCCAGCAATGATTCATTGAAAAGAACATGAGCTCAGAGGAAACCCTGGGAAATGGGAGTTTGGGTCCATTTTCTCTCCAAGAGGCAAAATGTCCAGCTACTCAACTATTCTGTGGAGGCCATCTTATAATTTACACCATACACAAACAACAATGAAACTTTACAAAAACAATACACAGAGTTAAAAAGTCAAAAGAGTAATCTTCATGGTACAAGTGTCTTCTCAGAAACCTGGGAAGGCATACTTCTGCAAATCTATTGGATAGGACTCATGCTCACGAAACAGTAATGGTGTTGTAGCAGGACACTGATTAATGATACCTTCCTCTTCCAACCCCAATAGAAGATTTCAACATCATGTCCATCCCCATCCACAGCTATAGTGTTTCAAATGGATATGTGTAGTAAACAACCAATAGAAATAATAAAGAATAAAAGCAAACTCTAAAAGCAAATATTTTCCCAATGGGCAATCAAGCCAGAGAAGTGAATTACAAGTCACCTGAGAGTTACTGCAGGCAGTTTTAAATTGAATTACTTTCTGCACACCCCTCTGAATATCAATTCTTTATTCAATACCTATTCAATTACATATGGTGCTTTCATTTTAACTTCCCAGTAAGTTAATTTAAACTTCTTAGGCTGTTTGTCAGATTCACCGTTTTTTCAATAAGCTCATCATCAGGGAACTGATTTCAACTCTGGATTTTTTCCAATACAGTATTCACAGAAAACTTTGGGCCAGCATTTCAAAGTGCTGTAATTGGAGATACACGTCACTTTAACTACATCCCTGCCATAAACTAAACCTGTAAAGACTACAGGAGGAAAATATGAAATTAATACAGAGATCTCTCTCCTTGCTTCTATTGAAAACCACCATTTGGGAAACACCACTATAATGTAGCTCAGTAGTTCCCAACCTGTGGTTCATGACCACCAGTAGTCTGCAAGAATGAAAATATGGTCCACGGCCTCACCATTACTACACCGTTGCCATGAAACCAGGCAGTAACGAGAGCAACTGGTCTTGTAAAACCCTCTTGTAGTGCTGAGGCAATGGGAATGTTGGGAGGGGAGAGGCTGACTACCCATGAAAGATTACTACTACCAAATCAGTTCTAGATTATTAGATATGGTTTTCTGTGGGTGAACATATGGCAACTACTGGGTGGCATATGTTCTGTATCAGAAACTAGAGCTGATGTGGTCTATCCAATGCAGTTTTCTGAATCAGCACCCCAAATAACAAAATCTAAAATTGACCAAAAACCGATTTGTAACTCTTTTGGTAGTAGTGCTGGAGAGTGGTCCCTGGTCAAGTGGTCACTGGTCAATAAAAGGTTGGGAACCGTTGATGTAGATGGAGGGAACTACTTTACCCATGCATTTCTGCAGCCATATCTTATTGATCACCATTCAATTGAAAAGAGGAAGTGGCAGTAAAACTGTCTTGGGACTGGAACCATTTGGCACTGTATCGATTGGCAGGGCTTTGTTTGAAAGCCTGGAAAGCAGCAATAGAAAAACAATGTGTGTCTAAGCATGTAGGAGCACGTGTTTCCTTCACCCCAAGTGATCTAGTGTGGATTATATACCTGAATTTGAGAATTGCATATCAACTGGAGCGTTAATTCAGCACATTTCTTTTAAAAAATGGAGATTTTTCTATATATTGGTTGGGAATCATGGTGTTTTCTAGATATTGTTGGACTCTAATCTCTATGGCCATTAATGAGAGATTGTGAGAGCTACTAGAGATCTGCAAAAACAGGCACCTTGGCCTTTGCTGTATACTGATGACGTAATGCTTGCTTCTGAGGACAAGGAAGAACTTGAATGTCAAGTGGAAACATGATGTGATTGGTTAGCACAATTCGGTCTTTGCCTCAGTGTCAAAAAGACGGAGTACCTGATGACCAATGAGAAGGAAACTGGTACCATCCAGATGGACGGGGTGGATCTTCCAAAAGTCAACACCTTCAAGTATCTCAGATTGACATTAACTTCAGATGGCAATCTTTTTGACAAAGTCACCACATAGATTAACGCAGCTTGGATAAATGATGCTTGGTAGCAGGTGTACTCTGTGACAAAAAGATGCCCGATCACCTGAAATCAAAAATCTATCAAACTGTAGTAAGACCTGCCACAATATATGGAGCCAAATATTGGCCTGCAACAAAGCAAGCAATGTTATGGAGATGAGGATGCTATGACTTACAACTGCCGTCACATGCCTTGATCACATTCACAATGATGACATCTGGCAACGCTTTGGCATTGCTCCAATTGCTCACAAACTACAAGAATCACTCCTCGGATGATATGGTCATATTCTCCAAGGTGAAGACGAGTCCATTTACAAGATTGCTCTTGATTTAGAAGTGCCTGGCAAAAGACCAAAGGGATAACCAGAGCAATGCTAGCTGGACACATTGCATAATAATCTGAAGACGACTGGCATACATCCTGGATCAGGTGCATGACTGGGTGAAATGGCGGCAACAAACCAGTAAAATGGACCCCAACATCAAGTAGGACAAACACCAAAGAAAGAAAAAAAAAGGGGGGGGGATTGTTGTTCATCAACATCTCAAGGTTCACGTGGATTTTTGAACCCTGATGTAAAGAACAGGACAAAAAGATGTCTTGCTCATAGCATAGATTTTCTATAAACCCACAAAAAAGCAACATGTCCAGCTTCACTTGACCAAGAAAGTCACAGGTGCATTAGCTATGCATGAGGTCTATCTTCAGCTCTTAAAGTGCACATCAATCCAATGTCCAGTGGTTCCAGATGAGCTTGGTTTATAATGCCTATTCTCCTGGGGCGTGAGATCTCTGCCACCCGTGACCATGTCCAGTGGCTCAAAGATGGAGGACCTGTGCCCTTGAATGATGACAATCTCACTATCTGGTCAGAGGATTCCCTTAGGAAGTTGCTTCTTATCCTTGGAGTCTGGGGTATATTCATGCAGCATAGCTGATTTATTTATTTAAAACATTTATATTCCACACTTCTCAGCCTGAAGGGGATTCAGGGTGGAGCACAGCATATAAACGTCAAACATTCAATGCCAGACCTTGTGCAAACATTAAAATCATTTATCTTGATGTTAAACTCCATTGTTTAAACCATCTCAATAATCCACATCAAATCTGTTTAGCATAATAAGGTTTCCTATTGCTGTCTTATTGCTGATGATGTCATTACTGTGACAGTCAATAGTGAGTTGAGGAAAGATGTGCAAACCCTCAGATCAAGTTTTGACGTATGAGTACCAAAATCCCTAATTCCCACCAGAATCCCCCAAACCAGAAGTAGACAATCATTCAGCCTCTTCTCTTCCTCATACCTAGCCAGAGCTAGTGAAATTCATGGGACTGAACACCATTCCTTATCCTTCTCCATTTCGCACAATGCTCTCATTGAAAGTGATCTCCTCTCTCTATGCCCTTATGGTTTTCTCCCCTGCAGAGCTGCCTGTTCGAGTTGTGCATTCTAATTCCGAAGCAGCTCACGTCTATCAGGTGTCAGAGCATGTGGAGTTGACATGTAAGTTGTCCTGTGCCGATGCTCTGGTATGTTGGTACAAGGATGGTGAAGAGTTGGAAGAAAATGATGGACTCCTGCTGGAGAGTGAAGGCCCCTATCGTCGCCTGGTCATCATTGCAGCCCAAGCTCAGGATACAGGGGAATATGTGTGTGATGCTGGTGGTGACTCTGTCTTCTTCAATGTCACTATAACAGGTGAGTATTTATGTGAGATTCAGCCCCATTGGATACATTTTGGGCTTCATTTGATAGCATCATTTCTCTCTTGGTTTAATAGATGAGGACTATGCCCTTTTGATACTTCTCAACATGTTCATTTCCTAGTTAGATATAGGAATTTGGTTCCAACTATTTGTCTTCTGCCTTTTAGTTCTCTGGAGCTATGTGAATCTGAAACCTTTCGTACAGAAAAGGGAAAGGCATTGCCACCTAGAGTTATATAATGTTACTTAGTCTAGAAGAGGTCTTGGACACTGAAATAAATCTTTCTAACATGACTTGAAGAAATGCTGGAATAAACTTTTAAAAGGCCAAATTCATTACACATCAATGCACATATTTAAATCAGGGGCAGACTATGGCTGATGAGACCAACAGCATCCAAAGGGACCACAAATTTGCCATCCTGATTTAATCTCAGGTGGTTGCTGCTTCCTTTACAGAACAGCACCCTCCACAGAACTCTCCATCCCAACAGCTCTCCCTTCACTGCTGAAGGTTTAGCTTCCCAATTACAGCTAGTGAAATCAATGGTGCATCAGAAATTTGTGGGAGAGGGAATGGTTGAGGAGGAACTGAAGCGGAAACATGGCTGATAAAGGTTACCCGCACTTCCTCTGTATAAACTGCCAGTTACTGAGTGACATGAGTAAACGAACATGGTTGATCCTTCAAAAGAGATCCCTCTGTGTATCTCCTTTGTGCAATGTTAATTGAACCTCCAGAGACATGCCACTGAAAATTGAAAATACCAGGTTTAAATGCCTGTCCTGCAGATGACCTATAGTTTGGTCCTAGTGAATGAGATTCTCAGAATCCTTCTTTGTATCTCTCTGGTAGAGCCTCCAGTGCGTATTGTATACCCAGCTGAACGTTCAGTGGAGAAGCAAATATGGGCCTCTGAATGCCTGGAGCTGACTTGTGAGGTGTCCATTCCTGATGCTCCTGTACGCTGGTTCAAAGACGGCCTGGAGGTGGATGAGACAGACAACCTCTTGCTTCAGATGGAGGGTACTGAGTGCCGCCTGATTGTACTGCAAGCAGGTGCAGAAGATGCTGGAGAATATATCTGTGAGACCAAGGATGAATCTGTTTCTTTTGATGTCAAGGTTTCAGGTAAGTATGTGTCTGGAATGCACTGTTCAGAAGAAAAACTCCAAACCTAATGTGATCCATGACTTTGCATTAAATAAATATGAGTGCTCATGAGAGCACAGTTTAGTTACAACCATCTAAATTGCACTCCTTTTAAATCTTAACCTCAACCCAAGATTTGGTTTTGTATATTAATTTGTAGATTTGTAAATCTTTGAAGGTAGAGATAATAACATCAACACACTATATATTCTAAGAAACACTGAGCAAATCCAAATTACATTACACTTAAAATTCTGATTTCATTATGGAAGGTGGGGCAGAAACAGAAATGGGCAAAAGCATAGACCAAATTAGATTTGTAACCCTGAAAGCCAAGTACAAAAGCAACTTGGATATCTATCCCTCCATATTTATGCCTTGTCAGGTTCAACACACTGTCCAGTTCAACACATTGAAATCAAAATATACCACTCTGATTCCTAGTTTTCAGTGGTCATATATAATGCTTACAACATTCATGTCAGCTGAGTACTAATTTGTACTAAACACAAGAAGAGCTTTAGGATCAGATCAAATACCTGTCTACTCCCAAGTCCAGTTTTCCAGGGTACCCAACCAAATGCCTATGGGAACCCAGAAATACAGAAAATGGCATCCTCCTGTTCCTGTTTCTAAGCAATTGGTATGTAGAGGGATGCTGCCTGTGATCCAGGACATGGCAGGCTGGCCATCATGACTAAACATTTCCCATAACTAGACACAGCTTATTTTTTAATGTTATCTAATTTAGTGGCCATCACTATGATATGTGGTAGTGACTGTATATTTTAACAGTGGTCTACAAGATCAGGACTTCTTAAATTTTTCCACTCGTAATCCTTTAAGGCTCAAGAAACTTTTCTGGGACTCAGTTATACAGATACATAAAATTGGTATAAAAACCAGTCTGATTCTCCTTTTTATAAAGTACAGTTGAAGCATACTCTGCAGAGGTCACTGTAAACACGGCACAACAGATTCGTGTCAGTCTAAACTATTTAATTATTTACTTACTTACTTACTTACTTACTTACTTACTTACTTACTATATTTGTATACCGCCCTTCTCAGCCCTCAGACGACTCAGGGCAGTTTACAATGGCAACGATTCGATGCCCAAAAACACTATAAAACTTAAAAAAACATTAACACATAATATAAAGCCATAACAAGAATACTAAAAGCATACATCATTTGCATCTCCTAATAAAAACATTGTCCTATCTCGTCGTCCAGTCATTCCAATTCCTATGTCTTTTATCTTGCATTTTCAAACTTCAAACTATAAAATCCCACATTATGTAACCTTTCTTCCATAGGCAAATAAGTTAACCGATTATGTAGAGGGTGGCCAAACAGCAACTCCAAGAATGGATTGTCATCCAGAATTTGTCTTTATGTGCTTGCATTAAGTTTCCATTACTTGAAGCTATCATATTGCTGGTAGGGGTTCAAGAATCTTGACTGATCAGACAAAACAGTTAAGATCAGCCAATGTTTACAAATCTAAAGATGAGCTTTTGCTGGCTTAGCATATTGCTATCAATGCCAAAGCTTTGCTAAATTTCTGTCTAAGGAATTGGTATATAGAGGATTTCCTTGTTTGGGGAGTTGACAGTATTCTTGTGCATGAATGCATCCTTACCATGGATGGGGGTAGCTTAATTGAAATCTATCTCCCAAGAGAGCTGACTGATCTATATATCTTTATGTAACTCTGGGAGCAATATTTGGACATTCAATTTCATTGTGATGCTGCTTCTTAAAGGATCATTACCATTCCTTGATGTGTTTATGGATGCATAGAGAAAAAATGTTTCCTTGAACTGGGAAGGATTTTCCCAAAAAGATTGCAGTATCCCTTTAAATAAAACAGGATTTTAAATAATTACCAGATAAGGCAGTTGGAAAGCTGTCAACATGAGCTATATTTTGAGAAATCAGGCTAAACTTCAAATAACACCCAGTCTTTCCTTCAGTGTTTAATTGTCCCTGTCCTCAATGCTGCAGTTAGCTGCAGGATAGTGGTGCATGGAAAGGAGAGGCACATCTTAACCCATTCCCAATCAGTGTTTTTCTCTGCTAAAGCTCAAGCTATAGAAATAAGTGCTTGAAACACCAAGACCTCTACATATTTAAGGCCTGGAAGAAACAGATAGGGGAATCTAAATATCACACTACCACCAAATCATGTCTGATCTTGGAAGCTAAGCAGGGCGAGCCCTGGCTAATGCTTACATGGAAGACTGCCAATATATATTAGCTTCAGTAGGATATATTTCAGAGGAAGGAACTAGTAAAACTACATCTGAGTATTCCTTGTCTAAGAAAACCCTTCGAAATTTGTGAGGTCTATTGGTGATAAAAGCACATACAAGAAACACAAAATAGAGGAGTGTCTGGATATTTTTTTCTAGAGGAAGCAAGAGTACACAAGGGAGGGGGAAAGACCTCTGTGGCTGGTGGCTAAAGCTAGACTCATTCTCATGTTTGATGTTTAGCTGTAGAGATGGGGACACGGTACTATATGGCTAGAGAGAGGGTTGTGTGCACACTCTTCCTGTAGATATAAAAGCTTCTTTGCCAAAGTTTCCCTTTTCCGAAGAAGATTAGGGCTTTGGCATTGTTGCCTGTGGCCACTTCCAACTTGGGCTGCCTGCCCTCTCCTTCCAGAGCCCCCTGTGAAGATCGTGAAGCCCCGCAGGACTCCTTCTGTCCTGAAGGCCTTGATGGGGGAGACAGTGACTCTGACCTGTCTGCTCTCTCATGGCAATGCACCTGCCAGTTGGATTAAGGACGGTGTCACGCTAGAGGCCAACAGTGGTCTCATCCTGGAGGAAGAGGGTGCCCAACGGTGTCTGGTCATCCCTGCAGCTGGCCCAGAGCATTCTGGGAAATACACCTGCACCACTGTTGACGATACCATGACCTTTGCCATCCAGGTGTCTGGTGAGTGCAGTTCCCTGGGACATTGGCAATGTCGGGGAAAGGAGCTGAGATCAGATTGTTGGTGGCGGGTGGTGGTTGGTCTGGGGAGGGAATCCTGGTCAAAATGGACTGGACATAAAGATCCATTCCAGATCTCGGGTTCTTGTGAGCCAAGCTCATTGCACTGCCTGCTGTATAGAGCTTGAGCAAAGGTGCCACAGAGTTTCTGAATGAGAACTGGTCAGCCAGTCATCAACCATCCAGCTTTTACCATCGGTATGTCCTAAATCTAGATGGATTATAATGTCATAACAGAAGGAGAAGAAACAACATTGTTTCTCAAATAACGGCCTTCTATATATTTGATGATGTGTGCTTGAAGACTAGTGAGAAAATGACTGAAAAGTAGAAACCAGATCACAAATAATGTTTTAATTTTGCCACTGACAGTAATTTACTAGTTTGGCTGTTGGTACCCTAGGTTGCTGGCTCCTCTGCTTGCCTAGAAGTGTGCACTGGCTTTTCTTTTAATGTCCTGAATGTGTTGTCCTGCTAGCATGTATGTATTTTCATTGCTGCACACCATTCTTCATCCACAGGCAGCTTGAACATCTTATGATCACTTTGCAATAATTTGTAGGTCCATGAGCCCTGCACAATATAGAATAAGCTTGAGGCTTCCTCATAGCCCCTGGAAGAACCCAACATGATGACTTGTTTAAGTTTATTATTTATCTTACCATGGAGAGTACAATTTGCATTTTTTTTGCCTCAGGGCCAAACTACCTATTATGCTGATTGTGTAGCATGTAACTATATCTGCTCATTTTTCTTTCAAAAATTTAGTTACAGGCTTTGTAGTAGCCAGCTGTCATCTAGTGCTTGAGCAGGGGATGTTTAACCCTTAGCGTTCCCTCTGGCATATTCTGTTTCATGTCTACTAAACATGTGCATTCGAGGGAAACCTTGTCCCATTTCATGTCCCGGCTTTTGTTGGGGGCCCCGATCTGTTTTTTGTAAGCCTCCCAAAATTGGGAGGATTGTTTTTGGTTCTTTTGTTTTGGGGCCTCATTATGACCATTATTGGGGGGGGGGTCTTCCCACCCACTGGCTCCCCTTCCCAGCGTGCCTTCTTCCTACCTGGCACCTGCTGTTTCTACTCTTAGAGTAAGAGGTACTCAGCTGTAGACACTAGCAGGTGTACACGTTTTCTGAGTCTGCTTGCCTGCACACGCCTGCAGCCAAGCTCCTGACCAGCCTGCCTGCATGTCCCTGCCACACATGCTCCACCACACTCTCTGAGAGTATGTGTGTGGCAGGCATGCAGGCTGGCTTGGAGCATGGCTGCAGCCCAGCTCCGAGCCTGCCTGCCTGCACACCCCACCACATACGCACTCTCTTTCCAAGGCAAGGAGGCAAATTCAAATGCACACGAAAGCAGGCTTTCGTGTTAGGCAGATTTTTGTGTGGGAGGGGGCGTCTTGTTTTGTGCTTCCAAAGAAATGGAAGACATGAAAGAAACAGTAAAAACAGTCGGAATGAATTTCGCGCACATGCCTAAAGTCTACTTGCAGGAAAATTTGTTACTTATCCTGAGGAATATCTAAGACTCGCCTAGATCATTGTTCTGTGGTGGTAGTAAGAATAGCATACGAGTCCATAGCATAGCGCTGACTGAGGCTGGCATACTGTGATCATATCATGAGAAGACATGGCTCACTAGAAAAGACAATAATGCTTGATAAGGTAGAAGACAGCAGGAAAAAAGAAGGCCATATTCTAGATGGATAGACTCAATCAAGGAAGTCACAACCCTGAGACTGCAAAACTTCAGTCAGGCTGTTAAAGATTGGAGACTTGGGCCTCATCTCCACTGCCATATAATCCAGTCCAATGCAGCTAATCTGCATTCTGAAATTGGGTTATATGATCAGTGTAGATGGCGCCTTGGAGGTCTTTCATTTTCAGGGTTGCCATAAGCTGCAATCGACTTGATGGCATTTAATAACAAACCATAAAAAGAGGGTATTTCAGTAGATATTGCTTGTTAATTGGTTGCATAAGAAGTAACATCTGCTGAAATTCCCTTTTCTATACAGTCATTTAGGGTACAGTTTTTACTCCGGCAGCCCTACTTTTGCAACAGATTGTATTCACTTCACTTTGCTTGCATTTTCTTGACATGGAAGGTCAAATTTCTTCATATTTAGCTTAGAGAAGTTGTTATTAATAGAACTAATGTTTTTATTTTCAAATGAAAATATTTTATAAATTTATCTGGCAGTATTGAGGTGGGTTACCAAGAACAGTCATGGGTCAAGATTTCACTGTAAAATCTCCATCATGCAGTGTGATTTGGCCTCTAGATGGAGCTGCCTTTGTGGCAAATGGCATTTTGGCAATAGTTTTGTTTTCAGCTTATTCTGTGCATGATTATCAGACAGTTTCTCAGAATACATCTCATATCCAGATGAGAAAGCGGCTAGAAGACTGAATGTTCTTTGATTTTTTTGTTTCGGGTGTAGATAGAAGGTTCAGGAAGCTCACTTCCTCAATGAACATATTAGAAATGGAGGGAAATGCAGTGTGCTGGTGACAAGTGTGGAAACTCTCTGTTCTGACATGCATTTGATCTGGGAATCTATTTCACGGCTACGAAGCAGTATATTTAGCTTATGGTTTTGTAAGATCTGTATTGAGGAGATATATAGGACTGGACACAACCTCACAACAGTTAAGCATCCCTAAGAATAATGCCTCCTCCTCAGCAATGGATGAGCAACTGATGCTGAAGGTTTGTGTAGCCCTTGTTGGATGGGAGGCTGCTGGAAGCTCAGTAAAGATGGAAGATTTTGCAAACAAATGTAAACCCTTTACTGGCCAGGATGCACATTTGTATCAAGAATATCTGTTATCTACTGTCTTGTGAAGGAATCCAGTGTCACACAAATAGAGAGCCCCAAATATACATGGGAAGAGAGCACCATCCCCTGAATCCTTGTGGGATTCAGGGGATGCTGATTCACCATTTAGAGATGCTAAATGGTTAATCAGCACTCGTAAATCCCTTCAGTTCAGCTGGTTTACTTAAAATGGGACTGCCAGTAAGATTCAAGCCTACTGTCTACTTGATTTAAGTTGGTCTTGTCTTTCAACATTCTATAATATACACTTTCCCGCAGCATCCAACTTGGTAAGAATATATAACTATACAGTCTGCCCTTATTATTTGCTGGAGTTCAGAGCACAGGACCTCTGTGAAAATGGAAAAACCATGAATTAGTAGCCACTATTTTAAACTTGGGGGAACATCTCTTAAAAATCTCTAGGTCCTCCAGCACTATGGTCAACTTCTCCTGGAGGACCTACAAGTGGCCCAAGAAGGTTTCCATCTATATCCTTCAGTGCAACTCTGTGGTTGGTTTCTGGTGGACATAGAGTCATGTTGAAGGACCTAGAGATTCTTTGTAAGAATATATTAATGAAATGTACAAAAGTGGAAACCCAAAAATGTAGAACACCAACTGCAGTATGATTATATATTTTTAAATTAAAAAACCCCAAAATCTCACTGAGCCAGTATTTTAAATGGTTACTTAACTGTCATGAGCAACTTCCTGTAATGCTCTTCTGGAGGCATTAAGACTGATCGTAGTCTCTGCAAATTGTATTTTATCCATAGAACCCACATCAATTGTTGCATATACCCTGAACTGCTGTGGGAACTCTTTGAATTATGTAGCACTGATTCATGCTATGAAGTCTAAGTGCCCAGAACTAATTAAATTTATTCCAATTCCCCTTTATGCCAGTGGTGGCTTGTAGACTGAATGAAAGGAGGACCTCACCCTAAAATCAAGGGGATCCTCATCATTTGGTCCTCACTTGACCCTTACTCAAACCATGCAGCACTTACATTTTTGTAAACTTAGAAAGGATGGTAGGGAAGTGATGTTAGGATAGCCATGTTAAGGATTTCATTGGACTTTGTGTATTAATATTGTCATAAACACATTTGACAAGAGAGAACAGCAGCAGCAGAAAGTTAATTGAAACTCTTTTTATGCTGGCAGACCCTCCAATACAGATTGTAGGGCGTGATGAGCTGCAAACACACTACCGCTGCCTGGCTTCAGAGGACCTTACACTGTCAGTGATGCTATCTTGTCCTAAAGGAGAGGTGAAGTGGTACAAGGATGGAGAGAAGCTGCAAGACACGGAGCGTGTGCGGCTGGAACAGGATGAAACACGTCATACGTTGGTGATTCTGGGAGTAAGACGTAGTGATGCAGGGGAGTATCTGTGTGACAGCGGCGATGACAGCCTCATCTTCTATGTGACGGTGGAGGGTAAGACTTGCATGTGATGAGAAAGGTAGGGAGGAAGGGCCACCCAAATGCAATGGTCTCTCTTCCTTAAAAAAAACCCACAATTTTTGTAATGTAAGTATGCAATCTGTGACATCAAAAAAACACCATGTTCCAACATACATGGGAAAATGAATTTGATGGAAATGTATATTTTCACATATTTGTAAAAGGTCCTCTTATTCAGAGACAACCTCTTTGTTTCCCATTTTTGGCAACTGTGGTTCTAGCTATACTTTATTTTGCTGCCACCATTTCTTAATTTCTTGGCTGAATCTTGAAAATTTGAGCATAGCATATATGAGTTCTAGGAGTGAGCTGTTATCAATATTACACTCTGTGGAGTGCTAGAAATTTGGGGGTGGAAGGATAACACTATGTAACAAAATTTGAAAAAAAAATCTGTTTCTGGTTTGCAAGTGTTATTCCTGTTTAATTGTGTGATGCTTACATTGAAAGTAGTTGTTATATTCCAGAAACTTCATTTTTGTGACTGCCACAAACTCAGTGAGATATTGGTTGAGACTCAATGAGACATTCATGGAAAACTATAGAAAAATGTGCTGCAGGGTATCCTGCAAAAACAAAGTTTTTGCAGTTTAATAAACTTTTCCCATGCTTTTATCATAGAACCGATTACGAAATGACATTTATAACTCAGGAGCAAAAATTATGTTACATAGTGTTATGAAAAGAGAAATAGCAAGATTCATATCCTGTGCCCTCAACTACTTTATGCCCATATGATTTAGTTTCTTTTCCCTGCACTAACTTGCAGGTAATAAGGCTTTACAGTGTTGTATCACCACCATTTGTCTGAATTATCACTGGTAAAACATAGCATTAATCCTCTGAAGTAATCATGATGTCAGAAGTAGTGCTTAGATTTGAAAGAAAATGATTTTCTGCCATCCATTGTGACAGCTTGAGTTAAATTTGTTTACTTTGGTGTTTATATCCATCACTGACATTTATAACCAATTGTGTTGGATAACATTAAAAAAAACATTCCAGTAGCAATCAAAATATGTTCTTGGAAAGCCTGAATTCTGTAACTTATAATAATACTTCCTGTCCTAGTTATTTAAATCATTGAATGCATTAAATAGATTAGGTTCACTGTAAATGGAGCAAATGCACACTGTATATTTAAAATAATTTCTTCATTTCTGATGGATGCAAAGAAAGGAAATAATACCCTATTTGCAACCAGCTTTCTGTGGACAATAACACTATCAATAGCTCCTCAGTGGCTTGAGGTGCAGGAATTTTAATGATAATGATATATGTGATTATTTTTATGTTTATTTATATTTATGTAATGTGTGGGTTATGCAATGTCTGGATGCATTGTTTATATGTTGGGTTGGTGGGATGATGGTTTTCTGTACCATGTAGGTGTTCTTTTTTATTTGTTTGTCGCTTTGAATCCCATCCATGAGAGAAAAGTGGGAGAAAAGTAAATAAACAAACAAACAAACAAATAATACTCATCATGGCCATATGTGAGTATTGGCAACGGTATGACTCTTCATACTGATACTTGAAAAAGAAGGAAGGTGCCGCCGCCCTCATGTTCTGACTGTAGGCTTCTCATGAGCACCCAATTTGCCATTTAGGAAACAGAATGTACACTACATGAGCATTTGTGCTGATTCAATTGGCCTTTCTTCATGTTTTAGTGGTGAGAGTTGACTGGTTCATATGGAATTAAGGAATCACCCAAGTAGAAAGTAGTTGTGTTAGAGAAAGACAAGGATCAAATTCGTACTCTGGGGTCTGGAATAATAATAATACTTTATTTTTGTACCCCGCCTCCATCTCCCCGAAGGGACTCGGGGTGGCTTACATGGGGTCAAGCCTGATCAACACAGTTAAAAGCATAACACAGTAAAATACAATACGAAATACAACAACATTGTAACAATATTACACTATATAAAAACAGGCATCAAAACCAACAACCAAAATGTCATTCATTTCTCATAACAGGTGGGCAGACTGGTGCAACAACAATTCAAAGAATAGGGCTGGTAATTAAAGTGCATAGGTCATATGGCAGTAGTAAGGATAGAGCAGTGTCAAATAAATCATTATAGCTTTGGGTACAGAACAATAATAAAGTGCGAGGAGAGATTTTGGGTTTTTGCTGGGGCCAGCTGACTAGGGAATTGTCTAACCGAAGGCACAGCATAACATCCCAGTCTTTAGATCTTTCGAACAGAGCCTGGAAAAGCTACTTTTGGAATTACAATTCACCAAATCTCCCTGACCATACTGACTAAGAAATCTGGGTGTTGTGATGCAAAACAGCAGTTTTTCTCAGCTGTATTCTGGAATACCTGGCTTCTGAGAAAAGAGTCCCATGTAACTCTGTGGGAAGCATGAGAGGCCCCTTTGGATTTTAAGTAGCACTGACAACATTGAAGTTCACCGGCAACATTGAAGTCTGGGACTCTAGAGCAAATAACATGCCTGTCCTTTGCAGAAAACTTACTTTTCTTTTGAAATGAGATCCATGTGAATGTGAAGGTACCAGAGTTTTCAGGACTGGATCTCATAATAAGAGTAGAATTGAAACAGGAGCGACACTTGTTGCAGCTTCCTTTGTTGGGTCAGAAGAAAACAGTGCTTCTGCCTCCCGCTTTGTGCCTTGTAGCTTTGTGACCCTATTCCTTTGCCTTGCCTACCTTATGCCTGTTGACATCTGTGTTGGGGATTTTTTGTGGCTACCTGACTGATAATATGAGTGTGTTCTTTTCTCTAGAAAATATTTCATGTCTCTTTTCTGCATTGTGACACTTCTAACTCTCTTTTCTCATCTTTTCTTCTTAAGAGCCTCCGATCTCCATTGTAGGAAACACAGAGGTGCCAGAACATCACTCTTTGGCAACAGGAGAAGCTCTAGTATTGGTTTGCAAGGTATCTTCACCCAATGCTGTGGTCCGCTGGTTACGAGATGATGAAGAATTAATATCCAGCAAGCGTATTCGTATTGAAACCCATGGAAATCATCGGCAACTCACCATTCTGGGAGCTAAACCAGGGGATTCAGGCTCCTATGTGTGTGATGCAGGCACAGACCGGATGGTGACCACAGTAGAAGTGGCAGGTGAGACTCCTCAGAACACAAGTAAGCAAGCTAGGACAGGGGTTGGAAATAGGTGTCACAAAGAAGCAGAAGGTGCAAAAATGATGCTGATCCTATTCTTGAATCCTCAAGAGCTGGTGTAGGATAATTGCCAAAGGGGGAAAGCAAATGATCCAACAAGCTTCTCAAATATATTTTTTAATATATTTTTATTAAGTACATACTCATAATAGCAGAATCTGTGAATAGGTAATAGACAGCTATTGCATACACACATTGCAAATAATGGAGTAGTTCTATATTATCTATTCATCTCTTTTATAAAGTTATTCTTCTTTTCACATTTTTTTCCTTCTCCCCCCTCTCGGCCCCTGTTCCCAAACCACCTACCACATTTTCCTATATATCTTTATCTTTAACCATGAACATAATTTTCTTAGTATTTGTACAATATCTATATTGGCTTCACCACTTTCTAGCAATTCCATATAAGTCACCAATTTCTTTTTAATTTCTTTTTTTCAATTTCCTCCTGTGTATCCTCTCGAACTATGTATTCTGTAATGTCTGATTGGACTTCAGTCTTCTCAAATATAAATTCAAGATTTTTAAGGAAAGTTGCTACCCCTCATCTTCAACTTTCCCTTGGCAAAAATGGACATCCTAAGGTGTTAGATTAGTATTGGGAATCACTTTGAAGCATTGCCGAAATTATTGGGAATCACATTAAAGCATTTCCAAAATTCTACATAGTATTAAATGTTCTTCTTACCAAAACATCATAGCAAGTAGGCTGGCAAGAAGAAAAAATTCAGGGGTTTAGCTATGGTGAAGGGTGGAGGTGAGCAAAATGAGGACACTGGCCTCCTAAATTAAAAATACCTCCCCTCCCTCGATGATATTTTCCTTCTCTCCCAAATTTCTAGCATTGTAGTAACTTAAAACTTCAGTTTGCAAAGTGAAAAATTTTCAATGTCTCACTTTTTGTAAAGCTAGAAATTTGGGGAGCAAAGAAACATTTCATTGGTGGAAGGAATTTTTATTTCGGAGGTTATTCCCTCATTTTGCTTTCCCCACATTCCATGTCACAACAATTGAGGGTCCAGCACTCTTGGGCAGTACTTGGGAACTTAATACCAGAAATTGTAGCTTTGTTCCCATATTCAGACCTGTGGGAATGTGGCAAGAGGGGGGGGGGGGGGGGGGGAACGATGACGAAGGAAGCAAGCAGTTTCTCTCTGTGTGTGTTTTGCTGTGAGAGGGTTAAAATTAACTTTGGCAGACTCCCAGGCGCCACTGCTTCTGTACCTTCCTGCCAACAATCGCTGCCCTCATTGAAAACATGGAACGTCTTATTTACTAGAGTTTTTATTTAAAGTGTGAAAGAGAGAGTTGGCAGGGCTAGCTCCTACCAGAGACAGGTGCCTTAAAGGAGAGGCATATCTCAGCAGGCTTTGGCAACAACGTGAGATGCCAGCAGGCAGGAGCCGTCCCCTTTCCAGCAGCTGTGGCTGAATGCAGTGTGTTTTAGGGAGGAGAGGAGGTGCCCAAAGGGTGAACGCAGGGCACTGGGACAGCTGGAAACATTCCACACTGGTTGCAAATTCCCTCTTGAGGCCAACACTTGGCTACGTTCCTTATGCCACTGCCTGTTGGAGGAGTTAAGTCTCCTTCCTCAGTCACTTACAACATTGACTTACTCAGTCACTTACAACATCAGCTTTCTCCAAATTCCCAGCAAAGGCAGTAGGATTTTGGTTCGTTAGGTAAATTAACTTACATACGTATGTTCTGAATATCTTATTTGCTTTCTAAAAGTCATGAAGAAAAGTAAGGGAACAGAAGTGGAGATCTGTCAGTGAGCACAAAGTCGGTCAACTTTCTGGCTTACGCACACAGTGTCATTGCCTATGCTATCGTTCCCCAATTTACTTTGTCTAGACATCTTACACTTCAGCTCCTATCACTGCAAATAAACATGGCCAGTTACCATGCTGATATGCTTGTATTTGAGGTAGAAAGGTGTGGAAAGCTGGCCGTAATACTTGCAAGTCTGACTTTCCTGACACAGGAAATAAGAAGTGGATTCATTTATTTATTTTGAAAAATGAATTTCTGTTCTGTACCACATAAAATTTCCCGTTTAAATGTACAATTGCTTCCTGTGTTAGAATATTCAAATTGGAAATTGCATAATGTTGTTAATAATCATTATTAATAAAGAATAATAATTTGAGAGTTTGACTTTGTCTTGGGATTTGCTCTGCATACAAAATTTAATAATGAATACAGGCAGTCCCCAAGCTGCAAACAAAATAGGTTCTGTAGGTTTGTTGACAAGTTTAATTTGTTTGTAAGTCGGAACAGGTGCATTTTTAAAGTGTAACTGTAGCCAAATATATATCCAAATATATATACATATTCAGCTTTGGATCGCAAAAGGAAGGGTTAATCCCTCTGTGGTGTTTGTTTTGCTGTCTGTGCCCCTCTTCAGAAAATTTCACCTCATTTTCTGTCCCTGTGATAATTGGATTTTGAAACATTTGGCTTGTTGTGGAAACAAGGATTGGTGAGAAAGCTTCAGCTGAGACACCTTTTCCCCATGATAATAACTCTTTTAGTTGTGGATTTCCCTTCCGAGGGGAAGATTCTTCTCGCTTCCTGTTGTTACACCCCCATTCTTAACTATGAGTCCTTTGTAAGTCAGATGTTTGTAACTCAAGGATTGCCTGTACTAGGAAATCTCATGCTTTTCTTTTTAGAAATGCTGAATTTGTGCCAGGCTGTCTTCCTTGGGGACTGAAATGGTATCACAAGATAGCAAGAAAACAACATCTCTTTTGGGGCTGCAGTTTAAATAAATCTTTTTTTAACAGTTTGTTTAAAATGGATGATTTTCTGGCTTTCAGTGGTGGTCCTTAATATGATACATGTTTCACCCTGTCCCATGCTGAGCTGACTTTGTAGTAAAATGTATCCAGCCTTTCTTATAGCAAGGCCTTTTTTCTCCCAGCACCCCCTGTGAGCATTGTGAATAAGACGGATGCCCAGCTGCCTGTGGAAGTTCAGGAAGGGGAAAATGTCACCCTGGTTGCTCGTCTTTCCCAAGAGAAGGCTTCTGTCCAATGGTTAAAGAATATGCGGCCACTTTACCCCGGGCCACGTGTGGTTCTGAGCAATGACGGACTAACACGTAGCCTCACCATAAGGCAAGCTGAGCCAAGCGACAGTGGCATCTTCAGCTGTGACACTGGAGATGATGAAATACATTTCACAATGTATGTGCGAGGTAAGATGAGACCCAACAAAAATCCCCATTCCTAGCTCCAATGAGATTGAGGAGGAACCTCCAGCCACAAACTCCTTTCCCCTATCATATCTTCTTTGCTGAATGGCTGCAGGCACTGCAATGTGATACTGTTTAGTATTTGTGCAGGTGAAATTAGCAGTTGAGGTGCTCACAGGAGAGAGGAAGGGTTCTGTGGGAAATTGCTAGGGAAAGAGCAGGTATCTCACAGTCTCAAGAATCAGGGCCTGGCTGTGTCTGCAGCCTGTGAACAGTCTGTCCCTAAAGTTGTTCTAAGGGGGAATCCTTCTCCCTAATGCTGTGGGAGGAGAAGGAATCAAAATGTCAAGGGCCGTTGTGTTCCTATTATAACAGAGACTGTATTGGTGAAATTAAAATAAGAGCTGGGGGGATGGAACTCCAGGAGGGTCCCAATAGATGAGATTTAAGAATGAAGATAAGGGATCCACCTGAGCCCATCCTGCTTTCTCTCCCACTTTGTGACATTCACCCTTCTGCTGCTGCTCTTGTTCTCCCTTCTCACACCAGAGGCCCCGGTGCTGTTTGTGCCAAAGCCAGATCATCCTGAGAAAATGCTGGTGCTGGAGGGGGGCAGTGCGGTGCTCTCAGCCATTGTCTCCAAGGAGTCAGCTGTGGTCAGCTGGAAGGGGCCGCGGGGTGCCCTGGTGGCAGGCGAGAACTGCCAGCTCCGCAGAGAGGGACGGGTGCACAGCCTCCTGCTGAACAACGTGGGCAAGGCTGATACTGGCGAGTACATATGTCAATCCGCTCATGACCAGATGCGTTTTGAGCTAAGTGTCAAAGGTAAGATGTAACATATGCAGGAGGAGCCATGTTGGCAACAAAACCCAAACCCCACAGAATAGCAATGGCTTTATTGGGCCAACTAAAAAGCACAAAATACATCATGCACTGATTTCTTCAGAGAAAGATGCTAACATTGTACAGGAGAAGAAAAGTCCTGATGTTAGGTTTGTGACTTTAACATTCTTACATTTCTTCTCTTGTGTGACTTGTAACATCTTTGCCCAATGAATCTTTGAAAGCTTGCATGATGTAGTTTGTGCATTTTCGTTAGCCCAATAAAAAGTATGTTTTTTCCAATAAAAAGTATGTACAGTAGAGTCCCGCTTATCCAACCTTCACTCATCCAATGTTCTGTATTATCCAACGCAGTCTGCCTCTCGTCCAGATCCCCAGCTGCTTCAATACATTGTGATGTTTTGGTGCTAAATTCATAAATACAGTAATTACTACATAACATTACTGTGTACTGAACTGCTTTTTCAGTCGATTTGTTGTAAAACATGATGTTTTGGTGCTTAATTTGTAAAATCATAATTTAATTTGATGTTTAATAGGCTTTTCCTTAATCCCTCCTTATTATCCAACATTTTCACTTATCCAACGTTCTGCTGGCCTGTTTATGTTGGATAAGCGAGACGCTACTGTACTTGGAAACACATAGGAGGTGATTCAGTATGTGACAAGTTGCATATCAGTAGATTATGGGGTGGCTTGAACAAAAGGGAAATAGGAGTGGTTGTGTTTGTGAATGTGTCAAGTCACATTTCAGTTTATAGTGACTCCATTAATTTCATTGGGTTTTCTTAGGCCAGGAATACTTGGGTGGGTTTTCCGGTTCTTTCCTCTGATTTATAACTTAGAGCTTTTAGTATTCATTAGTAATCAGCTATCCAAGTACTAACCAGGGCAAGTCCTACCTAGCTTCCAAGATAAAATGGAATTTGGTGTTTTTAGGTAATTGAGACCCCTACAGGAATGAGTGCTGGAGTCAAATCACATTGCTCCTTTGAAATTTGTAGAAGGTGTAGGATCTTCTGCCATAATGCCACAACCTGGGATAAGCCGTACTAGTTGAAATTATCTCATCTGTACAATCACTTGGTTCAAATATCACAGCTTGTCCATGCTACCTGAATGTTTATGTTGCAAGTGGGAGCAGATAAACAAACCAGAGACCATCTGGATGTGATCTCCTTAGTATGTTGTAAACCAGGAACTCAGGTGTCCCACTTCCACCAGTAAGCCATAGTAATAAGAACAAAACTTGGTTCATGACTCTGAGTTTTTAATGGAGAGACAAACCAAAGCTCCTGGTTCATATCATGTGAAATAAGCCATGGTTCATCCAGCTGTTGTTGCAAAAAGAGCCAAGAGTGATGAAACAGTGTGCTTCCAAGCAAAACACCTGCTTTTCCTTATGGGAGGTACCAGACTCAGCTTCAGACCTGGAAAGACCTCTTTGCACAACAGGTTGTTAGGGAGAATGGACCATGAATTTGACTTGACACATAGCAAGCTTAAATATCCAGGTGTCCTATGTTGTTTTTATTTATTTCTCCTTTCAAAAGGAGCCTATAATTTATATATAAAAGCTAAAGTCACTCTTGGGACTTGCATTCACACAAGATTTTCTGTTCCTTTCTGCAGCCATTGGTATTTTTGGCTTGGTCTATAGCTTGAAATGTTTTAGCAGTTGCCAAGATTCTAAAGCAAGGAGTCTGGTTTCTATGCTTGGATTCTGCATTTGGCATGAACAATTCACATTTGCATGTGTTCATTTAATTTCCTCATGTATTTGTAGGTCTGAAGTGTTGGACTTTGAATGCAATTTCTATGTAAGAGTAACCCTGAGGAGGGACAGACAGGAGCACTTGTGCAGACATCTCCTTCTCTGCCTTATTAAAAGTCTTAGTTCTTTCTGGCTTCTGAGCTTTGAGCAAATTCTTTCCATCAACCCCTGACCATGTACCTATTATCATGATCACTGGCAACTTAGGAAGAAAGCAAACTACCCCTGCCCAATTTACCTGTCCGAATGCATCTCCCCCCTATGAACCACTGCAGACATTAAGATGTTCTGGGGAGGCCATCACAGGTGCATCTGGCGGGGACGAGAGACAGGGCCTTCTCAGTGATTACCCCTCAGCTATGGAACTCCCTTCCTAATGAGATCAGGTCAGCCCCCTCCCTTTTGTCCTTCAGAAGGATGATAAAAATGTGGCTGTGGGACCAAATCTTTGGGACTGTGTGATGAGGCGGTGATAGGAACTCTTAGTATGCCAAGCAGTTTCGATACGGTTGTTGAGACAGTTTTAACTAGAGGATTTTAATGTCAAGATAAGTGATTTTAATGTTTTTGTATATGTATGGTCTAGTATGTTTCGGCATTGAATGTTTGCCGTTTATATGTTGTGCTCCACCCTGAGGCCCTTTTGGGGTGAGAAGGGTGGAATATAGATGCATTAAACAAACAAACAAACAAACAAACAAACAAACAAACTGTAGGTCTTGGGGTTCTGACAAAGTTATGAGTTGATCAGGATTTCATGAAGCTTTCTAGAAGACTGCTACTGCCTGCTCCCTGCAATTACACTGTTCTTTTCTCTCTTCAGAGTTGCCAGTGAAGTTTGTTCGGGGCCTCTCAGATGTGTCAACACTACAAGGGGAGACGGTGCTCTTCTGGTGTGAGCTATGCAAAACCAAGGGTGATGTTGTGTGGCAGAAAGATGGCAAGGAGCTGGAAAACAATGAATATGTGGAGATTCGAGCAGAGGGACGGGAACGTTCTTTGACCTTGAGCCATGTGAGGCCAGAGGATGCTGGTGAATACTCGTGTGAAAGCAAGGATGACCGCACCTTGGCTATACTTACAGTCCAGAGTAAGTCCTATAGTGAAAGGCCATAGCTCTGAGAAAAGGCACCAAGTATTCCTGGTGCAATCCCAACATCTCCAGCAGGACCGAGAAAGGCCCCTGTGCTGGAGTCTCCATCAGGTCTGGGGCATGACTTAATAGCATTTTAGGTGGCTTCTTGGGTTGCTGTGTTCCTTCCTTTAAAAACACTGTCTTCTGATTGGAAACATGTTGAGGTTGAGAGCTGGTGAACCTCTGCTTTTATTTTATTATTTATTTAGAAGTTTTATATACATCCGAGGAGGGACTCAGGCCGGTTCACAACATGTGTTCGTATACAGTAATATACAAAACAGCACAATGCATCATCATTATACATTATACATCTATATATATAAATCTGTTAGGTTGGTTCAACCGGACAGCAAAACTCCACAACCCCCCAACGAAACTTAACCAAAATTCCCATGCCCATAACACAACCCACAAGGTACAAACATATCTACTCAAAATGAAAAACAACACAACAACACACTCACAAAACGGCAAAACAACAAAACTAAAAAAAAACCAATGAAACTTAACCAAAATTCCCATGCCCATAACACAACCCACAAGGTACAAACATATCTACTCAAAATGAAAAACAACACAACAACACACTCACAAAACGGCAAAACAACAAAACTAAAAAAAAACCCAACGAAACTTAACCAAAATTGCCATGCCCATAACACAACCCACAAGGTACAAACATATCTACTCAAAATGAAAAACAACACAACAACACACTCACAAAACGGCAAAACAACAAAACTAAAAAAAAAAAACAACGAAACTTAACCAAAATTCCCATGCCCATAACACAACCCACAAGGTACAAACATATCTACTCAAAATGAAAAACAACACAACAACACACTCACAAAACGGCAAAACAACAAAACTAAAAAAAACAACGAAACTTAACCAAAATTCCCATGCCCATAACACAACCCACAAGGTACAAACATATCTACTCAAAATGAAAAACAACACAACAACACACTCACAAAACGGCAAAACAACAAAACTCAAAAAAACCAACGAAACTTAACCAAAATTCCCATGCCCATAACACAACCCACAAGGTACAAACATATCTACTCAAAATGAAAAACAACACAACAACACACTCACAAAACGGCAAAACAACAAAACAAAAAAAAACCCAACGAAACTTAACCAAAATTCCCATGCCCATAACACAACCCACAAGGTACAAACATATCTACTCAAAATGAAAAACAACACAACAACACACTCACAAAACGGCAAAACAACAAAACTCAAGAAACCCCCAACGAAACTTAACCAAAATTCCCATGCCCATAACACAACCCACAAGGTACAAACATATCTACTCAAAATGAAAAACAACACAACAACACACTCACAAAACGGCAAAACAACAAAACTCAAAAAAAAAACCCAACGAAACTTAACCAAAATTCCCATGCCCATAACACAACCCACAAGGTACAAACATATCTACTCAAAATGAAAAACAACACAACAACACACTCACAAAACGGCAAAACAACAAAACTAAAAAAAAAAACCAACGAAACTTAACCAAAATTCCCATGCCCATAACACAACCCACAAGGTACAAACATATCTACTCAAAATGAAAAACAACACAACAACACACTCACAAAACAGCAAAACAACAAAACTCACAAACCCCCCAACGAAACTTAACCAAAATTCCCATGCCCATAACACAACCCATAAGGTACAAACATATCTACTCAAAATGAAAAACAACACAACAACACACTCACAAAACGGCAAAACAACTGAGCATGCGCATTGGTGGCCAGCCGCAAGTTCCCTGGCGCGCGCACACAGTTCCCTCTGCGGAAGCCATGCCCACTCCAAGCCCCGCCGCGCTGCTTCCCGCACACACCCCCCCCTGCCCCACACACACACACTACCCCACGCTCCATCACTCCCCCGCCGCACACACACACGCAACCCCACGCTCCATCACTCCCCCCGCCGCACACACACACGCGCAACCCCACACCCCCTGCCGCACACACACACACAACCCCACGCTCCATCACTCCCCCCACCGCCACACACACACGCGCAACCCCACTCCCCCCCGCTGTCGCACACACACACGCAACCCCACGCTCCATCACTCCCCCCGCTGCCGCACACACACACACACACCCACGCTCCATCACTCCCCTGCCCCAATCTTACCTCCTTTTACTTCACGCCACCTCCAAACCCCACCCCGCCCCTTCCCGCCCTGTCAAAATCCAGGAAAGAAAGGAAGGAAGGAAAGAAGGAAGAAAGAGAAAGGGAGGAAAAGAAAAAGGGGGAAGGAAGGAAAGTTAGAGAAAGAAGGAAGAAGAAAAGGAAAGAAAAGATGGAAGGAAAGAAAAGAGAGACAGCAGAAGAGAAAGAAAAAGGGGGGAGGAAGGAAAGAGGTAGAGAAGGAAGAAATGAGAGACAGAGGGAGGGAAAGAAAAAGGGGGAAGGAAGGAAGGAGAGAAGGAAAGAAAAAAGGGAATGAAGGAAGGAAAGAGGGAGTGAAGGAAGGGGGAAGATGTAGAGAAAGAGGGAGGGAAGGAAAGAAGGAAAGAGAGAAGGAAGAAAAGAGACCAGAAGAGAAAGAAAAAGGGGGAAGGAAGGAAGGAAGGAGAGAAGGAAAGAAAAAAGGGAATGAAGGAAGGAAAGAGGGAGTGAAGGAAGGGGGAAGATGTAGAGAAAGAGGGAGGGAAGGAAAGAAGGAAAGAGAGAAGGAAGAAAAGAGACCAGAAGAGAAAGAAAAAGGGGGAAGGAAGGAAAGAGATAGAGAAGGAAGAGGAGAAGGAAAGATGGGAGGGAAGGAAGGAAGGAGGGAAAGAAGGAGAGAAAGAGGGAAGGTTGGCCACAGCAACGCGTGGCGGGTAAAGGTTGTTATTTCTATTATTATTATTATGCTATGATTCCTATGAGACCCTTTTAAGGGGAATGGGAGAGGTGTCAGGTCCCAGAGGCAATGCATTGCATTATTGTTATTGTTATGATGGTGGTGAAATAAAAGGAAATAAAAAGTGAAAGAAGGAAGCAAACAGGGAGGGAAGAAAGGCAAAGGAAGAAAGGGGGAGGGAATGAAGGAAAGAGAGAAGGATGAAACCAAGTAGTGAAAGAAGGAAAGAAAGAAAGAGGTAGAGAAGGAAGAAAGGAGAGAAAGGGGGAGGAAAAGGGGGAAGGAATAGGTAGGTACCTCTCTTTCATAATAGTCCAGATATCTACCTCAACTTTGATAAGTTTTACTATAGGCCACAGCAACGCGTGGCAGGGCACAGCTAGTTAAAATATAAGTACAATAAAAACATCATCATCACATTACACAAGCCAAGCCGTCAATACAGTCACAATTCATCGCTTTCCAAGCTCTGTTCTCTATAAACTGTGCCAGATGTAGCAAGTCAAACATGTGGGCTCCTGCCTGGGAGGACCTCTAGAGCTGCTATAAAGGGTTCAGCCTAGGGTACCATTATTGGCACGATCTCTGACTTCAGGGGTGGGCAGTGTTTACCAAAACAGGTCTAGGTAAGCCTAACTCTCAGCTTCTTTCCACCCAGTTCCCAGGTTGGTGGAGATTATTTCTGAGCTGCACAATTTAACTGTGCTGGAGGGGGATGATGCCACCTTCAAGGCTGTAGTGTCTCCAGATGATGTGGTCCTACAGTGGCAGATGAATGGCCAGGATGTGGTGCCCAGTGAACGACTCACTATAACTAAGAATGGGCTGTGCCATACACTCACCATAAAGCAGTGTCGACTGAGTGACACTGGCATAGTAACTGTCTGGGCAGAAGGCCTAATGAGTTCAGCCAGGCTCAGTGTCCAAGGTAAGAGGAAAGGTGGCAGCAAATATGTGGTTTTGATTGCATTTGGAGGAAGGTCACTTGTAGCTGGTAGTAAGTAGGAATCAGAAACTCTGAGTTTACCTCAAGATTCAAGAAGAAAACCAGTTGATCCCAGGACTGTGTTTATTTTGCCTGTCAATTCTATAGCTTCAGCAATTTAGAATTGAGTGATATATATATATATATATATATATATATATATATATATATATAGTCTCAGGAAGTCAAATAAACAAACATTATATATATATATATATATATATATATATAAAAAATATATATAATATATATAATATATAATGTTTGTTTATTTGACTTCCTGAGACTTGAAGACATTCAATAATAGACAACAGAACTTCTGCTGAACTTTGGAGGTTTTGGCAGGCACAATTTATCCAACTTCAAAAATAACTCTGCAGCAGGGGCGGAGAAAAGGAGCCCCGTGTCTACATTTGGTCCAAAAGTCTCCCAAGAGACCCCTAGTTTTCTACTCAATTTTTGGTCCAATGCCCACCAAGACACATAAAATCACACCAAAATGTAATGGTTCTGCTTTCCAGATCTACCACAAACCTTATCCCATTAAAGGCCATCTGAAAATTAGCCAAAAGCATAATTGTTGTCATAACCTTGTTGAGGATTTACAGCTATACATGTGGAATTATAACTGCACAACTTAGAATCAGGCAATTCCATAATATTTGTATTCAGCAAAGGCCTGCTATTACGTTAGCACATAGAAGAGCCAGGACATTGTGACCGATGCACATTGAAACAGGTTCATAAGAGGAGTGGTGATTATTGGTTCCTGACAGCATTGATTCTACTGTGAATTGGGACACCAACTACCAAGTGCTGATGCCCATTAATACAGCCTGATGGACATTGGGACACTTTTGCTAATGCGCCATTATACATTTTTACAATTTACTAACAGAGTTCTTTAATTACTCTGCTTCATAGCTAAGTATATGTAATGTTAAATAACATACATCTGGAGAGAAGATTCTGGCCACTGTGAGTGTGCATTGTCAGAAATGAAGTGAAATATTTCGTCCATGATCCATTTTTTCATTCCTCCTTCTTTCTGTTCATGATTTTTTGCTTGGGGAAACACTGCATGAATTTGTGAAGATTTCACAAATTCTAGTAAGGATGACAGAGGTGGCAGTAAGAATGCAGGGAGCCCCCAGTGGTGCAATGCTGGCCGACAGGTCAGCGGTTCAAATCTGGGGAGAGAGGGATGAGTTCCCTCTGTCAGCTGTAGCTCCCCCTGTGGGGACATGAGAGAAGTCTCCCACAAGGATGGTAAAACATCAAATATCCGGGCATCCCCTGGGCAACATCCTTACAGTCAGCCAATTCTCTCAGACCAGAAGCAACTTGCAGCCTCTCAAGTTGCTCCTGATGTGAAAAAAAAAATCAACATTGTTGTTCTGATGTCTGAATGCACCCGAGCAGGAGATGTTTCAAACCCTCCTGGAGAAACTAATATTTTGATGTTTCTTCCTACAGAGGCTCAGGTGTTGTTTGTTAAGACGCTGCATGACTTGGTGGCTGAGGAAGGCCAAGACATGCGCTTAGAAGTGGAATTGAGCCTGGAGAGTGCCGAAGTGCAGTGGATGAAGCAAGGCATTCTGCTCCAGCAGAACTCCAAGTTCTCCATGGAGGCCCATGGTCCCCAGAGGGCTCTCACCATCTACAACATTGAGTTAGCAGACAGAGGCACCTACCGTTGTGAGAGCCTGCATGACCGCACCCAAGCCAGATTGAGCGTGGAACGTAAGTGCCCAGCCTCTGCCTTCTTTTTTAGTTTATTTCTCAGTTACAGTTTGTGTGCTCTCTGATCACTTCTTAATACATAACCTTGCACACTGCTGATGTTAAATGTTAAGCACTAGTATCAGTAATGCTCCAAAGGGTATTTGAATTTTGTTAGGCAAGTATATTTAAGGAATACATTTTGGTGTCAGGGAGAGCCATTTGAGGGGAAGGCCCTAGGAATTTGACTCCCTGAAAACCTCTGTCACGGGAAGAAGCTGCATCTTTTATTACTCCCACCAGACATGCCTCTTCATGAACAAGTCACTTGGGTGGTTGTAGGTGAACATTAAATTTGCATACATCCTTCCTTGCTCCCCTTCCAGCTCGAAGGGTAATGGTGAAGAAACCACTATCAGATGTGGAGACGTTTGAGAAGGAGACAGTGACATTTGAGCTGGAGCTATCCCATCCCAATGTATCTGGGGTCTGGACTCGGGATGGCATCCGTGTGAAGCCTGGTTCTACCTGCCGAGTGAGTGCTACGGGCTGCACACACAGCCTGACACTGCTGGGGCTCACGCAAGATGACTCAGGGACTGTGGCCTTCACTGCTGACACCGTGCGGAGCAGCGCCCGCCTTACTGTCCGAGGTACTGGGGCAAATGTGCACAGAGTGGATTTGGCTGCATCATATTTGTATTTTCCATTTGGAAAGGGTGGGATCCCAGGGAAGCACTAGGAAGGAGTTGCAATTGTAATTGACAACTGGAACAGCCCTAAAGTGGAGAAAAGTCTGGATGCCTGGGCTTGAAACCTGCTTTTGGGCTCTCTGCTTTGAGTACATACACTGACACTGCCTTTTACTTCACTTGAGTCTGGGCTCTTCAGCAACTGAACAGAATGGCTATGCAAAGCCACAGTTATACCAGCCCTGGCCCCAGTGTAGGCACATGCCAGTTTATCTGGGCTGTTGTTTAGAATCCTTTTTCTGTTGCAAGTAGCAAAAACAGGGTTTTTGTCTGTAACTCTTTGGTGCACAGTTTCAGGAAATGGGTGTTCCTTCTTAACATTTATGGCTATGAAAGATACTAGTCCCACAACACACCTAACTAGTTACTTCTGTGAACTGCTTGACATAGCAGATTGGATAGAGCCCTGCAGGTACACTAAGCCTCTTCGCACAGCCCAGAGTTCCTGATGGAATTTGCTACCACAACATATGGTGATTGTCATTAACTTAGGTGGCTTGGAAAGAGGATTAGAGAGATTTGTGGGGGGTAAGGCTATCATTGGTGAGTGGTCATGAGACAGTGTCTTCCCTGAAGTCAACTTGCTGGGGGGGGGGGGGGAACAGCAGAGAAGATCAGCTTGTGGGTTTCTCAAGAAGTATCCGGTTGTTCACTGAAGCAAAGAGGGTGCTGAACTAAATAGGTCTTGGAGCTGACCTAGCAAGGCTAGTCTTGTAGGTTCATGTCTAAAGCGCAATGCACCTGCAGCACTGCACCAAGTATAGAGCTACTGATAGTAGTGACAGAGTGCGATTTAAGTGAGACTGGTGAGTGAGTGTGCCTCAAACTGTACTTGAATAAAGGCTGCAAGCTGCAAGCTGTTGTGCTGTGCCAAGCTAGGGAAACTGTCATGCATTGCTTAAGCATAAGACTTTGATAAGGATAACTTTTTGGTCTTTGAGTTGATTCATCTTTGTGCTACATTCCTGACCTGTCTTTGCCTCTGTTCCTGCAGAGCCTCCAGTAACTATGCTGCGCCTTCCCCAGGATATGGGCATCCCTGAGACTGGCTCTGCTACCTTTGAGTGTGAGCTATCCCGGCCTCTAGCAGAGGTGAAGTGGTACAAGGTGAAAGTGCTACTTCTAATATTGCCCTTCCTTTAATTTTCATTGATCTCCCCCAAAATTGATCTCCCTCAAAATATGGAGAGCATGTCTGAAGAGCATGCCAGGTTACATGGTGAATTAGTGTTCCTAATTTTTGCAGGCTGATCCACATATTCATATCCAAGCCCCCACCCCACCCCAAAATACGGAGAGCAGGACTCAATCCAATGGATCCTCCCTGCCTTTTGCAATCCTTAACTATACTTTGTTGTCTGTATTCTGGGCTGTCACAGGATGGGGAGGAGATCCAGATGGGCCCCACTTGCCGCATGTATTCAGTGGGACGCCGGCGCCTCCTTCAGCTCAATCATTGCAGCCTTGAAGATGCGGGCGAGTACACATGCGATGCTGGTGACTGCTGTGCCTCTGCTAAACTGCGAGTTTTTGGTATGGATGGCTTGAACAGGATGTGAAGGCAGAGATGGGATGGGGGGAGGTTGTGTGGGGAATGTACGATGTAAAGCAACCTCAAGCCTCCCATTCTTTAGAGATTTGTTGCCCTTTGCTGTATGCTTCATTTTCCCCCTCCCACCTGCCTCTCTGACAGCTGCCTCTTCTGTACACTGTGGTGAGTCAGAGTCTTGTTCAGAAGCTTGTACAGCTTGTACAGGAAGCTAGGTTTAGGATAAACATTCCGTACTTGGTTTTTTCTCTAACCCCCCTCCCCACATCCCTGCAGTTAGAACATTTCAGCAATGGAAAAGCATCCTCAAGAGGAGAATTAAAAAAAAAACGTTTCAGGAAGACATTGGACAGTTTCTTGTCAGGATTGTTTTTTAAAGTATAGAAGGATATCTCTTTTTAGTACAGAGGCCAGCTCTTGAAGCTAAATGACTCACTTAGATGATGGTGGTGAGCCTTTTTGGCTGTGCAGGAAAGGCTAGAGGAGGAAAAATCGCATTTAGATTCTTAGAGTTTAATCTGAATGAGAACTCAGGCTCAGAAGAGGCTGCTTTTGGTTCTGTAAGAAGCCTTTAACATAATGGAATCTTTGTGCATGTATAGACCACACTTCTCTCTTAGGACCAAGAAAGGGCAGTCTGTGTGTCCTGCCCCCACATATCTTGAATAAGAGAGGAGGACTCACTGGAGTCCTGACACTTTTGGTTTAAGATAGTAAGCTTTGCAGCTTCTGCCAGGAAAGTTAGCTGGAGGCAACTTTCTTCCTCTCTCTTCCTCTCTCTCCTGCCCCCCCTCCCCCCATCTCTCTCTCTCTTTCTTTCTCAGTCTCTCTTTCACACACATAAACTAGTTTAAAAGTAATAATTTCTAATCTATCTTTGGCCTTCCTAGTGGTGTGCAAAATGCACTTTTATTATTAGAAACAGGCCAAATGTCAATTGAGTCCTAGGCATGGGTCCTTCAATTAAATTTCTGATTAAAGATATTTTTTACCCCTGTGGGATTGGCCTCTTTAGTATTGACTGACAGGTTCCATTCTAGATGGAAAAAGACACTGGGTGAGAAACTAGGACCTTTTTGCAAATTATCCAGATAGAATGTATTGTCGAAGATAGAGATGGGCAAAATGGTCAGTTCTGTCCTGTGATGGTATTTGTCATTCTCAACTTTAAAATGATACCATTAGGTGATTTGTGGGAGGAGCCGAAATGCCCCTTTGGGAAAAAGCTTCACCATTACCTTTTGTTCATGGAGGAAGGAAGATCGGCAGTATGTTGTGTTCCTTTCTGTCTCATGCACTTTCTGGGGGCCTTCCTTCCTTCCTTTTTTCAGAGTTTTTCAGAAGTACTGAACTGGTAAAATCTTTGAGTAGATGAACTTCTAATCTGATCATGTAGGGATTTTCTGGTGGCAAGTTCATCTCTTTGTATCATCAAAGAAAAGTCTTCACTATTTCTCATCAAGCTTTGTCCAATGATTTCATGGAATATTCATTTTGCTTAGATTGGGTGAGTTTGTTCCATTACTTACTGGAGGGTGTTCCATGGACACAGTTGAGAAGGAGTTGAGATTTAGTGTTATCAATGGACCCACATGATGAGCCCATGTGCTACCCAATAGAAATATCATTAGCAGCAACTCGATGGGCCTTTTTTTCTTCCTATTGCAGAACGGCAGGTGCAGATTTTGCGAGAACTGGAGGATATTCGGGTACGGGAGAATGAGAATGCTGTTTTCATGTGTGAGGTGTCACTCGAGGAGGTGAAAGGAGAATGGTTCCGGGATGGGGAGAGAATCAAAGTTACGAGTACTGTGAAAATACGGCAGGAAGGTAGGTGAATGCCTTCAGTCTTGAAGTGGGGTGGGGTGAAAATGTGATTCCCTAATTTTTCTTTAACTACGCAGGATCATGGTTTGTGCAGGTGGAGTAGTGATTGAGTGAGCCCACCATATATGGTGGCCCCTGAAGTCAGCAGGTGGAAGTTTTCAAAAGGAAGGAAGGTTCACTAAATGACTGTGAAACAGTGTATGTAGGAAAGAAATATCTTACTTCATGCTCATCACTGCTTTGAGGCATGATTCTGCTAATTTATACTACCTCTATTCCATTTTATTCCAGACTTAAGAATGTACATGTGTTCCCATTGTTATAAATGGGGCATTTGTCAAGATTGTTTCCCCCTTTTATTTAAATCTGATATCTGGGCAGGTCATGCTTTGATTTTGAAAGGTTACACTATGCCCAAGGAAGGTGACTTTTGTCCCATAGATAATCATCTGCGCAGCTGCAACCGACAAAATAAATGGAAATAGAAACAAAGCTTTTCTCCAGCATCTCAGTATTATGTCTTAATGGATGGGAAATTGCAAGAGGAGTTCTGCTTCGCCAAAAAAAGAACAAATTCCTGCAGTAACTGTTTCTTTGTACTATAGGTTTATGTGTAGAATATATGGAAGCAGATGTGTAGACACACACACAGGGAATTAGTTACTTTAATGAGCAGCTCAGCATATATACGTGTCATACCCATTCCTAGGGACTGGAAGCAAAGCTCCACATGTCTCTTGCAGAACATTGGCACCTCTTCTCTCTTTCTTCACCAGGAGCCCGGCACTTCCTGCTTCTGTGCTGCGTTCATCCTGAGGATGCAGGCCAGATCCGTTTTGTGGCCAAAGCAGCCACTTCTGAAGCACGCCTGGAAGTGGAGGGTGAGAAGACCTCTTCACGCTTCACACTGGGTCTCATCTGTCATGTGAGACTTGGCTGGGATTGACAAGCGTGGGAAAGTGTGTATGGTGTGGTGTGCATTTGTTTAAATTACAGGTCATAAACAAAAGGCAGAGCAGTAATAACATGCATTTAGTAATTAGCTAGACCAATCTTTTGTGTATATGCATGCACGTTTATATATAGACATGGACATACATGCACCAATCCTGGCCTAGCTGCTTTTTAAATGCATGATATACAGTTAGCCCTCAATATCTTGGATTCTGTATCCACAGCTTCAACCATCCAAAGCTTGAAAATACTCCTCAAAAAATATAAATCCCTAAATGCAAACCTTGATTATGCAATTTTATATAAGGATCACCGATTTGCTAGGCTATTGTATATAATGGGTTTCAGCATCCATGAAATTTGGTATCTACAGAAGTGTGGCTGGACTCTGGAGCCAAATCCCAGTAGATACCAAGGACCCACTTTGTGTGTCTATATGGGGGGGGGGGGGGGGGAGAAATATGTGAGATGTGATGGAGGTATGCTGAAGGAACAGACTAAAGGTGAAATATGCATTGAGTACTTATATGTGAATTGGTCTTCTGTCCATGGCTAACCAGAAATGTGCCTCCCTTTGATCCACTGTACTATGGAAAGATGACAATGTGTTTACATGCCATTCAGGATTGGTGGCCAAACCTAGTCTCCTATGAACTAAAGATTGTGTGTGTGTGTGTGTACCATCATGGGTGGGGAGGTCCACTTTATAAGAGTCACAGGGTCCATTTCTTCCACAGCATTGCCCATTCGCATTGTGAAGCCACTGAGGGACAAGACTGTACTAGCGCGGCACAAAGCCACACTGGAATGTACAGTCTCACAGTCTCGTGGACGTGTGCGCTGGTTTCGTGGTGACACAGAGATCTTTGCTGGCCCCAAGTATGAGATATGCAACTTGGACTGTTATCGAACCCTGGTTATTCACTCTGTTGAGCCTGCAGATGAAGGCCTCTACACCTGTGATGCACTGGATGACTGCTCTACAGCCCGCCTGCTAGTGGAGGGTAAGGGACAGCACATGACTGCAGTGCAATGTGAAGGGGAGGTGGGTTGTTCATAAGAGAGATGTGTATAGGTGTGGAACTGTGTGCCTGTAAAGTGTAAAAGAGAGAACAAAGGAGTGACAGAGCTTAGCAGGGCATTTCTGGTCCAACTCCAGGCAGGTTGCCAAAACTGATGCAAGTGTAGCATAGCAGCTTGGGTAGTAGATATAAACTTGCTATTAACTATCAGTGTGGCCCTAGGTACACACTAAGCAGAAATGTAGCCGGGGGGGGGGCTTGGGGGGCTTACCCCCCCCCCCCGAAATTCTCATGGTGGTTCGCGAAAAGCTCTTACTGGTGCATTATTTTAACTACACCGCCCTACTCAATATATCCCATATGCATGGGGGTATTGGGGTAATGATACAAAAGGTTTGCTAGGCTAGACCCTCTTTCACTCAGACTCAGCCCCCCCGAAACTCAGCCCCCCCGAAACCCCCCCTGAAATTTTTTTAGCCCCCCCCCCCCGAAACGAAATCCTGGCTATGGGCCTGACACTAAGCCCTGGAGTTTGCGTTCTGTACCTGTTGTGTGTCATCAAGTCATTTCTGTCAATCATATCATTAGGGTTTTCTTGAAAGATTTTGTTCAAAAGGGGCTTGCCATGGCCTTCCTGAGGTTTAGAAAGCACCCAAGGTCACCTAGTGGGTTTCAATAGCTGCATGGGGATTCAAACCCTGGTCCCAATGCCTAATCCAGTACCCAAACTGCTACACCACACTCACTTGCCTTCTTTACTAGAATTTTGGGAGTGGGGTGAGCTCCCATCTGTCAGCTCCAGCTTCTCATGCAGGGACATGAAAGAAGGCTCCCACAGGATGGTAAAACATCCGGGCGTCTCCTGGGCAACATCCTTGCAGACAGCCAATTATCTCACACCAGAAGTATCTTGCAGTTTCTCAAGTCACTTGTAACATTAAAAAAACAACCCAAAGCTAATATTGCTTTCATGCACACAATACAATTCCTGGTTCCTCTGGCCCCATCATTTCAGTAGAGGATGGGTGGGAGAGAAAACTGACATTGCTATTCTGAGATATTTGGAATTTGTAAATTGTTGACAATCTGGAATCCAACCTTAGCAATACCAGTATATTCCCAGTCTACATTTTGCATGCTCATTGTGGGATAATATTGCCTGTGCATAATAGGGGAAACTGATGCTTTTCTCTGACTTTGCAGCCGAAGGTATCCAGGTGGTGCAAGGCCTGCGGAACGTGGAAGTGGTAGCTCCCTCTGAGGCTCAGTTTGAGTGTGAAATATCTGCTCCTCCTGGATTCAGCCCCCAGTGGAGCCTTAATGGGGAGGAATTACAGCCTAGCTCTCAAGTGCATATGGAGAACACAGGACACATCCATCGGCTGAGGCTCTGTCAGACAACAACTGGAATGAATGGGATGGTAAAAGTTACCATTGGCAGTGCCCGTTCAAAAGCGCATCTCACCGTTCGAGGTACTCCTGCCTTTGTTTGGTGATGGGATAAAGTATAAAGACAGTTCCAGAACATGGAAATGGCCTGGGTACAGTGAAAACAGAGCCGATGCTTATCCTGTGGAGCAATATGATTAATGCTAAACCTTCTTCGGCTTTAGCAGTCTCTGTAGTCCTAGCTGAGTTATCAGCTGAGAAACTGAAATCTAGACAGTGTCCTTGTTTCAACAGGCTTGTGGGTAGAAGATATAATGGAACAGGAGATAATAAAAAGCTTCTGCCCTTTTACATTTTCTCTCTTTCTTCTCTCCCTAGAGCACTAGCATCAGGAGGGTGCTGAATGTAAGCACAGTAGATGCCAGGACCACAAGGGAAAGGTATAAACAGTATATTGGATGGTTGCACGCGGACAGCTGGAAGAATGAACACGTAGATGGACAGTTCTTTCTGTTTCCCTCTTCTGCATGACAAGGGAAGCAGGTTCTGCTTTATTAAATGCATTTGATTCCTGATTTATTTCTAAAATTAAATCCTAGTGGTCTTTATTTGGTGAGATTGCTTGTATAGGCAGAACGTCCCATCAGTTGTTTAGATCAGGAGGAGGAGGAGGTGAGACAGTGCAGCAGCATTCAATATGTTCAATTTTTGTTTAAGACCTCTGACTACAAGGCTGCTTACCCTATATGTATGCACCTTCAGCTTGCAGTGACCCCCTCAACTGTGTAAGTTTTTCTTGGGCAAGGACTACTCAGGGGTTTCCTTCCTCTGAAATGGCCATTTCCTTCCTCTGAAATGTAGCCTGCAGCACCTGGTATTGATTGGTGGTCTCCTGTCCACATACTAAATACAATGGATCCTGTTAGCTTTCAAGATCAGACAGGATCTGGTGCATTTAGGGTAGGATTCAGATAACACTGATGGTTGGGTGATGTCAGGACCAGTGCCTGCTTCTTTTCTTTCTTAACTACCCATCTGAAACAGCATCAGGTTGCATGGAAGAAAGGGCAGTCCATGCAAGGGCACATGTATACTGTAGAATAGATATGGGAGTGTGTGTGTGTGTGTTTACAGTTTGCACATCTCTTAAGCCTCACATTTTAGGACAGTGGTTCTCAACCTTCCTAATGCTGCAATCCCTTAATACAGTTCCTCATGCTGTGGTGACCCCCAACCGTAAAACTATTTTCGTTGCTACTTCATAAGTGTAATTTAGCTACTGTTAGGAATCATAATGTAAGTATCTGATATGCAGGATGCATTTTTATTCACTGTATCAAATTTGCCACAAATATTCAACAGCCCAAATGTGAATACTGGTGAGGTGGGGGTGTGGATTTATTTTGTCATTTGGGACTTGCAATTTCTGGGATTTATAGTTCACCTACAATCAGAGTGTGTTCAGAAGTCCATCAACGATGGAATTGAACCAAACTTGGCACACAGAACTCCCTTGACTAACAGAAAATGCTGCAAGGGTTTGGTGGGCACTGACCTTGAGTTTTGGAGTTGTAGTTCACCTGCATCCAGAGAGCGCTGTGGACTCAAACAATGATGGATCTGGACCAAACTTGGCACAAATACTCAATATGCCCAAATGTGAACACTGGTGGAGTTTGGGGAAAACAGACATTGATATTTGGGAGTTGTAGTTGCTGGGATTTATAGTTCACCTACAATCAAAGAGAATTCTGAACCCCACCAACGATAGAATTCGGCCAACATCCCAAACAGAACCCCCATGACCAACAGAAAATACTGTGTTTTCTGATGGTCTTTGGCTACCCTTCTGACACACTCTTGTGACCCCCTCCAGGGGTCCCGACCCCCAGGTTGAGAAATGCTGCTTTAGGAGGACCTGAAACCAAAAGGTGAAGAGTGGTGGGCTTCTTGAAGAAAGCCAGATGGGTTACACAAGATGTTAATCTAGCATGCCACAAAGACTGTGCCTTGCTGATTTGCCGCCCTGTCTTAGATAGAATTTTCAAATCTTACTCTAGCTTTTCTTCCATTGGATTTGTCAGAAACAGCACACATTTTAGCTAGAGATGACCACTGGCAGAGTGTCCTCCAGCACATCCATTGCCCTAGTATAGCACCTTTACTTCAAAATAAGATGTTGTACCCATCATTCTGCATATGTACATCCTCAGCCCTGAGAACACAGTACTATGATCTGTCAAACAAGAAAAGTGTTGTTTCAAGCTTTTTTTTTTTGTAGATGATGCCTGAGGATGTGGCTGAAACCTCATTCCCCACCCATCCACCCACCCTTTCCATATACACATTCATGGAAGCAGCACCATTCCTGCTCCAACTAAGTGTTTGTGGTGCATTAATTCATGAAAGCACTACTCCTGAAAGGCTTTTTTTTTACTTGCGCAGCCACAGCTGGGCAGCGTTTGGCACATATACAAAAAAAGAAAGAAAGACAAAAAGAAGAAAACCAAAGAGTGCAAGGTTTCTGTGGTGACAACAATGGCGATTGGTGACAAAAACATGCAGTTTCCCCATGGAGGAGAGGCCTTGCTGAAGTGCACTGTATTCTCCCTTGCCCCATCCTGAAATAGATGGCCCATTAATTCTCCCCTCCCATCGCCTCCAAAGATGTAGACAGCGAGAGACTCACTGTCTGGTCCACACAGAAATCACCCACAGACGAAGCTCAAAAGCAGGGCTTTGTTAAGTAGGAAAAAAACATCCACCTCCCCACCCTGCCCAGGGCTGTGGAGCTAGACAGAAAAAAGGGGGTAAGCCCTGAGGGGAAAGAGAAGAGGGCTGTAGGAATCCGTTTTGTTGTTTTCCACCCAACTTCCCAATGGCCCCTCTGGGTCCATCTGATATCTTCAGGCCCAGCTCTTTTGTCAATAATAAATTAATACAAATAACTGTAACAAGACTATGTACATGGGTATTTCCTCCCCAACCCGAGTCCTTCACTGTTCTCCCCACCCTCCAGAATGAGGAGTAGAGTAAGAGGACTATGGGAAAGGGAGGGAGCCTCAAAAAGGCTCATTGCCTGGATACCAGTCGAATGGCCACATTGCTCTAGTTCCCCCACATTCACACTCTCACTTGCACACTTGGACAGTTATACAGCCCAGCCCAGCCTGGGTGCCCAGCCCCCCCTCCTCCCCTCCCTTCTTGAGTCACCCTTTGAGACAGAAAGCCAGGCACTGGTATGGGCAAGGGCCCCATTTCCCTGAGCTGGCTTGTTCCAGCCAGACTGAACTGAATCAAATTGTATCACTGTCATTACACAACGGGCACTTGCACCCCTAAGACGATCCTTGGGACCAGCTCATGCAAAGACAAACTCCAGGATAAAGGTTGGGTCCATCATGTGGCAAGACAGCAGAAGAACACTGCATGGTCCATCCGTATATGGGCCACTCAAGTAGTGTTGGGTGGGACACACCAGCAGGTTCTTGTCAGTTTTTTTGGGAGTGGGTAAGTGTGATTAGCTTCTTCCTTCGTAGCCTCGTAGCACAATGCTGATTATTACGTCAAATACTACCATCCACATTTCTGGCCTGGGTGGGTTACAACCAGGTCTCTCTTCAGCCCTTTGCCCCAAGCTCTTGCTCACTCTCTTCCCTTGCCTCTTGTTTCTTGGTGGTTGGGTCAGAGCCAATGTAGCACTGGGGAGAATTCTGCATATTCTGCAGCTTGAGAGATGCTGGACTACCTTTGCATGTCCAGGCCAGGCCCATGAATGCTAGCAATGAGCATCCCCCAAGGTTTGATGGCAGCACAGGCGCTGGGCAATGTCCACATGGTGTGAAGTTTGAGACCACTCATGATAGCGTCCTTGTGTCTTGGTGGGAGATGCTGGACTATACTCGCATGGCAGGGCCAGAGCCCGTCGTCAGGGGCACAGTGGAACTGCAGTCATAGTCTATGTCAATGGCAGCATGAGTGCTAACCAAGAGGCTGTTGAGGGAAGAGCCCGTCTGCCGTTCTCGGAAGCTCTGTATGTAGCTCTGCAGGAAGAGGAAGCAGAAAATGAGAAAATGCCTTTACTCCTCCACCCTTTTCCCCAACCCATTTCTGAGTAAAATCCCTTCTCTTGTTCTAGAGTTTTGTAGCAAAGTCCAGGCAGGCTCTTCCTACATATTTGCCTGGGAGAAGGAATATTCTCAGAGCCTTTCCAAATCACTGCAGTATTATTTCTTCTGGAAGTAGCCACAAAACATGCCACTCTTTGCCTTTTTCATACATTCATTAACAAATAAACAACACAAAAAGATAACTTTTCCTAAGGTGGCTTCTAGCCCTTCTGATAATGGGCTGGATCATACAGTAACCCGAAATGGAAAGGATCCACAAAATCAATGAGACTACAAGTAGAATTCAGGTCATAGGCTGCTATAGCTACACTGCTCTGAGTGATTGTGCTGTGAGTAGAGTTGGATGCTTTCAGGGAAGTGACAAGGCTGCTGTGGCAAGAAAAACAAAGGCTTCTTCATAGAAAAGAAGAAACTAACTTTGGTTCATCTGTGCCCCAACACAAATGGATTTTGCACATGGAAACTTCTAAACCTGAGCAGCTTGGCAGATCTTTGTCTCCTCTGATGTATTGTGCATGTTCAAGTCCACCAAGCCACTGTGCTATTGGTTTTGAAATCTGCTGTGAAATATTGTAGGGACTTAAAAGAAGTGGGCTACTATTGGTTTGTGTGAGGACAGAGATGACCACTCAAAGACCAGTTACAGATAAGCAACTTGTTCATGGTCAATGTGCCTCATACAAATGGGTAACTGTGAAGCTTACCATTAGGTGGTTGGCCAGGTCACTAAAGATCAGAAGACGGGACAGCATGCCCAAACTGAGCATCTACCCCAGCTTTGCAATCCAGTCTATAATGCTGGACAAACATAGACATTTGTGACTATATTGTGCTCCTGCTTAAACTGGAAGTAGAACCACGTAGCAAAACCGCAGAAGACATCAATGCCCTGGTAGAATGAATCTTCAATCAATCTCGTACAAGTGGTTTAGGCAGCACATAAGAAAGTCAAATAACCTGGGGCACCCATTTCAAAAATCTTTATGATACGATCTGACATCTCTTTTGAGGTCTAAAAAGTCTGTCAAATTTCACTAAAAGGGGCAGTACATTAAAAGAAAATTCAAGAGTCCTACAAATTTCAAAGTTATGAAGGGACTGCCCCAACCCAGATGTGTATAGAAGGTGAGAAGAGTAATATCATTGAGATGGAATTGTGAAAATGTTTCAGGAAGGAAACACATGTCCAGGCATAAAACCATCTTGTTCCTATGAGGCATAAAAATGGTTATCATGGTAAGAAGGTGAACAGAAGTGATATGACTTCAGCCACTCTTGTCATAGATGCTCATGGCTATACCTATTGATGTATGATAGGTAAAGGCATGATGCTTCCTCTTCTCTATAGAAAGGTCTGGAAGAAGCCCAAGAAGGTTCCCTTTGAAAGGTAAACCTAACCCTCTTGAGTGATGGAAATGGAGGAGGATGACTGAGGGAAACCTGATGTGAAAAAGCCCTAGCCAACTGGGTTGCTGTAGGTTTTTTGGGCTATATGGCCATATTCAAGAAGCAATCTCTCCTGACGTTTTGCCTGCATCTATGGCAAACATCCCCAGAGGTTGTGAGGTCTCTTGGAACTAGGAAAATTGGGTTTATATATCTGTGGAATGTCCAGAGTGGGAGAAAGAACTCTTGTCTGTTGGAACTAGGTGTGAATGTTTTAATTGGCCACCTTGATAAGCATTTGATGGCCTGACAGTTTTTTGGTGTGGCTTGTTAGTGCCTGGGGGAATCTTTTTTTTGAGAGGTGCTTAGCTGTCCCTGATTGTTTCCTCTCTGGAGTTGCCCTGTGTTTGAGTGTTGTTTTACTGTTACAATTTTAGACTTTTTAAATACTGATAGCCAGATATTGTTTATTTTCATGGTTTCCACCTTTCTGTTGAAACTACTTAGATCCCAAGTTAGAAAGAAGAGGTGCAAACTGAATAGGACCAGACAGCTCAAAAGAGAAGTAAGTTGAGCAGTTGATATGAAGACTAAAGAGATTTTTTTTATCATTCATGGATACAGCAGAAGATTCAGTAGTCAAAGAAGGCAAAGTCATTCCTGGAGGTTTCTTGTAGCCAGACTGTCTGACCCACTTTTTCTGAGCAGGTCTTAGTGTGCCATTGATCCTGGAGGTCCTGGGACAGGTGGCCTCTTAGGAACAGGATTCACATGAGATGCCTTGGCTTCTCTGCTTTGCAATAATTCTCTTCTACCAGGACATCAGCAGATGGGGTAGCAGAAGTCAGTGAAATAGATGTGTGATCAAAACTGAAGGAATGACTGGGACTGAAGAAACAGATTTAGATCTAGAAGCAGATGGAATTTGTGCTGATGGAACTGACATTTCTCTCATCTTATGTGGTTTTGAAAACAAAGAGGAAGAAGTGTCCAAAGGTTGCACTGGGGACAGCTTCTCGAGATATTCAAGGGGAGCTCTCTAAACAATAAACCCTCAGGGATTGAATAGGAAATCCCCCACAGAAGCTACATTTCTGTACAACATGTTCCTTTCCAAGATAAACAGAAGAAATGCCCATCAAAAAGTGAAACCTTTCATTGAAACAAGGTATAAAGGAGGGCAGCCATAAAATTAAAAAAGAAGGGAAGAAGAGTGAGCGAAGACACAGATGAAGTAGGGAAATAAACAGTCAATATAAATATAAAGCAAAGGAGAGAAACTACTCAGCTGAAGGAGAAACAACCAAAAAGATTCTGCTGGTGGAAGAGGAAATCATGGGATGGTAGCTTGGAGGGCTGAAACATGCACTGTACATGGGAGGAGGTATAGTTTTCAAGCTACTCAGCTCTAAAAGTTTCATGAGAACCAACACTCCTCTTGGCGTCCCCCCGGCAACAGCAAGGGTATCCCTCTGGGCAGCTAAACCAGGCAATTTCAACCGGATGGCCTCCCATGAGGGTCTTCCTCCAGGGGCAAACCAAGAATGGGCCACTTGGAAGTCCCTGAACAGATTCGGAAGTGGAATTGGCAGATCAATAAACAATCTGGCAAAATGGTACTACCTACAAGAATCCTCCACCTTGTGTGACTGTGAAGCAGAACGAACAACTCCACATCTATATGCTTGTCCACAATGCCCTGCCTCATGCACAGAGGAAGAACTGTTTAAAACTACAGACAATGCAGTCGCTGTTGTCCGTTTTTGGTCGAAAATTATTTAGCTGCTTGTGTTCCCTATATTTTATCAGTTTTATACTAATTTATTTATACAACTTTTTTGACACAAAATAAAATAAAAGCTCTAAAAGTTTCCAAATGGGGTCTCTGCACTGACAGAAAACTCATTTGTGTGAGGCACAGAGTTTATGAAGAAGAATAGTGATGATGGCTATATTATATAGAGTTGGCTATAGCAAATCCATGAAATGTGACCAACAGGTGCACATTCCTAAACATCCAATTGCCATATGGAAGGAAACCATGACCAATTGAAGTTTCGTGACACTTTTCCTACAATGTTGGGAATGTATGCCTGCTGTTCACACTTTACAAAGTGAATGTAATGGGATACCGTCCGAGCCTTCAGTCAAAGTTTTGAATAGATATCCAACGTTCCTTCTCTGCGCATCTGAACATTTTAGTGTAAAGAGAAAGAGTGCTAGTACCATAACAGAGCACAACTTGTCCCAAGGCGACTTGTACCTCTGACAACACTGAGAAAATTAACTGGCACAGACTTATTGGATGTAATTGGCCAGCAACTGATGTGATGAAGTATGTACAGTAATCATCACTAGATATTTTATGCAGCAACAGTTGTGTTTACCAATTAGCAAGGTTCTATTAGGTCCTCATGGGAAGACTAGCTAGAGATTTCACTATGGCAGAAGTGAAATTTCAGCTTCTAGATCTGAACTAAAGCTAAAGCAAAAGAAATTAAAGATATCCAACAAGCCCTGATGTAAAAGAGAGACTAAGGGTCTTACCACTCTATACTGTTTTAACACTACATTCCAGTCTTACTGCCATGGAAACATTATCTGGAATTCAGCGTTTTGTGATTGACTAAGGCTCTAAAACTCTCTAGCTGAGAATTATAACGCCCAAAGATACCATATGATGTTCCCATGACAGTTAAAACTGAATGCCCTTGTAATTCTTAGGATGTATAATTTATACTTTTCAGGCACGATCTCTCCTTCACATCACATCAGGTTTCAAATTAAACTGCCAGAAGCAAGTCAAGAAACAGAACTGGCTCAAAGTTTCTTTAGCTACCTTCCCTCCATACATGTGATGTTGTGTTTTATTTGATTGATATTTTTGCCTATACACAGATACATTACTTAGTAGGTAGCCAACAGAAACCTTACACTCTGGTTTTTCTAAATGCCAGAAAGAGATTGGAAGGCAAGAAGGAAAGCATCAGAGACATGCTGACTCTCTCCAATTGTCTGTCCCACTCTTGCTGTTGGACAACATCCACAGTGTAACCCATTTCTTCAGCACATGCCATCCTACCCTATGGTATTCACTCACTGGAGAGAGTACATCCCCATCAAATCGGCGGACAGGGTTAGGTTTGCGACGATAGGCAGGCTCTGGGGGGTGGGCTTTGTGTTGCACATGGGGATGAGGATGTGGCCGCCTCTTCTTCTTCTTCTCCTTGTGTTCTTCCCGTTGCTTGATCCGCATCAACTGAACACGGCGCTGCTGTCGACTGATTATCACTGTGGGAAGAAGGAGAGGCAAGGTGAAAACCTCTATGAAATAAAAGTTGGCAGAAAAGGGTGAGCAGATGCCATCTCTGCAGGATGGAGCAAAAAACTAAAATAACACTTAAGGTCCACCAAACCTCATTAGATGCTCCTAGACTGAGTTAGGGTCATGATTGGCAGAACCAACATGAAGTATTAAAGAAGATGACTGAAAAATTGTATCTTTCTGAAAATGTACAGTTCCTTAGCAGGAACTACTTTTCATTGAAGCTTAGAAACAAATATTTTCTTGATTACATTTCCCAGAATCTCCAAGCCAATATAGGGATTCTGGGAGTTGTGTCCAAAAATAACTTTTTCAGGTTCTGCTGTACATTAGAATAAGGGATTCAGCATGAGTAACCAAACTCTAAGGCAGTGGTTCCCAACCTGTGGTCCATGTGGTCCACAAGAGCTAAAATATGGTCCACCGCCTAATGGTTGCTACACTGTTACAAGAGCGAAATCTTCTTATAGTGCCAAGGTTTATTAAATATGTTTTTCTGTTGGCAAGCAGATGGTATCTACTGGATGGCATATCTTCTATATCAGAAACTAGAGCTGATATGGTCTATCCCAGGGGCCCTCAAACTAAGGCCCAGGGGCCAGATGCGGCCCTCCAAGGTCATTTACCCAGCCCTCGCTCAGACTCATCCTAAGTCTGAAATGACTTGAAAGCACACAACAACAATCCTATCTCAGGCCCACACTTTCCACTCAAATACTATTATTTATAGTAATAAGTTTATATTTGTTAAAATTGTTCTTCATTTAATTATTCTATTGTTTTAAAGTGTTTTTTGTACTACAAATAAGATGTGTGCAGTGTGCATAGGAATTCATTCTTTTTTTTCTTCAAATTATAATCCGGCCCTCCAACTGTTTGAGGGGCTGTGACCTGGCCCTCGGTTTAAAATGTTTGTGGATCCCTGGTCTATCCAATGCAATTTTCTGAATCAGCACCCCAAATAACCAAACCAAATCTAAAGTTGACCAAAAACTGATTTGTAACCTTTTTGATAGTAATGTTGGAGAATGGCCCCTGGTCAAAACAGGTTGAGAACCACTGCTCTAAGGGGTTCCTATTAACTAGTTCTGTATGGTTGCTGAGAGTAATGTCTGGAGTCTTTTTAAAAAGCCAAACTTTTGTTGTAATGATACATTAAAAACAGAGAGAAAAGGTCCTGGGATGGATATTTCCACCCATTACTCTGATATTGACTGTATTCTCTAAAAGTAGATTTTAAAAATAAAGATGAAAGATGGCAAATTGCAATTACATTTCAGCCTTTGGAGAATGAATTGGATGGACCCTCCCAAACCTGAACTATGACATTTAATTACAGTTGAAAATTCGATCCTGATGAATTGGCAGGGACTTGAGCCTTCTTTGGAATGTAGAATTTACATATGGTGTATTGTTAAAGGCTTTCATGGCTGGAATCACTGGATTGTTGTAGGTTTTTCGGGCTGTATGGCCACGTTCTAGAAGTATTCTCTCTTGACGTTTTGCCTGCATCTGTGGCAAGCATCCTCAGATCTCACAACCTCTTTGGAACAAATGTTAGAGAGTGGTCCCTGGTCAAAGTGGGCCCTGGTCAAGTGGTCTCTGGTCAAAAAAAGGTTAGGAACCAATGCTCTAAGGGAGCCCGAAAAACCTACAACAACCCAGTTACAGATGGTGTTTTCCACTTGATAACTTGTTAATATTTGGCCTTTGAGAAAGGAATTATTGCCACTTTCCTTCTAACCATAAGAACCATGGGCAATTGATAGTATTAAGCTGAATTTAACAGTTTCTTCCTCAATATTAATAGTTTTATGAAAGCTCTAATGAATCAGGAAGGTTACCCTAGCAGGAAATATGTCCTATTTCCAAAGTTAACTGAAAAGTACAAATGAAACTTATCACTACATAGCCTTTTCATTCGGGATCCTCCAAAAGGACACTTCTCTCCTAATTTTGCAACGTGTAAATAATCAGTCCATTGTTTAATCATTTTGGTGTTTAAAGAAATAAATAGTTCAAAAGAGGTATCTTTGGGCCAATATTACCACCTCTTCCATTCTTATGAGTCTAAAGAAAAACTCTGCAGACTCAGCAGAAGATCTTTGTATTCTGGAAGAAAACTAACTGAGAAAAGGCTTTATCTGTAAAGCAAATTAACCAGACTAGGGGCAAAAGGGCATTAAGACCCCCACTTCTGAAGGTTAAGATATACCATTAAATATCCAAGTCATAATCATCCATACCATAGAATTCCCAGTTTCAATGTGTGATTGTGAAAGCTGAAAACTGACAAAAGTGGACAGGGAGGAAATCTACTCATTTCAACTGTGGTGCTAGAGAAAAGTTCTGTGGTAAAAGGGACCATTAACAAGAAAAATCAAAACTTGGTAGAAGCCAGAATGTGATTATTGTCCTTTAAGCCTATCATGAGAACATGATAGGCTTAAAGATAACAAACCTCTGTGAAGTGCAAAGAAGTAAGAAAATAGGAAAATGACATTAAAGTGGATTGATTCAATACCAAAAGGTCCCAGCCTTGAGTCTGTAATACCGATGCAGAACATTTAGTGACTGTGGACTCCTGGAGAACTCTCAGTTATAAAATTGTCCTAAATCAAAGGCAATTTGACAGCAAATGACAACAAACAGTGTCTCTGCCTCAAACAATGATTAACAGCATGACTGGTATAAAAGTCGGTGCCAAGCCTATCTTCCTTTGAATATAAACATTGTGCTAACCACTTTCAGCACGAAACTGTAGTCATGACACCAACAGCAATCATCAGTTGAGGAAAACCAGTTTTGAATTACCCAATGATGCTATTGGCTGAGGGATCCTTGTTGTTGGAGTCCAAAACTAACTTTGACAGGCTCTGACAATGATAAACTCACTTTTGTTGCATGTAATTTTGGACGAAATGTTATCAGCCTTATGTTGGTAAACACAGTTCTCCTCACATCTGATAAAAAGTCCTATCCACTAGGTATGGTGTACTTGCATAATGCCAAGGGTGCCTCCCACACACCCCAGACCAATGTGTAACTGACAGATATATGGCTTGTTAATTATGCCACTCCCAATAATTTAATAGCATATTTTATTAAAAGGAAAGAAACCTTGCTTAGCAAAACCTTTGAGATGTCAGCCCCTGTGTTGATGAGAAACTTCTTATCAGGATGGAAAGATAGGCAGGGGGAAATAGAGCTTATCATAACTCTGTGGTGGGTAAATGAACTGGAGGAGCAAGGGACTGGAAGCAATGAGGCTTCTTCACTCTCTATAACAAGACTGATACCCTGAAGCCAAGCAGGCTGGAAATGGTTAGTACATGAATGAATAATTTATTACAATCAACAGATCAGACAAAAGGTTAGTACATGGAGGTGAAACTATTAGATAAATCAGGGTTCTTCGGAGAGAGCTATGATACTGGACAAGATAGATGAAACGTCAAACTATAAGACAGATCCCAGTGCTCCCAACCCCCAATATATCCACCCTGCAGCACTAAACCCACCTTCAGTGTGTGAGTATCCTTCAGCGGTGACTTTCCACTGCACTAGGACGCCCAGCAAAGCTAGGATGGGCCAAGTACCCAGGATGACCCAGCTGTACCAGCAGATGGGCCGGGAAGGGGCCACCTTGACACGCTCATAAACATACTGCAGGAGCAGAAAGAGCTCGACAAAGTAGTCAGCCGTGGCAGTCATGACGGCACTGCCAAAGACAGCGGTTGACAGCGTGGTGAAAAGTCGCTGCCACTGCAGGGTAAGCACGGCACACAGCATGCCCACGCCTAGCAGCAAGCCAATGGGGATCCAGACAGTCGGAGGGTGGTAGAACTGCTCCATCACCACCAAGGCGGCCACAGCCAGCAGCAGCCCTAGCATCAGGCCAACCATGAAGAGCCCGACACTGCGTACTAGCATGGTGACCAGCCCACAGAGCACTCCGATGCCCAGCCCGATGCCCACAGAGGCCTCCACACTCAGCTGAGTGTCCAGCACCCTCTCCTTGTAGCACAGCATGAAGATGATCACTGAGCCAAACATCAGCCCTGTCAGGAACATCACTGCCTTGAAACATCGGTATCCTAGGGAAGAAGAGAAGAGACATTAATATATGTGGATAGAAAAAGGGATACAGTATATTCCAACAGGGCAGAGCCAGGCATGTAGCCGGGGGGCGGGGGGGGGGGGGGCTGGGGCTTCAGCCCCCCCCAAATTTTCATGGTGGTTCGCAAAAAGGCCTTAATGGTGCATTATTTAAACTGTTATGTTTATTCATATCATGATCTGATCACCATACTCAATATATCCCATATGCATGGGGGTATTGGGGTAATGATACAAAAGGTTTGCTAGGCTAGACCCTTTTTCACTCAGACTCAGCCCCCCCCCCAAAACTCAGCCCCCCCGAACCCCCCCCTGAAAAAAAATTCAGCCCCCCCCCCCCGAAACGAAATCCTGGCTACGGGCCTGGGCAGAGCCATCAATTTCACTAGGCCAGCTATACTGGGGTTACACTCCCCCTGCCCTAAAAGACATTCTGGTCTTGGATCACAAAAAGAAAAGGTAGTGAGGACTGGCCAAAAGTGAAGCAGAAGAGCAAATATTGGTCCCCACTCTCCCATCAAAGAATAAGGTATCCAGACCTGGCTAAATTATTTAAATACATAAGGCAGAAAATCCTGCATTTCCCCATCCCTCATCCAAGGCAGAAAAGTTATATAAATAATAAATTAGATACTAACAATTTGCTATTCTTTTGATGGCCACCAAAATCTGTTCCCCTGGGTAGTCATTTATGATCTCACCATGTCTAATGATAAGTCTGACCTTGCAGCCAGCAGCAAATGACAAGCCCTAATATCAAGGATATTGAATCTTTTATTCTGGCATTTCTTGATTCTGCACTTGGCTCTGTAATAGATGAGTGGAAGCACCAAAGTGTCCCAAGGAAAGTCAGCTAATCTTTTGTCCTGGGGTTTTGCTGTGCTTAGCACAGGAACCCAGCCAAGAAATGCAACCTCAGTGGGATGTCACCAAGGCTATTTTTGAGTCTGCTGCTGCTGCCACAGACGCACTGTGGCACAGGGCTCTTTTAAAGTGTAGACTGGTGACCACATCACAAAGGGCTAAAATCGGCGACATACGCTGGTTTAGCCCAGGTCACTCACAGAATCCGCTGGCTCCCATCAAACAAGGCCGGCAGGGTTCTGTGGGTGAAGTAAAGTGGAGCCAATGCATGCCGACATGGCAAAACGGGAAGCTTCCCATGTTACCATAGGATATCATAGGGAGAAGCTGCATGATCAATGCTTTGCCCCATGGGATTGCCCTTTGCTGGAGCTGGGCGATGCGGGGCATGGGGTGCCAGGTTCCCCATGCTCCCCGATGACACAAAGTGACTCCAGTGGCTGTGTGACAAAGTCTTTCATTCTGCAAGATTAGGAAGGGAAATATACTCTCAAAGGCTCTATGCCATTCCTGCAGGGGTCCTCTGGTTTCTCACCAAAAAAGCAGTAGATGATCCCGAAGAGGCAGCACATGGCACACACCACCGATGGCACCACTTGGTAGCGCCGCTCAATCTCCTGCTCGCAACTATGCATCCGATCCTGGCCCGGTGCATGGGGCAGCAGCGGAAAGCGCAGGGTCTGTACCGTTGATGTCATGGCTCTTCAAGGTCTCTGAGATGACTTCAGACTCCCCACTCCCTCCCTGTTGCCTATGGCAAACTCTGCCTCATGGCGTTTCTTCCATCTATGAAGAGAGGAGAGGACAAGAAAGGGATTTTAATCCATTTTTATTCAGAAAAAAATAGAAAAAAGAAAGACAATACAAAAAAGCAGATTTTCATAATATGCAATACAAAAACGACATCTAAGAAACCTAAATCTAAAAAAAACCACTAACCTAAGATATGCCTACACTACTAAACACATGCTAGACACAACTACTAAAACTATTCAAGCTTCATGCAGATTGCCTGTTTTACCCCTTATTATCCTGTTCCCTTTAGATAACACTATATAACCACACTTCTACTTTTAATAACATTCCTCTAATGCATAAATTCAATAATAGGGTTGTTGTAGGTTTTTCGGGCTATATGGCCATGTTCTAGAAGCATTCTCTCACAACCTCTGAGGATGCTTGCCACAGATGCAGGCAAAACATCAGGAGAGAATGCTTCTAGAACAGTAGTTCTCAACCTGGGGTCCCCAGATGTTTTTGGCCTACAACTCCCAGAAATCCTAGCCAGTTTACCAGCTGTTAGGATTTCTGGGAATTGAAGGCCAAAAACATCTGGGGACCCCAGGTTGAGAACCACTGTTCTAAAACATGGCCATATAGCTTGAAAAACCTACAACAACCCAGTGATTCCAGCCATGAAAGCCTTCGACAATACAAATCCAATAATAGTTGAAGTTTGTCCCCATCATTACTGTGAAAAGGTGATAAGCAATTCACAATCTTCCTTAAAATTGGTCAAAGATTTCTCCTTGGCTCAGCAAAGTCAGTTTGTCCATCTTGGTTAGGTCACAGATCTTTGTCAGACATTTTTCTTAAGTGGTTCATTTCATCTCTGTGAATTGATTATTCTCATATTCTCTTATATATTGTAGTAATCTCCCATATTTTCTTTCTAGTTGATCATCCATCATGCCCAACAAATTAAAATCTGGTTTCATCATAATTTTAACTTTAACAATTCAATCCAGAATCATATGTATTTGAGTCGAATATTATAGGGCCTTTTTGCACGACCAACACATATGATAAAGTATCTCAGCATTTTGCTCACATTTTCAACGTTTGCTAGAACTGCCTTTATACATCTTAGAAAGTCTCTCTGGTGTCAAGTATGCCACCTATACATCAGCTTATAAAATATTCCTTCAAATCATTACTCAAAGCCAACTTCAAACTCTTTGAGCTTCCTTGGAGGTCCATTAAGAGGCCAACCAGCAACACCACTCATCTGTAAGGACTTCAACCATATGTCGGAGGCAAAAATACCACCTTCTCATTGGAATGACGCCTTCGCCTCCCTCCAGCAGCATAGCTGTTCCATCAAGATGTTTAGGGGGAAAAAACACCCCCGTTTTAGTGGAGGCTGCGAGAGGCAACCAACAACCAGGAATAAAAATATGTGACATAGTCAAAAAATGTAAGCACCACCAACTCTCTGGCTCTGAGTCAAATCCAAGCAGACATTACTGCAAGGCAGAAGAAGCTGCCTTGAGCATGAAGAATACTTTACAAGAGGTAGAACAGGCCCCTGTCTAGTGTCGCTTCCCAAACCTATCCTTTGGGTGGTACTTAGGATCCCACCTCTGCTCCATCTCTGCTTTCTACAAAAACTATCTCCTCAAATTATCTCAGGCTGTCAGCATATTCCCTGACAAAACATGCTGAGAGTGATCCGGGCAGCAGCTGATCAGAGATGGGACAACATCTCACCAAAATTGGATGGTGGTGGTGGTGGTGGTGGCTATAAAGAGAACGATCACCGTATGGTCTCCATGGCAACCAAGGGAAGAGCAGATGCATTCACCCCCACATCCACACAGATTTAGTTTATAACTCATATAGAAACAGTGGGGAGGGCTGTGAGTCACCAAAGGAGCGGGGTAGCAGTTTGGAAAAGTATCTCTCAAAAATCGGAGTTTCATTAACAGTATGAGTGCATGCCTGGCTACCATCCAAATGAATCGTTGGCTAAGAAAAGGATTTCTCTCCCCTCAAAACTTGCCACTGGACATTGAAGCGCCATAGCAGCAGATAACAATACCTAGAATCATCAATCATAGAGTTGGAAGACACTCCAAGGGCCATCCAGTTCAACCCCCTGCCATGCAGGAAGACCTAATCCAAGCATTCTTGACAGGTGGCCATCTGGCCTCTGCTTAAATGCCTCCAGAGGAGGTGACTCCAACACTTTCAGAGGCACCTAAGCTCTTCCTAAGGTTTTGATCAGTGGTTCCCAACCTTATTTTGACCAGGGACCACTTGACTAGGGACCACTCTCCAACACTAGTACCAAAAGGGTTACAGATCAGTTTTTGGTCAACTTTAGATTCAGTTTGGTTATTTGGGGTGCAGATTCAGAAAATTGCATTGGATAGACCACATCAGCTCTAGTTTCTGATACAGAACATATGCCATCCAATAGTCTCCATCTGCTCACCCACAGAAAACCATATTTAATAACCCTTGGCACTATAAATAAAGACTTTCTGTATATATTTCAGATTTCAATATTAATGTCAAAAATACGTAGTATGATTTTACATAGGATTTGTGCTACATTAGAACAGTCAAGACAAATATCACTTAAGTAAAATAAACATTAAATATTAAATAACCAGAAAAATAAAATAAGGTGTAAACACTAAACTAATCTGGGAATCTGCTATTGCAACACATCCAATGAAGTGGTTTAAAACCAGTATAAAAAAAGATTAGGACTAAGTACGTTCCAGTCTACTTGGAACCACAAGACCAGTTGCTCTCGTTGCAACGGTGCAGTAAGGGTGAGATTACAGACCATATTTTAGTTCTTGCAGACCACTGGTGGTCCATGAACCACAGGTTTGGAGCCACTGGTTTGGAGCCATTTCTTTTCCTGCAGTTGAATCCATTGATCTGTGTCCTAGTCTCTGGGGCAGCAGTAAACAAGCTTGCTCCCTACTCTCCCCCCTTACCCTTTTCCCCAAAGTGCTAATGGGTTTATATTTGGTTATTTCTCACTTTGTAGTCCTATCAAGATTGCTGCTGGCACATTTTGTCACGGGATATGACACCCTTTCAAACATTTAAATGTGGCTATCATGCCCTTCTCAACCTTCTCTTCTCCAAGCTAAACACACCCAGCTCTGGATCCTGTTTTCAGACTCAGCTAAAGCCACGTTATCACACTTTCTCCCATCCCTTTACATTTTCTCAGCTTTATTCACTATATATATAAAAAGAAACCTTGTACATTAGCTCTTTTTTTTGTCAAACAGGACCGGATAGACGATTTATATAAGATGCAAATCTCTCCCCTTCGCAAAGCTTGCACGGGAGGGATGGAGACACTGAGATAATCTGTCTATGAGGAGTGAGAGTAGTACCCTCAATCTCCCCTGGAAGATGGATTAGGATCATTGGATGCCTACTTGCACTCATATCTTAACACTGAGAAACCAGAGGGTGCATATTCTGCACTCTAAAATGAATGCAGTTTGACACCAATTGAACTGTCATGGTTCAATGATATTGAGTCATGGATTTGGTGAGCTACCATCATTCCTTGACAGAGAAGGCTAAAGGCTTTTAAAAGGACAACCCCCACCATGGTATTGAGCCACAGCAGCTATAGTGATGTCGAACTGCATTAATTCTACAGTGTAGATGCACCCTATGTGAGAGAAAGAAGGCACCAAGAAGAAAGTATAGGTAAAATGAGCCCTAATCTCCTGCTTCCTTTGCTGCCCAGGAATGGGGTCAAGAGCCTGAGAAATCTCTCTCTTTCCCTCTCTTTCCCTCTTCCTCCCACCCATCTCTTCCTCCTCCCTCCTTCCATTGCCAATGAGCGCCAGTACTGAAAGCATCTCCTCTTCTGATTTGCGCTTTCTCTGTTGCTAAGGGAGGCAAAGCATTTTCCAATTGGCCAGTGACAAATAGCCAAAGACGGCCTTCTCTGGCTATATCTTTTTCTGCTTTGTTTCAACAATCCAGCCTCTTTCATACCAACAGCCTACAACTCCCTCCACCCTCCTATCCCAGCTTGATTTTCCCTTACAGTGCAGCTGCACAGAAATACTGATTTGTCCCCCCATATACTGTACCTATCAGTCTCCTCAGTCTTGAATTCATTCTTACGCCTTTCTTGAATTACCTGCTAATGACCCTTTATTCAAATCTGATGGCTCCTCCATCATGTGATGTCCCTCAGGCAGGCCCACAGTGAGCAGATGCTTGTGGACCTATGGCAAACTCATAAACTTCACAGGGCTTTCTTAGGCAAGGAACACTCAGAGGTTGTTTTGCTAGGTCCTTCCTCTGAAATATAACCAACAGCACCTGGTATTACTTTGCAATCCTCCATCCAAGTACTAACCAAGATTGAGCCCACTTAGCTTCCAAGATCAACCAGGATCTGTGGTGGAGGCTCCTTCTTTTTAAGGCTTTGGAGGCTGGATGGCCATTGGTCGAGGGTGCTTTGAATGCGATTTTCCTGCTTTTTGGTGACAGGGGGGCAGCGGGGGCGGGGGCGGCGGGGGGGGGTTGAACAGAGGTGGTTTTGCCATTTCCTTCCTCTGAAATATAGCCAACAGCACCTGGTATTGCTTGGTAATCCTTCATCCAAGTACTAACCAAGGCTGAGCCTGCTTAGCTTCCAAGATCAACCAGGATCTGTGCTGGAGACTCCTTCTTTGGAGGCTTTTAAGCAGAGGCTGGATGGCCATCTGTCGGGGGTGTTTTGAATGTGATTTTCCTGCTTCTTGGCAGGGGGGTTGGACAGGATGGCCCACGAGATCTCTTCCATGCTATGATTCTGGGATCTGGAATAGCTAAGGAAAAGAGGTAGGTAGGTAGGTAGGTAGGTAGGTAGGTAGGTAGGTAGGTAGGTTGGGTGGGTGGGGTAGGGAGGAACAGAGAGACCTGTGACCTGATTTTGGAGGCTCATGTGTAATCCAAGTGGACAAATGGCCCCTGATGAAAGTGATATTCTGGTTTAAAGTTCTTTATCTTATGATAAAAGAGGACCC